ACCATGATGTTGTGAACTCCGTGTTGCAGATGAACTTGGGAGGCACCCACGACGGCGGAATTCACTAGTTGGTGGCAGACGATCCGGCAGTAACGCGCGTTAGGTCCAAAACAAGTTAAGGAATAAAAGTACAATTTGAACAGCATACGTAACCTCAGTGAATCTTAGCGCTCATAGTGCTCAGCGTCTGCGGTTTAGCGTTCGTGACCAGCGCGTTTGTCACGTCACGTACTGGCATGTTCAGTCGCGTGGGCTTGAGCACAACCGGTATTGCGCGCTGACTTGAACGCTCTCAACACAATTATACCACGATGTCTCATCCTCAGCAAGCACAACTCAAGAAACTTTGCGCCAAGGGCGAGACCCTTGCAAAGGCGCAGGTATTGCTACATGCTGCATCCATGAGAACTGGACCAGGGACAGGTTACGCTCTCCGCGACGGACGCGGCTGTCTTCCTGCAATCTGCGCGTATATCGCGTCTGAAGAGTAAGCATAGGTTGCGTACTTGACCTCATGCAGAGGAATTGACAGCCGTGCGACGCTTAGGCTGGGCAACGCCGACGTCTCCGAAAAGGTGGCTCAAACCGCATCCTGCCTCGCACCGAAAGACTTCAAGGCGGCCCTGAACGCCGTTCGCGCTGCGCTTGCTTCCCAGACTAGCAATAACGTGGAAGAAAGCTCTGCACCGTTGACTTACGAGGATTTGATTGTGGAGAAGGGGCTCGGGCGAAAGGCTTTCATGGCAGGCTGCATGCGGGATGTCGAGAAGGCACTGGTGGCGAGCCGAATGTTGCCTAAGGAGCTTCAACTCCCATGTGATGTGACTAGGATTGTTGTGTTCGGATGGACGTGCGAGAGGCTACTCAATGTGAGTGATGGTCTTCCAAAGGCGACCGACGGCACTGCAAGTGGGAGTGGCTGATGGGCACTGCTTAGATCCGTGGGGTGCGCCGCGCGAAGCTCATGCAGGAATTCGAGATTCCACGGCGGGACTACGAAGACATCGTGGACATGCTCGAATCGTCCTGCCAAGCCATCGCGCAGGACATCAATCGACGAGTCGCCGAGCTTGTAGACACTGTAAAAGCACTACGCCAGGCATCTTCCGCAACCCCCAGTGGGACGACCTCTCCAACCAAGTCGCCCACCAAACCTTCTCTGAGGGAAGCGGCCGCGAGCGGCACATTGGCCTCGCCCACGAAGGCATCCACCCAGAAGCGCAAAGTTGCGTTTGCGAGGTTGGATGTTGAAATGGATGAGCTGGACCTGTTGGACACGCCCTCGAAGCGGCAGAAGATGACCACCTATGCTAGCAGAAGCAAAATCGCTCGTGATTTGGCTTCACCCGCATCTGACCGAATACCAGCGCCTGCATTCAGACCAACAATATTTCCCAATGCACGGGCCTCGTCGTCAAGAGATACTTTGGGCCTTTTAGGAGGCAGTGTATCCAGTGCAGGAGCTCGCCAAGAGCGCGAACAGCCCGCATCTGAAAACGTTGATGACGAACGAGATCAGTCCGAAGCTGCGGAAGACTACTCGCAAGTCGCTCCCTTCCCTCTTATCCCCGCTTCAACGGCAGATCCGCGTACTCCTAAGAGGCGGAGGCGGGATCCACAGACGATAGAGACACCCCGGAGTGGGACGCGCGGTCGAACTGTGCGTGCGCCGTCACCGATTCCAGAGCCGGCGTTGCATGCTCGCTCCCGAAGGTTCCGGCCTGTATTCCTTGATCAGGTCCAGTGGTTTGCTCGTGATCCGAAGATCGAACGGGAGTGGAAGATGGTAGATGGGAGGAGGGGAGTCACGGCATGAGTGCTGTAGTTTTAGTTGACTCTCAGTTACAGTGTATACCCTTCGCGTTTCTCTTGGTTAATCAACAGTTAGGCATCGAGGTATGCTGGAGGGTGAGCACAACATCGAAAGCAAGAGGTAATTTACAGCTGATATAGCTGGTACATATGTGAGAGCACAAAGATGCGAAAGCAAGAAAGCAAGGTACTCATACGTTGGTATAGATCCTCTCTCATCAAATCCATTTCCCACTGAACAATGTCAAAATTGCATCGCCAAAGCTGCAGAGTAGAGGCGCCTATAGGAATTGTTGATCATGAGCCAGATGGGTATGATCGCGCAGCTGTTCTCAAAATGATGCGTCAATGTAGATCCATGAGACAGACATGACAGACTCACATTGCATGCATAGACTGACACCATGTGTTCAGTGCAAGGCGAAGTTACGTGCATGAAAGACACTCACAAAATAAATGCAGAAGTGCAGCAAGTTGTCCGCATTGACATACCAGTTTCCAGTGAGCCGTTCGGGGCAGAAGATCATCCATCTGACAGAATATGCCACTATCAGCTTCCTAATCAATGGATCTGGAGCAGTACACACCCTCTGTACAGTTCTGCAGTACTCAGCACCATGACCCAGTAGTGGCTGGTGGGATCATCCCGGGCGAGTTGCTTGAGGCTGTAGTAGCACGTCGGCCCCGCGCCCAGGATGGTCAGGATATCCAGCGAGGCAATAATCGGATGATAGAAGCCCCATTACATGTCGGCATGACCCTTCCCTAGCACAGAAAGCTCAAGAAAGACATGACATGCATGTCGCTCCGTAGACGTTCACACAGCTCAGTGAACTTGTCACCGAAGGTGGTGCTCAACTGCCAGCTGCCCATGATCAACAAGGTGAATATGTAGTGTTTCATCGCGCCACACGCCTGTGTGGCGAGAATTAGTACACCGTAGCATCCCGTAGTCGTCTACATACCAGCCAGATCCAGGTGAAGCTGTCCTGCCAGCTCGCTTTCATGTGCGACGAGACGTACGCGGCCATGCCGATAACGACGACGAAACCGAGGGAGTACGCCAATGTCTGCGTGGGTATCGGGAGGGTATCAATTGCGGACCACATCTCTGGATGGACGACGATGTTGGGAAGGCAGGCTCAAGGTGAATGGCGTGGAAGCCGAAGTTGGTGGGCGTGGGCATCCCAGGCTGGATGCCCACGTGTTACGGATGAAGTCCTGGCACAAGCCCCAACGGAGACTCCCTTGATAGGAGCCATTCAAAGGGCCTTCAGGTGGTGAAACCTGAAGAGGAACCTGGGAGCAAGGGGGTTATTGCTAGTGGCATGACAGGCGGCATTGCTTAATTCCTGAGGCAGCATTGCTATAAATAGCGGTACAAGGGGTCCCTACAAGGCTTCGGCTAGCTCCGATGTCGTTACCCACCTTCGATCATCGTGATTTTCCGTTGTGATGGCTGCTCTGTCACAGACTGTTCACCTTCCCCGAAGTTTTGCTCAGAGCGCATTCGCATTCAAACGTCGCTTTATCTGGTGTTGTCGCATATACCGCGCCGTTGCCCCATGAGGGTGCCCCTCACAGACCCAAAAGAAATTTGAGGACACCGGTTGAGCTGTGAAAGAGGACAAATGTGAACACCGGCACGGTCGAACTGGCGCGCACATCTCTCACTCTGGGAGTTCTCGGATGACGCTTAGTACCACCCTCAGTGTATGGACCGCATACCCGGGACCCTCCAGGCTCTGCGGTCGATGCCATTCCCGTCAGGAACTACCTTCAATCCTGATGGCAACGTAGTCTCTCGCCCTACTTTACTATGTCTAGTACCCTTCTTCTACAGCACGATCAGTTCAAACGTGTCTAACTCTTCGCTGCATTTTCACCAAACAATGCATGCTTTTCGAATTTGGTGGATCGGGACTAGGCCTGCTTTGTTCTATCATTCTCGGTATATACTCTAGTTCCCTCGAATCTCCTCTGACCGCAGTTTCAATATAGTGTCTATTTCAGCAGTTGCACATCCTATGCATATCGCTTTCTTTTTTTCAACCGCTAAGGAGGGAGCCAAAGCCGTCATGCTGTTCTGGCGGCGCTGTCAGTTGAAAATTATTATCCATGCTTTGAGCCCCAGCACCAAGGCATCGCACCACTATATCCGATAACGATCCTCTCAAAACTTCTATCTTGCGCAGACACTTTGGATCTTTTACGAGGCAGCGCATCGAGTACAGGGACTCGCCGAGAGCATGAACGGCCCGCATCTAAAGATGCAGCCGACGAACAAGATCAATTCGAAGCTGCGGAAGATGACTACTTGCCAGTCGCTCGCTCGCCTCCTATCCTCGCTTCAGCAGCAAAACCGCGTACTCCTAAGAAGCGGAGGAGGAATTCACAGACGCTAGAGACCCCGGAGCAGGACGCGCGGTCATACTGTGCGTGCGCCGTCACTGATTCCAGAGCCGGCATTGCGTGCTCGCTCTCGAACGTTCAGACCTGTATTCCTTGATCAGGTCCAGTGGTTTGCTCGCGATCTAAAGATCGAACGGGAGCAGAAGAGCGAGGAGGGGGGGGTTCACGGCGTGAGCGCTGTAGTTGCAATGTGTACCACTTGCGTTCGTCTTGATTAATCAGTAAATATATGAAAGCAACAACAGTAAGACATCGAAGTTCGCTGGAAGGTGAACACAACACCGAAAGCAATAGGTATCAATTTACAGCCGATAATAGCTTGTATAAATGGGAGAGCGCAAAGATGCGAAAGCAAGAAAGCAGGGTATTCTGGTAGATCCTCTCTCACTGATATTATTTCCCATTGAGCAATGTCCAAATCGCATCACCAAAGCGGTGAGCTAATGCCCTCCGTTCCGGCGAGCAAAATTAGTTCTTTTTGGCCCTGGTAGCGACCTGCGCTACACGAAGGGAGCGAGCAATGTGTCGATAGGAATCGATCATGAGCCAGATGGGTATGATCACCCAGCTGTTCGCAAAATGACGTGTCAGTGTAGATCCACGAGGCAGACATAAAGACTCACATCACATTCATAAACTGATGCCATGTATTCAGTGGAAGGTGAAGTTACGCAGCACAAAAGACACTCACGACCAGATAAACCCAGAAATGCAGCACGTTGTCCGTGTTGAGATACTGGTTTCCTGTGAGCCACTCGGGACAGAATGTCATCCAACTAACAGAATATGCCGCTGTCAACTTCTCGATAACAGAAACAGACCTGGAGCGCTACTCACCCTCCGTACAGTTCCGCAGTGCTCAGCACTACGATCCAGTAATGCCTGGCAGGATCATCCTGTGCGAGTTGCTTGAGGATGTAGCAGCACATAGGTCCCGCACCCAGGACGGTCAGGATCTCCAGCGAGACAACAGTCGGATCAGAGAAGCCCCAGCGCGCGTCGGCGCGGGCATACTCCTTCCCTAGCACAGAAAGCTCAGAAGAAGATCTACACGTCGCTTCGAAGGTACTCACACAGCTCAGCGAAGGGACCGATGCTGGTGTTGACCTGCCGGCCGAATATGGACAGCCAGAGGAAGGAGCCCTCGAAGGTGAAGTGGATCATCGCGTCAAATGCCTGCGCGGCGAGAGTCAATACACCGTGGCACCCCGCAATCATCTACATACAAGCCAGATCCAGGTGAAGCGGTCTTGCCAGCTCGCATTTTTGGGAAGGAGCAAATTCGACGAGACGTACGCGACGATGCCGACGACGACGACGAAACCGAGGGAGTAGGCCGAGCTCTGCGTGAATATCGGGAGGGTATCAGGTGCGGACGACATCTCTGGACGGACGTCGGCGACGTTGAGAAAGGTGAATGGCGTGGAAGTTAGCGGGCGTGGGCGTCTGTGGGCGTGCACGACCCACGAGCGGTCCGATCATCGCGTTCGGTCCGCGCGCGGTCATTTCCATTGTGGCTGCTCTACTGCGCTCCGAACCTCACCGTCGCCTTCCGCGGAATTCTGCTCAGAGCGCATTCAAACATCGCTATATCTAGTGTTGATGCATATACCTCGCCTGCTGCTTCATGAGGGTGCGCCTCACGAATTCAAAGTGATATCCAAGGGGACCGGTTAAGCCGTCAACGAAGACGAATATGAATACGAGCACGCGGTTGAGCCGCTCTCGGAGGACGCAAGTTAGTGCTACCATTATATGGGCCACATACCCGGGATGCCTCCGGGCTCTGCGATCGGTGAGGTCATTCCCGTCAGGAACAACTGATCAGGCTTCGGACCTGATGACGACGTAGTCGCTCGCCCTACTTTGGTTCGTCTAGTGACCTAAGTACTAGTACGACGCGATTAATTCAGGCGTGGCGTCTTCTTCGCTGCATTTTCAACTCAAACAATGCATGCTTTCCGACCTTTATTGGACATGGTTCGAGATTAGGCCTGCTTTAGTCTAGCCATCGCCCTAAGTACTATCATTCTCGGTATATCATACTCCAGTCCCAGGCCTCGAATCCCTTCTGACTGCAGTTTCAGCATAGTGTCTATTTTAGCAGTTGCACATCCTATGCAAATCGCTTTCTTTTCTTCAACCGCTAAGAAGAGACTCCAACAAAGCCGTTACCCTGTTCTCGCGCCGCTGTCAGTCGAAAATTATTATCCACGCTTCCAGCCCCAGCGCCAAGCTGGCATCGCACCACTACATCCGATAACGATCCTCTCACAAGGTGTCCTATCTTAGCGCAATGTTGTCACGTTGCAGTGGAGGTGTCTTACTGGCCGCTAAAATCCCGCTAGCAAAAGGGGCTTCGGTCTTCCTAACTGTATTTATCCCGTAGGACCGGCAGGTTGGCATGCAGCGCAACTTGGTGAGTGCGATTTCATCGGCTGCCAGTCCCGTAATTTATCGTTACGTCACTGCGATCGCCCCCCTTTTGACGCTGACGCGCTCATGTGTAGAAATGTACATACTGCTTTCTCGGAGCGCTGTCCATTTGGCATGGCCACTGGGCCGCGTGTTTGGGCTAAGTTGACTCTCGGTCAATGAATCGCCGAGAGCCTGTGTGTTGCTAACAGTCGCTGGCCAGGAATGGTAGCATCTAAGTAGCGTCGATGACTCCGTTTGAAAACAAATCGATCGTCGCGTAACCTGTGACCATTGCTGCCGTACTCGCCCATTCTAATTCTGTCGACCCCTCAGGCACCTGGCGGGCAGTATATAGACTATGCCTCTGACGAGGATAGACGAAGTCCTCCAGGCATCTTATCAACTGCAGTCTGCTAACTTCTTGTCTTCGCAGTTTCTTTTCTCAGCAAGATATAGAGGACACCGACGAGGTTCGCGATGCATATTTGAAAGTGTCATTGCATCTGCTAACGAAGGTAGAAGACGTCATGGGATCAGAGTTGCCACTCCAGGCCGACTACATTGTCGTCCGAGTACTCATCATCTGCCTACAACTGGTGGCCCCTCTAAGCGTAGCATATATGCTGTTAAGCTACTATGCTGGTTACTGGATTTTCTCCAAGTGGCTTGGGTGGTATGCGTTGGCGGAGATTGCTTTCTATGTTTTCGTATATCTTCCTCGACAAAGGCTGCTACAGAAGGTGCGAAGACCCGTGGTTTACGGGAGCGAGATGAACTGACTCCTCGAGCAGCCCGCTATTTTGCCACCAACTCCGTCAAGCGAACAACGGCGAGCCCTTTTCAACAAATGCCTGCCGGACCTCTGTTCGGCAAACGGGCCCAAGGGATGGCTCTATGTTCTGCACAAGCCAGGAGTATACATATCACGGGAAAATCTAGTGGACGTTCTCCTCCTTCATGTTTTCAACGCAAGGCGCGAGGATCTGCGTCCAGAGTGGAAGGACGAACTTGAAGAGTATATCTCGCGAGTTGAAACTACCACTGGCCATAAATTTGAAGACAAGCCAGGCGCAAGTGGCAAGGGCATGATGCTCACGCTCGACCCAGTGCCTATGGTTCACAGGCCCCTGATTTGGTACCTTGTAAGAACAAAATTGTTGTCAGTGATGTTTAAGCCGCTCAAACAGCGCCTAGAACGTCGCACTTCTTGACACCTGCGTGTCCGCTGTGTTGCTATGGAAAGGATTCGAGCACTATGAGGTACATCGCCTTATACCGTGCTTCCCACCCCGAGCATCGGTCCTATTCTCGAAGCCGTCGCCTCATCCAGAGCTTGGGTACTGGTATCGTCCTCACCGTAGCAGGTCTAAGCTGCCAGTACTGTTCCTTCACGGCGTCGGGGTAAGATTGTTTGCTCTGTTTGTACTGTCTAGCTGACGAGCAGCATAGATGGGGCTCATGCCATATGTGCCTTTCATGCTCGACATTGTTGCCGCAGACCCGGATATTGGTATCCTGGCTATAGAATACCTCTCATTCAGCACACGGATTTCCAAGCCCATTCTCGAGCGACAAGCTATGATGGATGCAATCCGACAGATCCTCGACCATCACGGCCTATCGGAGGTCGTTATAGCCGCGCATTCTTACGGCACCTTTGTCACCACCTACATGCTCCGAGACCCCGCACTGTCCCAGCGGATTGCAGCCATGGTTCTCGCCGACCCTGTTGCACTACTGGCTTTCAGGCCCGACCTCTCGTACAATTTCGCATATCGTCCGCCGCGGCGCGCAACGGAATGGCTGCTCTGGTACTTTGTTTGCCGCGATCCCGACATTTCGCGGGTGGTCTCGCGGAATATGTTCTTGATGGATAACAGTCTCTGGAAGGATGAGCTTGACGGCAGGAAGGTCACTGTCGCAATTGGAGGACAGGATCTGCTGCTAGATGCGAAAAAGGCGAGAGAATATTTGACAGGCGAAAAGGGGGAAGATTTCCGATGGCAGAGGGATGGGGCAGAGGTCATATACCGCACCGACATTGGCCATGAGGAGGTTTTGTTCACAGAGGGACGAAGACGACCTATGGTCGAGGCTTTGACGAAGTATGTGCGCATGCGGGAACGGGAGAACGCAGGGAAATAGGTCAGATAGCATGCATCCATGTATTATGGTTACTAACCTCACATTGAATGAGCAAATCCAGAGTGGATTCAACTCTGTTGATATTCGAGGTCTGCATTGTGTTTAGGCCCTCTTCGTCCTCTGCATCACACTCATAACCTATGTACCCATTACTGGCCGCTGTCTATCGTACTCGCAGCACGCGGGATATAAATTGTATTCAAAAAGAGCTCCCGATCAGCGCTCAGCGCTAGCTCCGGGCGCTACCTTTCATAACGCCCGGCAGGATCAAGAACGATGTGGCGGCATTTGCACCTCCGAACGCCCATCTTGATTATCTAGCCAACGAACCCACGGCAGATGTTGATCAGAGGAGACCTTGTTCACTGTTCAAATCTCGGACAAATCGATATTTTGCAAGATTATCTCTTAGGCAAGATGGATACAACGCACCAGCGGCCATGCCACTGAAGCTATGCGATACTGTAGATGTCAATGACGAGGGAATCCTGGCCCACGTTGCGCCAGCATGCGCTGCAGAGTCTCAAAACTTGATTCATAATGCGAGGGAACCTCTCATACTCATACCGCGGGGAGGCTTTCTCCTCCCGACGTTCTGCGACCTCCATCTGCATGCACCTCAATTTCTTTACCAAGGGACAGGACTGCACCTCCCCTTGATGAAATGGCTAGATGAATACGCGTTCAAAGCTGAAGAGAGCTTAGATGCAGACCCTGTTCTAGCGGAGAAGGTATATGCACGGCTCGCAGCCCGACTTATCGAATATGGAACCGGCGCCGTATTGCTCTTCGGTACGATCAATTCAGAAACAAAGTAAGAGCGAGCCATTATACTCTAAGCATACTTACACGCGTTCGCCTTGACTAGTCTGATACTAGCGAAGGTCATGCAAAAGGCCGGTATCCGAGCATATGTAGGCAAGCTATCCATGGATATTTCCTCTCGAACATCGTACGTCGAGCACACAGCAGAAGCAGCTTTATCTGCAGCACTTCACTTTTCACACCAGTGCCGTGCATTGTTCGCGGAGCTTCCGCGCCATGCACGGCTGGTCGAGCCGGTCCTGACTCCACGCTTCGTGCCTACTTGCTCGGACGAGCTGTTGAAAGGGCTAGGCGATATGTCTGCGCAGGACGATCTTCGCGTTCAGAGCCATATGGCCGAGGCACACGACCAAATGGAATGGGTCAAGCGCGAGCGTGGCATGGACGACATGGCAGTCTTCGCGAGAGTAAGCCCACCATCACCACTATGGTGCGCATATATCCCGCTTGACTGTACGATATGAATAGAATGGCCTCCTCACGCCACGCACGATCCAAGCACACTGCACCTTTCTCTCTCCGCCGTCGCTCTCTCAATTGTCGCAGTATGGCACCGCAGTCGCCCACTGTCCTCTGTCGAACGCGTACTTCTCCGCGAAGCCGTTTCCGCTTCGCGAGGCGCTGCAAGCTGGCGTGAAAGTCGGCTTGGGCACGGACATCGCAGGCGGTTATGATATCAACATTATGAGCTGCATGCGGCAGGCGGTCGCGGTCTCCCGTATAAGGGAAGGTTCGCGAATTATGCGGGCTGCCGACGACACGACGTGGGAGCCACAAACTGACCTTTCAGTGGACTGGAAGGAGGCGCTGTATCTCGCAACCCGTGGAGGCGCCATTGCGCTAGGGCTGCCAGACGGGTGCGGCCTATTTGTGGTTGGCGTGCCGTTTGATGCACAGCACAGTAAGCGGAACCGCATCCGTCTTGGATGTTCACATCTTGACGGCTTGGCCTTGCAGTTCGACTCTTCGACGCGTACACGGGAGAGGGTGTCGGTCCGCTGGATTTTTTCGATGACAATCCTTTGAGCAAGAGAGAATTGACGACGGACATGATTGAGAAATGGTGGTGCATAGGCGATGGACGGAATCGCTGTGCAATGTGGGTACAGGGCAAGAGACTGGTTTGAAGGTATGTCGGATTCCCAGAATGTGAATCGCCCTTGCGTGGCGAGTTTATGGTGAGCAAACAATGTAACCCGGCTGGAGGTTAATCCGTTTCATCTGAAGCCGTGGTGCCCTCAGGATTTCGTGAAAACATCCGTTCGAAATGGAATTGACGTAATCATGTAAACGGGCTGAGTGGAGCGGGGACGAGTGTAGAACAAAGTCTCGAATGATAAAACAATCGAGTGCGTTACATAAGTATAAAAGAAAATGCTACACCAAACAATCGCCGGCATAAGAGCACTGAACAGCTATGGCTGCGACCCTAAATCGCTGGCCTTCAACTCCTCCCAATTTGGAAGACCGACGATGCTCGGGAGCTCGTCCCAAATCTGCTGCCGCTTTGCGAACACGTGTTCACGAAATGCACGGTGACAAGGATGGCAAGCGGTTGGGTCTTCAGCTAATTGATCGACGGCCTGCACCATGAAGTGAAGAGGGCCCGTCCTCGCCAGCCAGGAGCGCGAAAGCACATTCGCCAGCCTTGAAAAGACACTGTAACAGTCGCCCTGTCGATTTGTACACATTGCGCCAGCTCCGGGAGCTGTGTCCACGTTCTGGACGAATTCTAGCATCAGGTCGATCCGATGCTGGAACATCAGAGTGTAGTCCTGCAGATCCTGCGCAGAGAGCTCAGGAGAGGGACGCGAAGGGTGCTCCACCTGCAATTTAGGATGATCCCCTCGCGTGATATCCTGCAGTGGGTAGAGTGAGAGGAAGTACAGCGCCGAAGGGACTAGAACTTGAGCATTGGTTTCGCGAGCAAGCTTAAGGACGTGAAGCGGGTGCACATATGGGTACGTCAGACCGTCCACTCGATGAGAGTCGAGAGCCATCTGCAGCATGGCGTCGTGTCCGCGAAGTGTACAGCTCCATGTTTTGGAGAGAAAACGGATCGCCTGGGATCGAAGATGCGCAATGAAATACTTGTTGGAGAGACGCAGGACGCCTGCGACATCGTAGAAATCTCTTGCACTGCGGTTCTGAAAGGAGCTGTAGGCACGAATGAGTGGAACAGACAGGTTTTGGTTGGGGGTGGGTGGTGCAAAGTAGCTACTTACGGACCGTCGTATAATGCCTTGATCAGGTTGCTTAGATCGGCAGGGAGATCATACATACGAACCAACTGACAGCCGTCCACTGTCTCGATATATTCTGACTGCGAGGGAGGCGGCAGCTGGAACATGGATTGGAATATCTCCGAGTGTCGCGATAGAACTCCCCGGTGAACCTTGAATGCGACAGTGCTCTGGTCCGCAAGTAGGACAATGTTCCCGTCTTCAAACCATGGTTCCCCACGTTCGTACTTGATCGCAGTCTGTAGCTGCATATTCGATGCCGAGGTTTGCCCGACAAGACAAATGTCGCGCTGTGCCAGCAGGCGATGGCAGTTGGGGGGGGGGGGCCAAGTTGGAGGCCAAGATGCACAGGGCCACAGGCGCCCTCGATAGACACACCCATCACTGCATGTACCATCACGAAAGCGACATAGCCCGACTGTACTCAATTGTTCGCTCAGAACCATCTACATCGTAAAGCTTGCCTATTGCCCCTGCTGCTCGCATGTCTACGCCAAACACATCGTTGTCTCGGGCGTCCTCTCGCGCGGGTACACCGATATCGTCGCCGTCGCGTCTGGCACCCCCGCAAGTGCAACCTGCGCCTTCGGTGTATTCCCGAGTCTACAGCCATGGGACAACCTCAACACTGTCCGTGCCGACCTCAGGTCATCCATCTTCAGAGCTGTTAGCGGTCGGACGACCCGAGCGTGTCGAAAGTCGAGTTCATAGCTCGAGTTCATCTTCCCTGAATGTTGACTCCTCCGTGGCTGGGAGCATGCTCATCGAGGATCCCGATCCAGACTTGGAGCCAGCTGATGGAGAGGCAGAATCCCATAATGAGAGACACAATTCGCATGCGGAAGATGAAGAGTCGAAACAGCAACTCCGCGAGCAGCTCAGACACACTCTGAGCATGCGGGAGCCTTCGGATGGTTAGTGTTATGGCTCACACGACTTCATTCCATTCACACCCTTTAGAATCAGTGCAGCAGAGCAGTGCTCGAAAGGGAAAGGCGGTAGAGACTGATGACGTGCCTCACACTCCAGGTAGGAAGTACTGCTCCCGGGCGGGATACATCTCATGAGTAAAATATGCAGTGGACGACTATCCTCCTAGACAGTACTTTGTCCTGACAGAAGCAGGAAAACCAGTGTTTGTGAGGTGCGCATCGTGTAACTCTCAGTGTGATCTGCTGAACAGTTCGGCATAGTCAAGAACAAGACGAATCCTCTGAGAGTCTGACATCTACCATTGGAATCATGCAAGCGCTAGTGTCTGTCTATCTGGATGACGGAGACAAGCTACGCTGCATAAATGCCGGCAAAACACGCATCTCTTTCCTCCTGCGTCCTCCTTTATACTACGTCTGCGTGTCGTCTTGGGGAGAACCTGAGTCTGTGGTAAGCTAAAGAAGCTTTGGTCGATGTCCAATCTCAAACTCTGACGTTGGCGAAGAAAGACTCGTTTCCACCTTGAATATCTACATCTGCAGATCCTCAGCGTCATTTCGGCAGAGCAGTTGCGGCGTATGTTTGAGCGACGAGCCAACTTCGATTTGCGACGACTTCTAAGCGGTAAGCAGTTTGACATTGAAGTAAAAGTTTATCTTCGCACCTTACGTTGAGCGTTGCCTGAAATAGGGGCAGAACCATTCATGCATTCGCTATTGGCAAGGTTAGAATGGGATCTTGCCATGACCACCTTTTCATTGCACTGTCTTAAGGTGGAGCCTGTGCTGCGAAAGAGCATTGCGGATGTACTGGTGCCGACATCCAAAATCAAGGTAGAGTAACAATAGTGCAATTACGGCGGCAAAGCCTCATCGATTGCCTAGGATATACTGTACGTGATCCTGATAGCTCAAGAACGAGTTATCACACTGGTCAGGCCAAAGAAGCATTCCATACACCCATCAGGTACGAGCTCCTCTACACCCATCTTACTGTATCTGCGGATTAGTTGCTGTCTTTTTTCCGAACAGATCTCCATGTTCTCATCAATACTATTCACGCTCCCTCCATTGTCAACTCTTCCGCGGCTGCCTCCTGGCTTCCTATCTGCCTGCCAAAATTCAATGCTTCCGCGTTCGTCAACGCATACGTGATGTTTCTGCATAGAGAAAACGAACCGTCAATATCACCCAGGTCGAGCAAGAGTGACAGCCAGAGTGTCTCTGCCCATGATGATGAGCAAAGACCGGACAATACAAGTGCAAGTACCGGTGCAGAGGTGAATGTCACGCGCAAACTTTCACCTGAGGTATGCCTAGTTTCTGTGAGCGGCAGTGCGAACTTCGAAGCAGTTCGGAGTTGGTGTGATAGCATTGCGACCGTACGTCTCACGACCGATACTTCATTTACGATTCTCACGTCTTGTAAACAGCGTTTGAAACAGGACGGATTGTTCAGAGCTCTCGTCGATGCAATAGACCGAGGCAATACTGAATACTCCGTTGGAGATCTTGGCATCCCTGGTTTGCGTCATTTTGTATACAAGTCCCGGTCCCATGTGCAAGTGACAATGCCGCTTTATGAGGATCCTTATGATAAACCAAACGAGAAGCGACGGTGAGGAGATCGCTCACACTTCTTATACGATGTGCTAACCAGCAATCCTATGTTGTAGGCTCATCACTCTCTATCAAACGCTCTATGACGCGATTCATGCCAAATCAGGTCAGGCCAGTACGCTCAAGTTGCAGTACCTTCGTACGGAGCGAGAGGGTGTGATGGGCTGGGTGCGGCTCTTTCACCCTGATCTATCCGATTCCGCTCGTATTGACGGGCCTTCGTGACAGATTACACAGCAGTACGAACTCTACCTTGCGCTGTCTCCGCTTCTACCGAAGAGTGCTGTTATGAACGCTGCCAATGCGGTGGCGCGCTGGGTGCAGAAGGAAGAGAGGCGGCTGTTCTTACTAGACGCTCCGGTGTTCTAATGTTGTTTCATCCAATTCGTTTGCGTAGTGTCTAGATACCCTCTGTTGACGCTTTTCTCATTTTCTGGAGTATTTTTGCCATCTTAGTTCGCAGGTACAGGGATAATGGAACAACTGTTCGCTGGCGCCCTTGTTTACGTATTTCACCAATAGATATGGTGACTTTGCGAGCGAATTTTCCAGACAGCACGTCTTGACAAGACGCGCTACGTTACAGGGACATCTCTATACCGTTCCCAATAAGCGCCCGATCTAGATAGCGATCTTCGTGTGGCGGACGATTCGTCTCGTGGGCCACTACCTTCGCGCACACCTATTCTCCGCGCCCCGGGATTAGACTCCATGTCATCCTTTCTAGCTCCGCAATTATCCTCGCTAGTGCCGCGACTCTGCCGCACGTTCGTGAGCAAGGCAGCTCTTCAGCCAGTTCCCCCAATGCGAGGTAGGACGGTGTTAGCTCGGTTCTTTCCTTGATCATCCTTGCTAGCTTGTCCCTCTGTCCAGGCACAATATCCTCTCCTGAGACATTTTTGAAGGCTATTGGAAGATCCGCAGAGACGAAAGTCACAGCTGAAAAGTGGGAAGATCTATGGAAGGTTGACGGCCATCAAATGAAGAAGGCAGGAATTGCCGTGCGAGATCGTAGGTCAGTCGATCTGCCATGAATCCATGTATATTTTGTGATGAAGCGTTTTCGTTGTGCCTGTAGGTATATCCTATGGTGTATGGAAAAGTTCCGCCAAGGACAAGAGCCAGGAGAATTTGCACATCCTCCAAAGGCAAAGAAGAAGATCCGAGGGTGTGTACTGTCATAACATACATGTGATTGCCTCCCTTACACAGGTGATAGCCATGGTCCTGCTGTGCAAAACGGCAAACGCATACGATCCCGTAGGCATAAGTAGCTGTCGGCTTGGCAAGGTTTGCTGTAATCGCAGGGTATTCGATGGGGAATAGTCTTGATGTAGATGGGTGGACTACGATTGACCTAGTTTTCTGTATGCCGCTGTTACAGGTACTGGTAGTGTATGTAGCTCCGCAAGTCTGCATGAAGCAAAAATATTCCTCCGATACGGGGAATCGAACCCCGAGCTACCGCGTGAAAGGCGGTAATGTTAGCCGTTACACCATATCGGACTGAATTTGTCGTTCTAACGATTTTATAAGATCTTTAATTGCATTATCAGCTGCAAAAATTCAACACTGAACATCTATGTTGATTCTCGAACCCACTCAGACACCTGCCTCTCAGCGACAACAACCCCGTTTCTAATAGTTGTACGTGAATACACTGGATTCAGAGCGGCAGCATATACCGAGCTATTCCCTCGCAGCAGAACAAAGTCGGCTTTGTCTCCTGCGATTGGCACTGGATTTTCCGGAGTAGAAATCCCAATTGCTGCTCGCGCATTAATGGTCACCGCTTCCTGTAAAATGGTTCTCAAAGACGTCCTCAGCAGTTCGTACGGAGACATTGACGCACAATGAGGCTTCGGCAATCCTGCTTTGTCCCGCTTTGAAACAACGCGACACCCATTGTGCACAGAGCAAGTGGGTCTACGGGGCCTTGAGGAGTGAATGCGTTCTCGACATTGTTCACCGACATCGCTAGTTTGAGGCCGTGTTCTCTTGCTAGACGAGGGACGTCAAGTGTTCCCCGCGGCGTTTGGTCCTGGTTCCTCCCCATCATGTAGATATCGCTCGGAGGGAGGCCAACCAGAGTTATCGGAAGCTTGTCCTCCTCCACGATGTGACAGAAGCGTTTCCACTCCTCACTGGAAAAGAGCGTGGCGCGAGTATCATGACCGACGCAGACGCAGGCTTTCGGCTGCCACAAGTCTGATGCAATGCGAGCCCGCAACTCGTCGAGGACGAACCAAAGGAGAGGCTCGGATGTCGGATCAAGGTTATAATCGAGATGGAAATCGACATGCAGACCGTTTTGATATGCCATGTCCAAGACGACAGATATATTTCGCTTGGCATAAGCGACGTTAGCCTCGACATATGGCGCGGAACCGATGATGCTGATGCCTGTCCTTTGAGCAGCATTCTTGAGAAGCAAAAGACTTTTGGTCTCCTCTGATGCCTCTCCGGCGAAAATGGGATCTTGAGCAAAGACTTTACGAACGGTATGTAAGTTCGTCAACGCGAAGAGGTATTCAATAAACCTGACCAGCAATTTGCACGTCGCAAACCTCTTGGAATTCACTCCTGAGCTTGAGTCCGATTTCTATGCAGCTCATACCTACGGTCTCATCGACCTCGACATGTGCTCGCATCGCTGTAACGCCGCATTTCACACTGTCTATGATCATCCGCTTTCCTCTGTCATAAAGGCTTTGTAGGTTTGTGGAGAATGTTTTCTTCACTTTCGCGGTAACTCGAAGAGCCTCTGCGAAGTCTCTGAAGGTTGCTCTATCAACTTTATTTGACAGCTAGATGTGAATGCAACAGTACCCTGTAATGAGCTCCTCGCATTGATCTAGGATGAAACATTTGTCAAGGTGTATGTGAGCATGACACAGCCTAGGCGTCGTACAGTCTGTCAACATCCTCGCTTCAATAATTGAGGGAGCACTTACGCGGGCAAAAGAATGCTCCGTCCTTGTCCATCAATTTGTTCGATATGGGAAGGACTATCATTCACAGTGCTGCCGCTGGCAGCCGGGACGACGCTTTCAACATGACCGGCCTCACAAGTAACGTCAAAGAGCTGCTTGTTCATCTTGTGGTCATCGTGGGCTAGGTAGACGTTGCGGATGATAAGCATCGTTGCACTCACAGTGCCTACAATGATCAGTCAACGTATCACACAAATGTTAGCTTACAACCGAACCCTCGGGACAGGAACGCACGCTTGCGCTTGTTGGTTATTAAGGGCTGGCAGTGCGCCGCAGCAGTTCATTCGCTGCGTTTTGGCCCCCCAAAGAGTATCACCCACGATCACACGACATTGCGGCCATTTGCAGCAAATTGCATCGCTCATCTCAGAAGGGTACTATGGAGTAACATTACGGGTTCACAGAAGGGGTAGTTGCATATAAGAGGCTCAGAGTAGGAACAGACGACACTAGAATGATGGTGTAGCTGTCCGTGATGTATGTCTGCTAGGTTTAACAAGGCCAAGTACAGTTGACGAGGAAGGTTTACTGAGAGACCCTGCGTCGCTTTGAAGTCCGCAGATGATACTCATCTTCTTCGCCTTCGCTGTAGTCTTCGCTTAATACGTCCGCACCATACAGTTGCCGCCGCTTCTCCCGGTCGACAATTCGTAGACGGCCGAGATTCGTCGATAGGGACTTGAAGAAATCACTCTTGCGTTGATATCAGTCCCGATCCGTCCCATGATCGTTCCGGTACTACGTACCTTGAATACGCGAACCTTCGCACCAGGCTCGGCGGCCGCCTGAGTGCGCCGTTTCTTCTCTTTATGCTGAGCGCAGACATCAGCACCTGCTAACAAGATTGAATGTGCAAGATCTTCACCTTCTTCTGCTCTTCTCTAAGTAAAACTGCCAGATGTTTTATCCATCGCTGCAAATTCGTTTCTGATCTTCGCTTCTTTACTTGTTCGTCGAGTTTCCCTTCCGTAATTTCTTCGTCATCACTGTCTGGTATGGCATATGTCTTTACCAGAGCAACGCTCCGACGCGGCCTCTTTTTCCCCCGTCCATTACTCCGGGCTTTGCTAGTGGAAGGGTCCGGAGAGGCTGACCAGGGATCGGAGGTATCTTCCATCTTGTTGCTGTACTCGCTTTTCACTCTCACTCTGCAACTCCGCGATTTCCCACCACTGGGCACGACCACAGTGTATTCCTCTTGTGATAAATAATCTTCCTCACTGAAGTAGAACTCCGTTCCGGCTTCAATGTCGTCAAACAAGGAGGAATTCTGGAAGCATATTAGAGGTTTAATGCTGCATCAACGAGAAGCGTTACTCACCGGTGTACGCCCCAATCGCGCAAGCATCTTAAAGTGCTTTAGTGTGACCGGCACACGTACCGACGATCCGAACTGCTCAGTGTAAAGGGATGGCTGCAGGACCTTTTCGCCGGTGAGTACTCAAGCACGCAAATGTCACTGTTTTGACATACGAAGGCATTCTCATTGAGTACAGCGTGTAGCATGAAAACCGCGGTGACAGCACTCCGAGGACCATACTGACCAGTGATCCATCGCCCGACCTGCACATAGTCTAAATGCATATTCAAGATCCGCCAGAGCAATTGCAGGAACTAGCAGAGAAAACCGTACCTGCAGGGTACGTTAACTTGCCGACGCTATCGGAATACGTTGTAATCATCTCGTAGAATCGTCTGCGGCGCGATAAAGATGATTCATCCTTTCGAATCATGACGGTCAGGGTATCCTGTCCAACGTATCCCTAAACGATGAAAGATTATTGTCACAATCAAGTATAACTACCTCAAATTGAATATAAGTACTTACAAGGTCTTCATCGCAGGCGGTAGGCTGCTCCGCTGATATCATGAATACCTCCTCATCGTCGCTGATCTCTTCGTGTTCGTCTACTTGTCCTCCTGTACCGTGCTCTTGTAGATCATGCGCAGCGGCCATTGCAGCGCCTCTATTGGGTTCATCAACCACAGGAGGAGATCCAGGCCTTCTGAAGGCTATGAAGTCTCTGCAAAGCCTCGCCTCGAACGCTGAGCAAGCCTTCTCGTCTTCCGAAGGTGGAAGATCCTCCATGTTTAGTCGGAACGTGCGCAAGACGTACGCAGCAATATCGTCCTTCAGATTTGGATAGGTAGCAACCAGTCGCCGTAGCATTTTGCCCTTGCACCCTATCTCCAGGCAAGTAAAGGCGACCTCCTCCACCAATGTGTCCATTTCGGCCTTATTAAGACCCACCACCACTCGCCCAAACTCAAGTACCCCCACGAAGCTGTCCGGGGTGAACTTATTGATAAGGAGTTCGAACAGGTCACTCCTCGTTACCGGGTCCAACCCCATACTGTCAACCCTGCTGTGACACGTACTCACGTACACCTTGAGCGCCGGGGATGTCTCAGACGTTGCATGGAGAGATTGCGGGAGTGAGATCGAGTCCGGAAAGAATATGGTGCACAGCAGTACGAGGCGGACTGTTGGGTCGTGTGACGGATAGTCTCGCTGCAATCGACGAAGAACCTGGAATGTATTTGTACTGGCCACCGAGCGTGTGTTGACGAAGAGCTGCTACATATATCAGAATTTGCTCTGACACAACGAATCATGACGGGATCACCTTGCTCAGTGCTTCGACGACCGATCTGTCGAGCAATACTCAAGTTCTTGTCGCGAATAAGATTGTAACGACCACATACGTGAGTTTGAATCTGAGCGAGCCTTCGTTATCCAACTTCCTGAGCGCTGCATAACCTGGCTCGTTTGTATGCGCTTCCATGCACACCTCCGCCGCAACCGTCCGTGTAAGAAACATGCTGATATTCGTGATGCACATTCATCAGCTTCCTGAGAGGGCGATGCATGGAACATGGGGAGGGGACGATGGAAAATACCGTACTGAGGATCCAAACGTGACAACTCCAACACATTCTGAACGATCTCGTCGACAAGGCCATCGAATTGTACAGGCTGCTTTTCGAACATTTTCCTGAATATGAAATTGCGGTACTGTCGAATGGAGGGCATGAGGGCTGTGACCGGTGGATGATAGGCGGCACACCGACCTTCCGATCCATATGAAATCCATTGGCCCGAGCATACGGAAGCAGACGAGGTTCAATCGCGAGGACCAGAGGGAACTGCACCATCATGGGATCCTACAGACACAAATCACGCGCATATAGTCACCTGGACGTCATGTCTGCAGTGGAACATACCTGATGGCAGAAAGGAATGAACTAGGCGGACATTAGATTCCCTGAAGACATGACATGGAACTGCATGGATCTCACCTTGTATTTCTCCACTACGGCTTTCAGGTTTTCCCATTTCCATGGCCGTGCTGATGTTGGGAAACGAACCGAGTCCACGATGAGAGTAAATATAGAACCATCATCTTCGCCTTTCGCGACAGGGATGTCGCCGAAAATGCGTGCCGCCGCTATCATGAAATGGGTGAAGACTGACAGTGACATCGTGCGGACCCACGGAGCCTTAATGAAGGGGACCTGCGAGCGGAAATAGTGGTGGATCGCACACTGAACGAGGTAGCGGGAGAGGTGAGCACCGCTGGATAGCATGATCTTTTCAGACGAAGACAGGGGCAAATTAACATTCCTCCAGTAGCGTGGCGGATTGCGAACGTACGTCGATTACTTGCTCGTTCATCAACTTTCCTTTCCCCAGTGCCCAATACAGTGCTTGGATTCTTCCGTAGCGAGAGAGAAAGTAGGAAGAGCGTACATAGGGATCTCGAGTGAAGCGGTGATATCGCTGAGAGATCTGGCTGAAAGACGCAGGGTCGCCAAGTTCGTTAAGAATAATTTGAATGACCTCGTCTGGCAAAAAGCAGCACCACAGCGGAATTAGAGGGGCTCCTGCGCATAGCGGTCGGCGACCTACCACAGAGGCGGTCCATAACGTTCCGAGACAGATTATAAGAGAAGCACAGGAGACAATGGCGTCCACACCAGGCAGGATGGCGACCAGACCTTTCAGATTGCTGGCAAAGGAAGCCGGAAAGGTTGAGGTGGTGGGACGCTCGGCCAAGCTCACGGTGGCGGAACTGACGCTCGTGCTCCCGGCGTCGGAGAATTAGAATTAGTTATAAGCCGCTCAAAGAAATATACAGTCGACTATCTCATAATGCATAAGGTTGGTTCCCGGCTCAGGCTATGCATTATGAGATGGTATGCATTACCAGATGTGTCACATTGTGTTATGTAGTGTGACATTTGTGACCCTTCACTGAGCAGTTGTCATGCCATGGTGCCTCGAAAAGGAGACTGATGTAAAACTCGGTAAATACATACAGATAAGGCAGTTCCTTGGTGACTCTGGGGTGTGGTTTTTGAGTGCTTTCAGGCCCAGACATGGCAGTTGCATCAAAAGCAAATGAGAATTTTGCTATGATAGATAGCTCTTGACATCGTTTTCATGCACTAATCATCCAAAATAGGTCAAATTTCCAATCTGATAATGCATAAAATCCAATTTTGGTTATGCACTATGCGATATGAGATTTTATGCATAATCCCCTTGGGGACGAGCACGGTTCCCGGGTCAGGCCATGCATTATGAGATATTATGCATGATGAGCTCATGCATTATGAGATAGTCGACTGTACATGCCTCCTGCAGTTGATAAATCACATAACACGGAAGGCGGCTTGCCCACTTCACGAGCCGCCACTCAATCTCAAATGCGATGCTGAAGCCCTCTTCCAGTCGGCTTCCAGCTGTACAGAACGACAGTACACGTTACTTACTAGTACTCAAGACAAGCCTCCCTGAACCCAGATCTTCGTGAAGAATGTCCGTCACTGAGAGCGCGGAGGAGGTATCGCGGAATGACGAGAATGAGATTTTGCGCGGAATGTGTGCATCCTCGAGTTCCATTACGACATTGCTTGGTCGGAGGCGGGCGGCGACGTTTGTTCCACGTCTTCAGGAACCGGGTGCAGAAGCACTTCAACTCATTTATTGCGTCTTCAAGAATGTCGATGAAGGCCTTGTAATCCTCCGCAGTCACTACTATATGCTACATTTCTGTGCGAAGGACTGGATATGACAGGCTGGTGGAGGATCCACATTCGTCAACCCGTGATACGACATGATTAGAGGGAAGACAGATATATGTACAGCGAGGTGAGCCGCTAGAATGCGTGGTTTGAAGAACTCAATCATGCGAAGTGATACCGCATTCCACACGGCTTGCATATGCACGGTGCTGTCAATCAATGCAATAGGACTGCTGAAGGTGAGCACCTTCTGAAATGCGACAGTATGTGGTCTTGTTTTATCAATCCATCGCTTCTTAGAGTCAATGGAAGTCTAAAAACCAATTGGCGAAGAAGGCGGTCAGTCGGTCGGGACCACATCACACATCAAATTCAGCATGTGTTCGCATTTAGGTCCATGAGGCAGAGGTTCGGGTGATCTTGCCGCTGCCGACAGCGGCTGCATGCGCTTTCAGTGGTCAAAAGTGAGAGCATGAACGGTGGGCTACGCATTCAGCACGCTATTCTGGTATAATTCCATGGTCTCGATGCCGGCAAGAACGAGCAGGTAACACGCCGAGCCACTCCAGCCGCCATGCTCTTCATCGGACCTCTAGCTTTCCAGTGTACGCGGACCCGTGGCGGATGCAAGGCATTTTGATGGTTTCTGCGCAACGAGCATCACACATCACGGCGGAAGACTGTAGTACATCAATTGCGTATGTATACTATACAGATGGTCTGGGCAGCCAACAGCAGAAATATCAGTAAGTGGCTTTGTAGTAGCTACTCCATATTCTCCAAGGCAACTTCCAATCGCGGTTTTGTAACGACGGATGAAACGCGTCGAAATTCACTGCTTCCAGACGCTCCAGGTACAACCTCGTAGGCACCTAATAAGATATCAGGTCTACTGTACCAACAACATATGTGATTAGGGTCACGTACCCCTGTCAGAAATACCGGTCGCGCTTTACTTGGCACATGGCCTCTCATGCCTTCTTGCTTGAACATTTCCAGAGAAGTTAACAAATTATCATTCGCCGCTGTCGCAAACTCAAACACGGCATCGTCGATTCCCTGGGCGCCACCACCTCTGCGAAAGACTACCTCTTGATTTACACCATGACGTGCTGTGATTTCTGCGGGTATGACCATGCGGCCCTGCGATGCATGATACGGAAGGGCCCGCAGCAGCGTGGCGATGCCCTGAGCGATGCCAAGGTGGGAGGCAGCATGTGACAGAGCGGAAGAAGACGACAGAGAAAGCAAAGAGAGCAGCAGATAGAGGAATGTGGACGATGTGGACTCTGTGTGGGTTGTGAGGGAATCCAGCGTCATATGTGTGGGCGTGTGCAACTCGGCATCCTGAGAAGCATTCCAGTTACGTCGCGCCGCATGTCAACTCGTTTGCTTACTCTAGCATCGATGATCCTCTTCAGGTGGTACGTTGGCAGCTTCGCATGCTGACATGCGTCATATAGTGCAAGTGCGATTGGATGCCTGGGGGGCCTGCCCTACGTCGCTTGGTCACCCAGGATTTCAGCATTTGCTAGAAGGGCCACCAACGTACGTCCGATATTCCCTTGACTGCATCGCGCCAGAACTGCATCCTCATCTTCCCAATCATCGGACTTGAAACTGCTTCTGGAATGCTGGCCAGTTCCACCTACGTACGCACCAGAATTCTAACGCATGACGGAGAAATCAATGCACCTCACGTACATAGAAAGCTCTCAGCGCAAAGAAGTGCCTGCGACTTTCGCGCGGCCAGAAATGAGAGACTAGATGCGCCTCATAATCACGTTTCCGGACGAGGTCTTCGCAGTAAGCAGCTGGATCTCGGACGCCGCTTTCCGGTTGGGTGTTTGAGTCCGTATGGACGCAGCGCACTGAACGTAGCAGAGGGGCTTCTCCGTGTATAAATCTGCAGAAGTTCGCGTGCGTAATCCGGCGACTGTGAGGTCGAAGCATGGGGGAAGACGACGAGTGGAAGCTGGCAAGAGACTCGCTCGGCGTGCACGCCGAAGTGGAGGCGCTCTGGTATGTGGTCATGTGCTCCGAGGCGAGGTGTTGCTGCATTGGCGCGCATGCCTCGCTTATTAGCTCGCGGTGCTTGATCTGACCTGTCTGTACCTCACCTTGCACGGAAGCTCATCATGTCAGCCCGACGGTCTGGCCTGCAGAAGGAGGTTCTGTCACTGTATAGACGGTGAGCTGTATGCGTTGGCCTGAGATGCTCTGCGCCCCGTGCTAATGCGAACAAGAGCTCTCCGCATGGCTAATAGTAAGCCACCGGCAGCACGGCCAAAATTCATGCTTTTTGTACGATATACATTCAGAACGCAAGCTGCTGCGATATCTTCGCGTGATGTTTCAGCGATTGAGCATCTCCTTCGGCGAGGGAAGCGGCAGGTGGAAGTGTACGAGGATAGCAAGGTGTGCGATTGTTGGGTGAGCGCGGAAATGCTGCAGTGGGCGGAAAGAGAGAAAAGACAGAGGGCTGAAGGAACCGAGCCTTCTGCGTAAGCATAGCGTGCCTGAGGAGGCCGGTGTGATGGTGAGCATCTCGCATGCGCGTGCAATGCCGCTGTAGATTGACTGGGCGGGAACCATACAGATCTACCTATGATTCCTTCCCGTGGCTATCACTCTGTGACTGTGGAGATTCTGGTGTAGTCTCGAACAATCCCGCTCCCGCCAGCCTCGCTGCCGACTGCGGGTCGCTCGCTTCCCCTCGCTGAGCCGCCAATTCCTCCTGAGCTTGAGCCTCCGCTTGAGCTTCTGCTTCCCGCTTCTCCGCCTCCTCTTTCTCCTGAGCAGCAATTATGGCTTCCTCCCTCTGCTGCTCGTACAACTTGATTTTGGCCTCATACGCCAAACGCCGCTCGTTGATCACGTACTTGATGCGAGCCATGCTCTTCCGGCACTGCGTACATACAGATAATTAGCGGAAACATCATGAATTGGATGTAGAGACACGATGAGAAGAGCGCATAAGCAATTTACAGGGTAAACCTACCTTGCGGACATTGTCGTACGCAGACAACATAGAAGCATGGACGTTATGTCTTCGCGCATCCTCTACCTGTGTAGCGAGAAGGTTGCGCTCCCGTAGGAGAACATACCACAATGTGTGCAGATCCTTGAAACTTTTCCGACGCAGCTCTGCTGCGGTCCATGACCGACCTGAGACAGGCTGTGTGTTAGGACCACCCACGCACAGCGGTGAGCTTCTATGCATATTAGAGGGTTAACTTACCACTCCCATCCTTGGCTACGTCGATGGCCTCAAACGCCTCATAGGTTACCTTCTCATTGGGTTCCTCTTTTCTGCGAAAAAATGCCCAGAGACCATGGTTTTCGTCCACTTTGATACCCAGATGCGGACGCTGTCGTCGCTCAGCCTTCCATGAGTCTGTCGAAACGCCCGGCGTAGAATCGACTGGCGCGTCTGCCTCGTCCTTCACAGCGCCTTCCAAGGAGGTCGAAGGAAGGTCAGCGGCATGTGTCGCGAGAGTCCGAGCCCGGAGAGACAAGGGACGGAGCGTTCGAAGAACGACAGGCTGCAAAGTTCGAAACATGTGAACGGAGAAGATGATCAAGATCGTAAGGTCGCCAATTCAGCAGAGCTGCGTCTTGAGCTCGAGCAAAGCCTGAGCAACACCTGCAAGATCAGGTAAGAAGCGGCGTCGAAAGGCAATATGTCACAAGCGCATCACGTCACAACGGCACACGCGTTCATATCATAGAGGATCGACAGCCGGCATCATAAGTAGCCTATATTTGGCAAGTCCATGTTTATAGTAAGGGTATCAAAAGCATAAGAGTTCTCGCTCAAACAAGGACCATGGCCCCGCATGGCACGTCTGCTCTTAATCGCAGAGATACAATACAGAAAGTAGTATTACTCGACAACCTCCTCCCCATCGCTCTCGTCACTACGCATGCGCTCTCGTCTAGCGGCATCTTTCGCCTTCTTAGCCAGTTCCTTGTTTGGCCTCAGATCCCCAAGGCATATCATCTTCTTGCAGCCAGAAGACGGACATTCCTTGCGCGCATTGCGACTGGTACCAAGGTAATCTCGTATTGCGGATGCGGAGAATGAATGTCCGCATTTATCCCTACCACAAAGCTGTGACCAAATTGTACAATGTGATGAGGTCTTGTTGCACGTACGATGTCAAGGGGTCCACCAGAATCGTGAGCGTGAGAGGGCACTTGTAGTCCTGGGTAACACCACCCACTATCAAGTCGTCGTCATCGTCGCTCTCGTCCTCATCCTCTGCAATGCGTGGGTTCCGTCATTCATGACATATACAGTGCAGAATCAGGATGCGCAGACCTTTCGGAATGAATTCAGTTATAGGCGGCATGGCTTGGTCAGGATTCTGCACCTCCTGTTTGACACCACCGTAAGTGACTGTAACTCGAGGACATAAGACAACGCACGTAGATAGCGGATTTGAAGGTGATGTACTCTTCCGACTTAGCATACTTCTGCCGTGACGTCTTGCTATTGTAGTTGCCTACTTTTCGCTTTACCTCTTCCTCGTAGAGATCCACTATATTCGCCTTCACTCATTCAATTTGCATAAGATTCAGGGTGAGAGCTTGCCACTTACAATCTTTTCCCTTTGGGAAACTTTCTGGTTCAACTCACCCAAAGTCTTTTCATGAGCAACGAGCTCAAACTCAGTGTCTATGAGGGACCTCATAATTTCATCCATCTCAACCATGTCCTGGGTAATGACGTCAGTTAACAGACGGCGCGATGCGCGAACTTGCTTACTTGCTCCGCCCCATCGCTCCCAGCAAATTCAGCAATGACAGTCGCTACATCCCGCACCAAGGTATAGTACGGTGTGTGGTTCTGGCGTCGCATCATGTTCCAATCCGAGGCGAAGCCAGCCAGCTTGGCTCCATTGGATTTATCGAGGGGCTGGTCGCCAAAATCCTCCAACTCCTCTTCTTCATCTTCAGGCTGCTCTCGCGATACTTTGCGCTTCGACTCTTTCCTCACGCTTTTTTTCGAGCGACGCGGCTTCTGCACTTCGTCTCCCTCCTGTTCTTCGTCTTCCTCACCGTCCTCCACATCCTCGACGGTACGCTGGGTAGGGTTGTCTTCTTCTATCACGTCAGAATGCTCTCGCCTGATACGACGCGACGAGCTGGCGACGGGCATTGCGTGCGATGGTGGTCACGAGCAGAAATGCGTCCGTAACGCGTAGTGCAGCGCGCATCTCGATCCATCCCGTGATCGACTTTAGGGTAGGTCAACTCGCGACAGACCGAAACCGGAAGGTCTCCTTCAACGCCGGTCACCAAGGATGCTGTCTGCACTTCGGGCGTTGTCGCGTCCGCTTCAACGGCAGTCGACATTCTCTCTGCTGCAACAGAACTTCTATCAAAATGCTACATTACCTTCGCTATCCCGTTTCTTCCATCCCTCGCTACCTGCCGCCGTCACCCTAAACCAGTCTACACGGCGGAAGCCACCGAAGAAGGCGAAGAAGCCTAGGTCGCCTCTGTTAGAGGGAAACTCACAGAAAAAGGGCGTCATCAGCTCTGTCTTCATTCTGAAGCCGAAGAAGCCCAACTCCGCCAAGCGGAAGGTCGCTCGAGTAAAGCTCACTTCTGGGAAGACCCTCCAGGCGTATGTCCCTGGCGAAGGACATAACTTGCAGGAGCACGGTGTGGTGCTCGTGAGAGGAGGTCGTGCGCAGGATTTGCCCGGTGTTCGGTAAGTTGATGTCATCCGTGCAAAGGATCTTGTCCCGAGCCCGTTTTCTACAGATATAAACTTGTCCGCGGAGCGTACGATTTTGGTCCTGTGGTGAACAGATTGACAGCGCGGAGTCGATACGGAGGTGAGTGCTGTTTCATGCACGCAGCTCTCCCATTTGACCTCTCACATCTGCAGCGAAGAAGCCGAAGCAGTAGAGTCTCCTGTTTCAAGCCCGCATTGTCTAGCTTGCTGCATCCTTGTCATGTCGTACCTTGTTCCTACTGATGCCGCTCTCAACTACCAAAAAATTGGCATCTCCATGCGCGCGAACTCCGTAAAATGTATCAGAACAGTAGTTGGTATATCAGAAAAGGATATCAAAAAGTTGCCGTGTGCTGTAGCCATGTTTTCTGAATGGCAGCGGTAAAATCACCAAGTCTTGACAATATTCCCAGCTTCCCTGATGCTTTCCTCTCTATCGCGAGTCTCCCGAATCACCCTTTCAATCTCAACATTGATCGCCCACACCCAAGCATCTCTTTCAAGTCTGCTCCTAGTCCGGAAAACGCTCATCTTCCTCTTTATCGACAGCGGCGGGATGTCGGTGCGACGGACATCGCCGATCCCCTTCTCTCCTTTTTTCGATGACCGGTACCAAATCATGAACAGGGTATCCTCAACGCCGTCGTCAGTTTCTAGCCCATCCTGGTATCGCCGCGCATCATGCGGTGCGTCAGGGTCATATTGCCCTTCGGGCAGATACTGTGCAGCGAGATACCCTGAGACGACAGATGCATCCATGAGGCTGATCATCTTGTGTCGGCGACGGTGTAGCGATCGTCGTCCCGCGATGCGGTATTGAATAAGGGTGCCGGAGGTGAGAATCATCTGAATGTGCCTATCGCCGCCGTTCGCGTCAGCTTCAGCCATCCCTACAGAAAGAAACTCTTACTTGTATCGCCCATGTAAACCTTTGCTCGCATACAGTTTGCCGCACTTAAGCATCGGCCTGCACCCGTCCATCACGCACCAATTGTAGAACGAGCTGAGCTCCGGAAGAGGCGCTGCTGGATCGGGTAGAAGATCCTCCGGAGAATCATGTTCATGGACGACGTGCTGCAGAGGAGTGATTCGAGTACGTCCCATCCTAACATAGGCAAGGTCCATTTCTCGTCGTGCGTCGACCTGGTGTCGTTTCTTCCAGTACGACACCAGCGGACGCAGCCGGACGATCCATTCGAGCGCGTTCTGGCATGAATAAGCCTACGCCGAGGTGCATTAATGCTCAAAGTGACGAGTAGAGAGCATATCGTACCTCAAACCTGACCACGCTGCCGGTGGTCAACAGCAACTCAAACGACCGTCTCATATGCAGTCTTGTTCTGTTCCTCGAGGCATTGGCTCCTGTCTCCCCTCCAGCGTCCTCATCGTCGCTTTCCGACCTCTCGACGTCCTCCCAGAACCCTTCGACGTCTTCCCATTCAGGCATGTTCCCCCCGGGTATCTGGTCGCTATGTCTCGCAGCGACCTGAAATGCTCTCCGAACGGCAACGATACTCCGCAGGTCCAGCAACGCGAAAGCATGCAGGATCTGCTGTGCACCTCTATGCACTTCTTCCCGCTGGAGGGTCTCAGGATTGCAGTCGACTGGTAAGAAGCCAGGCGGGGCGGGATGGTGGGCATGTGCGGAGTGCAGCGAAAACAGGTAGCCGTCATGACTCGTCAAGTAGATCGCTTGCTTCAACTGGGAACTCGGACGGATGCGGTCTAGATAGCCTTCGACCGCAGGCGGCTCGTCAAGCCTAGTGCCATCTTTCAGGTGGAGCCGCGTTGGATAATGTTCCTTCAACCGAACCTCCAAATGTGCAGGCTTCCCTGCCTGCGTGCTAATGCATGAGAGAACGACCCAGGCTAGATATCAAACACCGACCTGGTGTAATGCGAGGCCGCACAAGATAGCCCAATCTCGCGTGCTACCCTGGACGTCCTCCAGCTGCCACACCCAATCGAGATTCGTCTCCGAACGCCAAGCCAATGCCAACGCACCACGGGCAGCAACCGTATGCTCTAACAGGTCGCTGTATTCTGCCACTTGCTTCAGCCGCTCCTGGCAGGTGCGTATGATATTCTGTTTGTTGAAAACCGCATAAGCAGCGGCAACGTCGCCACTGTCGGGTATATCAATCTTGATGCGTGTATCAAGAATCGGAGATCGAATCTCTAAAAAGGGCGGAAGCTGCCCTCCAAGATGCCGCCTAAAAGTTGTGTCGATAAAGATGTTAGAAAGTAAGATCACAATCTAGATTGTGGACATCGCACGGACCACAGCTTGTAGAGCCAGTCAATCGCTCTAGTGCGGCTCTTCATTTTGAAGACAAATGCGTTGAGTCCTGTTCGCTGGCCGTAAAGCCATCGTCGTTTGGAGCGGTGGCGCAACGGCACAGAAGGGCAGACGATGCAGAACGTCAGATCAACGAAAGAGTACAGTGATAGCCTTGTCGTGGATGAACCCAGCGGGATCACGAACAGCAACTTCTTGTGGCCCGTGGACCAGTCTTTCCATGGCATCAACTGACAGCACGGTCACTTGTCGTACTCCAAGGATGACCACGAGACAAACGTACATGATCTCTGTAAAGCTCTAACCTGTCTTTCCTCCAGACGACAATGTATTCCACCCAATCCTCGTTGTACAAATGGCTCGTCGTCCGGTTCGCGTTCTCGTCGAACTCCGCAGGCAACGACGATCCCTCCGTGTGAGAAAACTTGACGAGCATCCTATCTGGGTATAAGCTAGAAGAGGGGACATGACAGTCGTTCGAGAACGCGTACCTCGCATAATAACATTCCCCCATTTGACTTGGTTCTCCGGGTCAGCCTGCTGGGCTGCGCCCGCGCTAGTATGTTCCACTTGTTCACCGCTCCGTGAAAGGACCTCCCTGGGAGGCGCGGGATCCTCCTGTACGGCTGGCTCGGGATTGTGCACCGCCTTGCCTTTGCCTTTCGCGAACCCGTTCTGCCCGGGCTCTCCGGAATGCCCATTTCGGGAATTTGAGCTGGACGTTTGTTCGAAACGGACGTGAGGCGAGTGACTAGCCGGTGCACCTGGAGTAGGTCTGAATATAAGCGCAGTAGAGGAATGGGCGCTCCGCGACTCGTCTGTCTGCAACGGGGAGTCTTCGTCATGGCGGGAGCTCCTTCCGCCCTTCGTGGCGGCACCAGGAATGCTCAGACGCGAGGGCGATGTGACGAACGTCTCCGTACGGGTGGAAAGGGGCACATTCCGAGACGATGATATCTCGGCCGTCCGACTTGTGCCAGCTGGATTCGTCCGTGTGTCCTGGTCGAGGACGTCCACGCCCAAAAATAGGCCCACGTCGAACGACCCTCCGACCCACCTCTCGTGCGACCGCTCGTCGCGCACACGACTGGATGCCCTCCCCCACTCGCTCTCCTTCCACCGCCTATACATCTCCTCGCGCACGCTCCTCTCCTCGTTCTCGCCCCACTCCTCCTCCCGGCCGCCGTGCTTCAGGAAGAAGTCCAGCGCGAGCGTGCGGATGGTATTCCGCAGCCCGTTGTCGTCGGAATCCGAGTCCGCATATACCCTGCCCTTGCGCTTCCTGCGCGTGGTGAAGTCGTGCGCGAGCACTTGCTTCGGTAAGGGTCCGATGAACCGGCGGTGATGCTGGTGTGTGTCGCTCGTGCTCGTCACCTCGGTAGAGGATGTCTGGATGGGAGGGGGGAGGGTTCTGGGCGTCGCCATTGCCCCAGTAGATGCTACGTTGAGGCGAGAGGCGGCGGCGGACAGCTCAACGCCAGCGAGATGCGCCTCCGTCGCGGAGTTCGAAACGCGCTAGTCAGCGTGTTTTTGTCAATTCAAGAGCTGCCCACTTGTGTCAACCGTTGTGAACGCATGCGTGGAGGCTACGAGTCAGTCACCTAGTATGTAGATGCAGTCGAGCCAACGTTGAGAATATAATTACATTGGAGTGACCCGGCTCCCGCGCCCCGTCATGACGTAGTATTCCGTGTTTAGAGTTCGTAGCGTCCGTTTATAATTCCTGCATTCCGATATGATACACAATAGATACAGGAGCGATAGCAGTATGCAGCGATGTAGCGACGTTGTGAGCGAGTATACGTTATCCGTAATTATATTAGAACTGCGAACGAAGTAAGTGGGGGTTGGAGATGAAGAACCCGGCGCTAGCTTTGTCCAATGAGGGTGCAGTTGCACCACCTCTAAAGTCTAAGACTGCCTAGGATGGAACTTGCCATCCTCGATGAGCTTGTGCGACTCCTGGACGTATCGCTCCGCCTCATCGCGAGTGAAGCTTTAAATAAATTGTGGTCAGCCGCTGCGCGGAACGATCAACAACAAATGTACATACGCAATTCTCTTGCCCTTGACGGTCATGTCGGGCTCGCGGAACGCGAATGGGTTGATATCCGACTTCTTCAGGTTGGAGAGAGTGTGATTGACGAACCGATGCGTGCTCTCGTCGCTGCGCACAGCGTAGATGACATCAAGGAGGGTCGCGCTATCGTCCAACCGCCAATAATTCTTCGCAATCTCCGGGGCGGGGTAGTCTGCCCACTCCGGGAGATGACCAGATTCGATCTCCTCAATGCACTTGGTACTGTAAACAAGTCAGGACAAAGAGCTCTCATGGTTGCCAGACAGGCTTACTAAGTGATGACTGCCTCCTCCTCGAGATGGCCGACAAAGCGATGGCACGTCCTGGGCGATACCATGTAGCAACCGACTAGAACAGGCATGAGCTGCTTTTCATAATAAAAACGAGTGATGGAAACATACAAAAGATGTTGTAGAAGATACCCTGAGCACCGATCAACATGGCTCGGAAGAGATAGCCTGGCCTCCGCATCGTCATGAAGGTCCTAAAGCTTTTGTGTCAGTACAAGACGACAACAAGAATGAGAGTACAAAGACGTACATCAGGTGCATACGCTCATTTTCAGCCTCTTCCAACAAAGTGTGGATCCAGCCCGAGTCCCGACGCTAATGTGATGTTAGATCTTCCAAGGTAGATGATATAAGTAAGAATGCCGTACCATCAAGCGAAGACTTCTGAGGTGGCGAAGAGTCGCTGCGACCATTCCCGGTACACCCGCAATGCTCTCAAGGAAAATGAAGCGCTAAGAGCACAAAGTCAACATGCAGCTAGCACCATTAGTCGTAAACAACCATACCCTCAGCCATTGGTGCTCATCCATGATGTAGCCTGCCTTCCTGAGTTCCGCGATAGACATTTCTTTGTAATTGGGCGGAAGGGGCTTGTGCTTATAACCGGAGACGACATCGAAGCCCAATCTACAACCGCGAACACTCGTGAGCAGACATCATTGACAATCACGCCGGTATGATACCATACCTGAGCAACCTAACGAACGAATACGCGATCTTGTCCGAGAACGTTTTCGCTTCACGGTGTAGTACCTTAAAGGGATGTTGAGTTGCCGAACCTGGACGAAGAAACAGGCGAGCATACCTCGACCGACCGGAGCTCGTCGGGCTTATAGACAGGGTGAAATAGAACCCAGTCGCCCTTGATGACCGACGGAACGTCGCTGGTACCATTCTCCTTCGTGACTGAATCCTCGGCTGTCTTGTCACCTACGTTGAATGTGAACACTTGCAGCAATTATGTGAATCAAACAACACATACGCTTGTGAAGACCTTCAACTCCGACGGAGGCCTTTTCATTCGTGGGCTTGGTGGTCAGCGAGTTAAAGAGTGGTGTACCAGTGGTGAAGGCACGCTGTGCGAGGACATATGAAGGGCCGCGTGAAGCGACGACATAGAGGGAAGGGTGCAGCGTGCGCGCCGCCGGGAGGGTGCGAGAGACGGTGGTTCTGAACATCGTTGCGAGTATTTTGCAGACTGTTGCCACAACGGCGCGCGCCCATCACGTCCTATATAGCCCTGGCGTGCAGCGTATCCGTTACGTTCCGAGGACAGACCCGAGGTAGACCGCGCGACGAATCACGACATGATTTCCGAATGCTGACCTGAGGCGCAGAGCACAGCATTCCGATATGATTGCGTCTGGCTGCGTCCTGGGCCAGCCCAAGGCTCAGCGTTGAGGAGGAGGGACGAATCTGTGCCACGCATGCCCCCGCATGCCGCGACCAATCACCGCCCATTCAAAGTGCTTTCCGTCGCTTTTCTCGGCAGATCCGGATCTGGAGATCGATGCTTGCCGCCGCGTAGCCAATGTGAAGTTGTTCTGCCAGCCTATGAGCTATAGGGTGATTTCGGACTGTGGACCCACCTCTTCGTCGGCCTCGCCGTCGAGGGTACTCCCGCTCCTGGATAGAGCACGGGCTCGTCCTGCACTGTGCGCACGCGCGGTGACATCAGCCGTACGACTCATTTGGAATTGTGTTTTTCCGGACGTACCGACGCCTCGACAAGCGCTTGCCAGCAGGCCACCTGACAGTTAGGCGCTCACTTCTGCTCCACCGAATAGGGTCGCGGCGATACCAAGTCTATTTGCAGAACGTAGTACATCGTATAGACGACGTCTAATAGGATGCCTCTGCTGCTTGCAATCACCAACTGATAGCGGAAGATCACGCATCCACTGCGTGGGAAACAGGGACCATGTCCCGTCATCCTGAAACGCAGCCGTCTACTTCCTGTAAGGTCCGCGGGCCGCTCAGGAGCCCAATCTAGGTTTTCGTATGCACCCGTGAGGTGTCCATGCTGCGATGCATCTGTGACGATGCCGCAATTGTGGGATACACGGGCGACTCACGACATCGATACCTGGACAGGCGTGGGCTACCGATCTTGTCGGACTTGAGTGCTCTCCTCTCTCGGTGCCTCCCCTACTCCTGCAATCTTACGCTCCGCGTCCGAAAGGGAGAAGAAGGCTGCTTTCTGGCGTTCCAGCCACCTCCTCGGCTAAGGAAATACAAGACGGCATTTCGTCTCAGAATCACGAAAGACGCTTCCATCAGCGCGGCAAGACGACTCACGGGCGAAAAGACGTGTTCTTGCTCCCCAAAGTCCCCGAAGAACACCGAGTACACAATCACCGCTATGAACTGTGAGGCTGCACTCTGTACCGGACGTAAGGTGCACGCACTTGGGATGAGCATCCAGTTGGCCGTCCTGCTAAACCTGAACAACCACGGAGGTCGAGGGTCATCGGGTTCAACCTTCGACATGTCTGGCCGTTTTGAGTCGCCGTTTGCAATGGAGCGCCGCGCGCCTGTTAGTGGAGACGCATGGCGGCGCACGGCTGTCGAGGAGAACACAATCCGCCTCCAGCTGGAGGACGCGCAGTTCAGCATTAGCCCGAAGTTGAGGGAGAGCAAGGCGTGGGCAGGATAAGTCTGATAAGCGAATGTTACCGCGACTAAACATTTCCTAACCTGGACCTTATCGCGTCTAAATCGTTACCGAAGGTCGGCATTCCATGATTCTCGGAGGGGCATCGCGCGTTGCCGATGTTCTTGCAACTGTTCGGACCTGACGCTATATGCACATCGCTCTCACCGCGTGCGCGTCCGTGCGTATTTACGCTCCAGCATGGCTCGGATACGCGCTTGCTGCACTCCCGCGTTCTGCGGGACACGCAGCCTCGGGCGGGAGGAGAAGATCACGTTGGGGCGCGCAGTGATGGCAGTGGTCCGTCCGCGTCGGAGTCGGTTAATTGTTTGATTACGTATTAAGTCCCCGGGAAAGACGGCTCGGGTGAATAGTTACGGCGCCTGCAAGGGTCGGGGTTGACCGTCGGAAGGAAACATATCCCAGAGCTTGTTGTCCGACCGCTCGCAATGCTCTCCATCTCATCTCATCTCTCCATGCAGTCCACCTCAGAGTACGTGGACGACAGCCGTCCTGCAAAGCGGCCCAGGCAGGACGACCTCTGCGACTCGGTCGTGCGCCCGTTCACCATCCCTGCCCCGTCGGCCCACCCAGAGACCGATCCTGCGGAGAACTCCTCAAAGAGGAACAGGAAGCGGCCACTGTCTTGCGGGGAATGCAGAAGGTAATGCTTCAAACTGTCTCAGCTCTAGATCGCAGCTCACTGGCGCGCTTGGGCGGCAGGCTCAAGCTCAAGGTGAGTCCAGGCACTGTCATCAGTCGGGCATAGCGGATAATCGGACACGCGGTCCTGTGCAGTGTGATCGCGTATTTCCATGCCAGTCCTGCTGCAAAAGAGGCTGCGCAGAAATATGTCCGGATGGCGCGTTGACAGGAGGAAAGGGTAGTAGGCAAGTCGTTGCTAACGAGGTTTGCTGGCCGGGTAGCTCATCGCTTCGTCAGGTTTATCCTGGCTAATACAGAACAACTGCATGAGAAAATTAAATCCATGGCCGAGCGCATCCGCCAGCTGGAGGACGCTCTACAAACGATACAGGCACAGCATTCGACAGAGTCCCACCCTCTGCTAAGGCAGGAGCTTCTGTCCATTAAGCGCTCACCTGAATTATTCGGGATGGATCGCAATGCAATTGCTGCAAACCACAACATCAACATTCTTAGTGTGCACAAAGAAGAAGATGACCACAGAAGCACTGGCTCGTCAGGAACTCCACCGGACGTCGGCGACGACGTAAGCCGCTTAGTAAATGATACTGTATAACTGTTGAAGGCACTCAGTGATCTGCTCATTTACAGTATGCATCCTCATCCTCAGTGTCTGTCAGCGCCAGCGTAACACAGCTCGGACTCCCTGAGGAGATTGTCCGCCTAAGTCGGGCTTGCCCGGTACCGCCCTCGATGAGCGCCGACCTCAATCCCGACCTCCGACGAAGCATCCGTGACCTACTACCTCCGCCTAACGAGGGTCAGCGGATCTGTGAACAAGCGCGCCGAAACGCGTTTTGGCAGTACGTTCACCAGAAAGCTACAGCAGAGCGCCGTGATGGCAACTGACGCTTTGTGTTGGTGCTCGCAGCTACAGTCCAGATACCAGCGAAAGCTTTATACCTAACCTGGTTCACAGCGTGTACTATACCCAGCTCAATACCCTCCTTCCACATCGCCTCAGTCTCTTCCTCATCGTGCTTGCTATTGGGACAGCGGTCGATCTCCAACCAAGCCACGATCGCCATGCAGCTGAAAAATATCACCATCTCGCACGAGCCGCCCTGTGCGAAACGGCAGTCGTTGATGATCCCAGCTTTGATACGATAAACACTCTGGTACGCTACTCCACTGATATGAGCCGTTGCATTTTCTGATAGCGGACAAAGTTCTACATGGTCTGGTACCTTCTGATGTTTTCCAATCACAAACGGGCGGCAGAGCATGCATGGGGCATCATGGTGCGTGCCATGTGCTGATGCTCCATTATCAGGACTCTAATTGGATCCTCCTCTTGGATAGGGTCTGCTGGCAAAATTGGCGCAGAGCGTGAGTACCATAGTAATCTCCGAGAGAGAAGCGTTCATATAACGCTCGACTGTCGCAGCTCGGCCTCCGTACGCGCCCAAAAAAACCCTTTTAACCGTGCTCCTAGTTAACTTCTATGCTTCACAGACCGCGATGGCGTGGGCAAGATGATACCAGAGGAGCTCGACAAGCGGAAGGCTCTGCTATGGAACATGATGAGTGTTGACGTGCGTTTGGTGCGTACCTGAAGCCCGGCATAGCTCCGCACTTGACGGGACAGCTGACTTGGCTTTGATTGATCGCCAGGCACTCATGCTGAGACGGCCGCCGTCTCTGTCCATTCATCATGTGGACGTAAAGCGTCCTGCGTACAACTTCTTCGACTCGCCGACCGCGAGCATCAGCGCGACATGTGAGTCTTGGCGCGTTGGCTGTGTTAGTTTGCGCGAGATTAATGCGAGCCGGGGATAGATCACGAATGGCGAGACACATTCCTCGCGCAGTGCCAGTATCCGGTGCTAGAGCTGATCATTGCCCCGCAACCTCCGCCGTATGCTGATGTGCTCGCGCTCGACACAAAGATTCGCGACCTTGAAATCCCGCCCGCGCTGCATATGGTAGACACAGATGCAGGCGCACCACAGCACCCCGTAGGCTTGCAGCAGGCGCTGACTCTCTGCACTCGCGAGATCGGTTCGTGCCCACGCGTGTCCCCGCTGCTGCTGCTCATGACATGTCACGCTCGGCAGCGATCCTAAACCTGCATAGAAGCTATTTGACGCAGGCGCTCAGAGCGCAAGATGGATTCACGATCAAGAGCAAATACTCACCATCCGTGCTGGCTGTCTACAGCAGCGCATGCAATTTGATCTGGACTGTGCACACATGCTACAAATGGGAGCCTGAGCTAATCGTTAGGTTTTCGGTAGTATGGTCGAACTGTCTTTCTGCCGCGGTATGATTTCCTTTCTGCAGACGATGACTAGTTTTGGTATTGACCGAACTATTTCAGCTCGCGCTGTGTCTCATTCTTGGGCGTGCTCCAAGCAGTCCACTTTCGCCTCATGCCCTCGCGGAGGTCGACAAAGTTAGGAGACTGTTCATCGAAGTCCGGGACCGTTGTCCTGCAGTTGCCAAAGCCTTAGTGAGTGTGGATGGTGCTTCGCTCTCATTGCACTCTGTGTAACTAATAATATCAGCCTGCTCTGGAAGCGTGCGCTGCAAAAGCGCGCTCCGTCTACGTCGGTTGGTGCCATGGATCGGTAGATTGCTACGGAGATTCAGAAAACGACGAAGTGTGTGCGCTCGTGCGCCGCACGGTGATGACGCCGCCCGAAGACGCGGGGTCGGCGACCCAAGAAGCGCACCCATTCGAGCATGCGCACTTTTCGCTGAAACATTGCTACGAAAAGTTCATTGCGGAGCACCCGTCTGGCCGCGTTGAGCCGTACTCGACCCAGCAGGATTCGTTGCGGTTTGGCGTGTCGCAATCGTACAGCATGTCGGCGGAACGGACGATGCACGACCCGCATGCGAGTATCAACGGCGCCGACGCGTCCACCTCGCAGAACACTTATAACCCGGGATGGATGGGGACGGAGTTCTTGGACAGCAGCTGGATGACATGGTTCTAGTGTTGGTAGTGTTAGATGGCATGAACATATGGCGGACTGGCGTGTACATTTGAACTAACGCTTGATTATTGGACTCCAACATGTACTTCTTACCTCGATCCTTCTTCCTGGTTATAATACCTGACCACTCTGCACGGAAATGAGTTTGAACCTTGCTGCCCCTTCGATCTGGCAGTTCTCTTCTCAAGGTTGATGATACCGATAAATGCTCGACACTATTCGACATCCAAAGCTGTGCTCCGTATGATATATCAAGCTCAAGCTTCAAGCTTCAAGCTTTGAAGGACAGCGGGAACGGCCGCCGTGAAAGATGAAATCGTCGCCGAACGCTCGCGACCGGCCGATCGTAATGCGTAATGACTTGGATTAGACAGCTGCCTAGCGGCCTACGATCTCATTTTTCTTTTTCTCCCATCTTCTCCCATCGCATAGACGTTCACTCATTTCAACAAACGAGGCCCCTCATTATGTCGAGCACGTCGCCGGTTATAGCGACCGAGGACAAGCTCAAGGTCCTGACGCACGTCCAGTACGATCCGCCCGAGTCGCTCTCGCCCTCCACGGTCGCCCCGGACCCGCTCGACCAATTCCGCACCTGGTTCACCAGCGCGCAAGGCGTTGTGCGCGAGCCCGAGTCCATGGTGCTCAGCACCGCCTCCGCGTCAGGCATCCCCTCCGCTCGCACGCTGCTCTTCAAGGAGCTCGACCGACGCGGGTTCATCTTCTTCACGAACTACGAGTCGCGCAAGTCGCAGGAGCTCACGGAGAACCCGCGCGCCGCGCTCAGCTTTTATTGGCGCGAGGTGGCCAAGCAGGTGCGCATCGTCGGTCGCGCAGAGCGTCTCAGCAAAGCGGAGAGCGAGGAATACTTCCGTAGCCGCCCGCTCGGGAGCAGGCTCGGAGCCTGGGCGAGCAAGCAGAGCAGTGTCGTGGATGAGGGCGAGGTGCAGGCGCGGCTGAAGGAAGTCAAGCAGCGGTTTGGCGTGCAGGAGGGCGCAGAGGATGCGGATATACCGCTGCCCGAGTTCTGGGGCGGCTGGCGAATCGTCCCCGGGTACGTATCACTTACTATCAGACGCACCCGTGCTCATGCAAAGAGTGTGTTATTACAGCGAAATAGAATTCTGGCTGGGCAAACCTTCACGCTTGCACGACCGAGTGCGCTACCAGCGCATAGAAGGATCGCCGGATGATACACGACAATGGAAGATAGAAAGGCTTGCCCCGTGATGCATGGAACAGGACAATTTCAATACGATGAGGTCAAGGCATGTACGGTGGGTGCATTTACTCTCCCGATGTACGATACATCGTCAATGTTGTATTTTGTCTAACCAGATCCAGGTCATCAATCATCCGCATTCTCAGGAACTAGCGCCCTTCGGGACCATCCAAAATCAGCCTTTTTGTGTTAATGTTGTAATGTTGACATCGAGTCGACACCGAGGTGTGGAACGCGGCCGAATTCCATGACTGAACTCACCATCCCGGCGGTGTGGAGTAGCCGCTAGAGCTCTCCGCAATCTCCATTGAATAGAACACATTGGACATCGCTGCATAGCTTAACCGCACATATTACAAAATACCATCAGGCCCCGGTAGCAAGACATTCATTCGACAACGTCGACATACATAGAACGGCTAGAACCATCGTGACCTCGACTTTCGAGATAAGCACCGACATACATGGATCTACTTACATGAAAAGGTAGCAGGAGAGAATCGAAGCTGAAGCACGGAGATTAAAGCTTGAAGTTGGCGATATGGAGTGCAACGCGGACTCGGAACCGGTGTGCGAGCTATGTAGCCTCGAGGCCGACAGCAACGAAGCTTTGTATCCTTCTCTAGGCCTCGTTCCGACACTTGGGAAGCGCGGAACTCGAGTAGCGACCGTGCCTATCTGAATGCGCGGTATATCCGCGCGGCGACATCGCCAACAATCGAAGCTCATTGAGCCCTTTGACCCGATGTTCCACGCAGCAGGAGCTGAGAAGTGAATGTCCACGCTCAGGGCACGCCGCGAAGTTTGACAGCGCGAATCGAGCTCGGACAGCGGGCGTCGATCCATCTCTCTTGCCTTGTACGGAGATCGAATAGCTGCAACGGGCAGATATGTCTGACCGACGGTGCCTCATGCTGATGATGGGCAGCGGGCCCGAAGGAAGAGCACCATTCCTGGCGTAAAGTGCCTCGAGCCGTGCATGGCCGATGTCGCATACTGTTATCCTTATTCCGGCGAGTGACGTCGTAGTAGCCAGCAATGGTCAGATTACGCGGAAACGAGACCGTTTCCTCGAGCGCTCTCAGCTTCTGCTCGAATACACGCGGTAATACGGCGTGTGAAGGAGATTACGAACAGCGGTGGAACCGAGAAGGAAGGATACTGGTGGCAGCAGCGTTGCAGACGGTGTCTTTAGCTCGGTGAGTGAACGCAGTTAGACTTCTCGCATCCACCTTTCTGCCTCGGATTCGTGTGGTCGCGGTTGCGGCCCAGAGTGTGTTCGCAAGAGCCATTCTCGAACTTGTGAGAACTGCGTAAGCTCAGCAGGCGTCTTGAGGCTCGTCGTTGGATCGCGCAGAACTTTTACCAGAGCAACCTGATGGATCGTGAGCGGGCCCGAGAAGAATTGCAATGGACGACATTGGAAATTGGATCGTCAGCGCTCTGTGGATGGAGGGGGAACGTATTCTCGCATCAAGTCCGCTCACATGGAGACGAGTGCATTGATTGAGGTTGCGAGCGCACTGACTGCTGCGATGCCAAGTCTAATCAGTGGGTTGGTGTCAAAACCCAGGCAAAGAGCAACAAGCGAAGCTGGGAACCAGAATGGAATAGCGATTTCTCCGCAGCCACGTCATGCGTCCATTGGTTGAGGGGAATGGCGGACCGTGTCGGGCAGCGAGCTAAGCCCCGAGGATCATATGTCGCGTTCTCATCGCTGGTGCACATCGAGATGGGGAAGCTGCAGAGGAGATGTGGGCCCCGTGGTAGCGCGAATCGACGCTGAGGGAACGGCATCCCGATAAGTTCAAGCGCGTCAGTCTATAGAAGCACAGAAGGCGGGCGAGATGAGAAACGTGGATGCAGAGGAGGGCGATGCGGACACGGCGCGCTTTTGGTCAACAGAGGAGATCTGGGGCCTATAGGGCATGTGCTGCTGCTTGTTGGACAGCAATACAGGATGGTAAGCCAATCCACCGAGCAGCGGCGGTCACACCAGTGCGGAGAGAGCGCGCGCCGTGACGGACGCGAGACATGGCGTGACGGCGGGGAAGATGCCGACTGGGCGAGATTGGGTGACCAGATCCGAGTTTCCGCATCGGGCCATCCAGAACGCCTCAAATGCACACCCAACTCCCGTTGATTCGCATCTCTCCAGGCCATCGTTTTCCTCCTTCTCCGTCCCTGTCCCTCCCTGTATCGCACACGCGGTTTTGATGTATCCAATCTCAGACCTCACCGCGTTCTGTCGCAGGACCACTGGCTTTGTGCCCCCCAAGCTCGTCGTGAGTCTCGCTTAGGTCGCGCGAGCCAGCTCTATGTGCTCACCCCGCACCAGGGCGCGTCCACCACCGTCATAGGGTCCAAGATGTACCTTTATGTAAGATAGATTTATTTGCTATCCTTCATTTGCACGTGGGCCAGGAATCTGAATGCGCTCGACTAGGGAGGTCGCTTGGTGTCCGAACGCAAAATGGTCTCGGATATCTACGTCTTCGACTTCGAGACGTGCAGCTGGGACCGGATTCCGCAATCACCCTCCGACGACATTCCGCAGGCGCGGTATTTTCACAGCGCAGATACATGTAAGTCGTTTTCATACTTCACGTCGACACGTCAAGTGACGCGTCGGTAAGGGCACAACCATCTCATCATTTTCGGCGGCATGGCCATCAAGCCGCAGTCCGACAATCCAGAGGATCTCTGCGTTTTGAACGATGTCCGACTGTTCGACCTCACCACTGGACACTGGCTTCCAGCCGCCACGACATCTGGCGATTCCTCCCTTGTACCCAACGCTCGTTACGCCCACCTTAGCTCCGTCACTGCCGACCGCCTGTTCGTTATCGGAGGCCAAGACTTGGACAATGTCTGGCTAGATGACGTGTACATCTACGATCTCGCAGCGAAGGTTTGGGTGCAGCGCCGTGAGTACGCTCGGCATTGTGGTACATACAGAAGTGTGGCGGCCACTGCCGACACGCGTGTTCGGCTACCTCAAGAAGAACTGCGCACTGGTCAGGCGTCCTCTTCTCTTGGTCCACCTGGAACTCGATTCAAGGTGAACAAGGCTGCACCTCCCACAGCACAGGTCACTCAATCAGAATCGCTTGTGCACTTGCCGTATTCGGCTCCTCCCACTGATGAGTATCCATGTGATATTTTTCTCTTCAGCAATTACAATGTGTGTGTTTCCTCATCGTTTAAATGATGGCACATTTTAAAGCCACTGCAGTTCACAGACGTTCAGCGAGAATTGGAAGTCTTCTCTCCACTTTCTGACGGTGATTTTACCGTGTCCGATCGTTCTGCTTCCATGACTGGCACTTCATTCCCCCCCGGCCTTCGTTTCCCCACGGGAGCTATTCTCGGGACGCACTTCATTGTCGCTGGCACCTATCTCTCACAGACCTACCAATCTTTCTCAATATGGGCGCTGGATCTCATCAATATGACGTGGTCGCGCATCGACCCTGGCAGCGCACTCGCCACGGGCTCGTGGTTCAGAAGCTGCCTTTGGCCTGCCGCGAACAAGTTTATGGTGTTTGGCAACCGACATGGGAACCTCGTCGAGGATTACAATCGCCGCCTCCTCAGCTGGGACCACGTGACGTGCATTGATCTGGAGGCATTCGGCATCTACCAACCGCCTTTCCCCTTGCTGGACGTACCCTCGCAAGAGCTCGGCCTTGCAGCCTTCGAGGAGGGTGTTCTCACTGACTTCGAGATCGTGTGCGACGATGGCCGCAAGATCAGGTGCTCGCGCAAGATGCTCGAAGAGCGCTGGCCATGGTTCAAGGAGCAGCAGAGGCGATTCGTTCAGGCAGCGAAGCGAGAAGCTGAGGCGATGCCCACGATCCCAGAACACGTTCCTCTTCCTGAACTACCTGGCGGGTACGACGGGCAGGAGCCTCGTCCGGACCCACGCCTGACCCCGCGCGCGTTCCACCTATCGGAGCCCTACCCAATTACCCTGGCGCTGGTGCAGTACTTCTATTCAATGGCACTGATCACGCCTCTGCAGCATGCGCCCGCGGTCCTTACCCAGCTGCTGCTTCTGTCGAGTACGTACGAGCTGGCCCACCTGCAGTCACTCGTCAAGCATGCGATGCATCGCGCGCTGAGCTATGCGACATCGGTGGGCATCTACGGGGTCTCGACGCTCTGTGGCTGCCGGAGCCTCCAAATCCGGTATGTTTTTCGTTTCCCAAGTATCAATATCTGATTAGCGGCTGATGTGGTGCAGGGCACTTCGTGTCGTCATGGTAAGCCCTGTTCGCATCATGCAATATGCAAAGGGTATTGAGCGATGGGCTCTAGGCATATAGTCAGAAACGCCCTCCTGGCAGCCGTGCGCGTCCTGACAAGGACAGTTCGTCTGGAGGAAAGCCCCCAGACTCAACGAACGGAAGTGGGAATGGCACCGACGGGGCTGGAGGCGGTGCCGGGGGGCCGTCTGAACCTCCCAATGCAGCACGGCCACGCGGGATGTCCGACGCGTCCTATATGCACGGGTCGTCCGAGGGCGGCGCCGGAGGTGCCAACGTCGGGTACAACAATGCGTCAAGTGAGCGGCCTCTGCTTCTTCGGGTGGACTGGCTGATCGTTGTTGGGCCCTGAAACCTTAGACCCGGTGCCATCGGCGGACTCGGACGCAAACTCGCTTGTGACGTTGCGCCCTCGCGCGATGTCGGAGGTCGTCTATTCAGCCAGCCAATTGCCGAGCCAGAGAATAGGTCAGTGATCGCAATTTGACTATATAAGTGAGTTATGAGTTCGCAGGACTCATGGGCGCGCATGGCGGTTTCCAGCAGGTTCATTCCGCCCGGCAACAGCTGTTGCTACGAAGGTGTTCATTCCTCCGGCGCGACCTTCCAAGCTCCCGTCCACGGCGTCCGCAGTTCCCTCGCCTTCGTCAAGCAGGCGGACGTCGCGAAGCAGCTACCGAAGCAGCGCTGTGTCTTTGTCAACAGACAGAGAATTGTGTGCAATCGTTGAACTGATGTCGCCGACCATTGAGACTGATGAGAACGCGTCGAGAACACCAGTTTATGGCAGCCGGTCTCGCGCGAATTCCCTGCTCGATGTCTATCGCAGCACAGAGTTGGCGCAGGCCCAGTGCGTTGATGTAGATCCGCCCTCTTCGCTCTCCTCCCTGTCTGCCAGCAGCAGCTCGTTGAACGCGGAGTCCACCCAGGACGATTTCTGCCAGGCTGCTGTCTACTCACCCGTCCAGGCTGCATTCCCTGCTTTCCACCTGCCCTCGACGCCTCGACGACCCACTTGGGATGGGGAATCGCTACCATCGCTGAAGACGTCGACTTCGTATAGCTCTCTCTCCACGCCTAGTCTAAGCCGAACGTCTTCGTTCCATCGCTCGCCACCGGTCAGCCCGACGGCTGCCACCCTGTCTACTCCGGTGGATATGACTCCCGTGTCTGCGCACGGTCACCTGGTGCTGGAGGTGATCGAGGAAGTCAGTCCACCTGAGGATGCGGAATCGCCGCGCGATCTGTTCTACAGCGATGCGAGGGGGAACTCGTCGCTTCCGAACTTGACCATGCAGGCGCAACCTGGCTCTGTCCATGAGTGCGGCCCAAGTCAGGAGGCAGCACAAGAGAGGTCGAGGTCGGACAACCAGCCAGCTCGCGAGCACCAAGTGCACAGACCGAAAACGGCGAACGTCGCATCTGCGGTTGCAGTGTCGTCGTCGAGAAGCGGCTCTCCTGCTCAACATGTCTCGCGCACGGTGATCAACAGGTCGAAGCGAAGTGCAAGTAATGCTATCGCACGGTTCTTTACCAAGGAGGTGAAAAAGACACAGACCGTGGAACATCTTTTCCATTTCAACGGTTCCGCTCTAAACCTCAGCATGGCCAAAGCTGAGGAAAAAAAGAGGAAGAAAGCAGCTGCGCGGGCACAAATCGACAAGCTGGCCGTTGAGAATGTGCGTAGTCCGCTGGAGGTGCACGCCCAGCGGAACGACCGCCTGTGTCACTAAGGTGGTGTGCTCGCAGTTCTCGGTATGAGACTGCTGGACCTCTTAACTCGATCTATCAGGGATTGTTGTATTGATTATATCTATGTACGCTATCGGTAATTGCTGCTATCCTGCTGTACTCTGGCTATTATGATAGAATAGATGCTGAATCTGACCTCAAGCTCTTAGGTACTGTTCGTCGTGTCGGCCTCTCGTTCTTGTCCGTTGCTGGGTTCAGCGTTCAGAAAGACGATGCAGTGATTCCTATTGTACACAGGACAAGCAAAAACAGTAGTAATACATGGAGAAGGGGAGAATCACAAATGAAGAATTCCAGGGGTCGCCGCTGCAGGAGCCTAGCACTTTAGGACTCTACATGGCGTAATCTAATCTATCATATGGCACCATCACGTCGTATTACAGCAACATCAATATCACAGCAGTGCGTCGACCTCATCTCTGAAGTCCTGAGAATCTGGGCCATAGACGTTACCGGACATCTGTGAGAAATAAGTAGCCTCTAGACCATTTGCACTAGCCGCGTTTGCGCCAGCCAGAGGGAGCAATTGAGGCAATGCGGCCGCTTCTGCATGTTGAGATCCAGCAGGGAGGGCCAATTGATGCTCGGGCATTGGTACATGCGGTGCAGCGGGACCGGGCATAGCTTGAAGAGCCTCCGGTGGAGTTATGATGTGGTTGACTGTGAGAACAGATCAGTACGTGTGAGCGTCGATAGACAAGCAAAGTGGACAAAGCCCACATTCTTTCGCATGACCTGATTTCGAACCACCAAAGAAAACAATCAGCTATCGATGTGCGCCCGCCTGAATCGGAAACGACAAAACTTACCGTGATCCTTCTGTCTGGAGCATAAGCTGCCCTCGGGGCAGTCTGGACGCTTCACGACCCAGTCTGCGAGAAACCCTTTTCTTCGCTCTCGCACCCACCAGTCACGGAGGCCCCAAAGGAAGACCTCGGTCGCGCATACCCTACAAATCCTGTTTCGAGGTGCGTTCAAGTCTGGGTCAACGCCACCGGCCACGCCGTGCACGTCCATGAAGAGGTCCAGCTCGATCAACGGCGCAAATTGTCTTGGCTGGCTCTGGATGTAAGCCACAATCTAGCAATGAGGGGTTTGAGTGTTGCTACGTTGGGTGATCGACAACGGACGGCCTCTCCTTACCTCGCGATAAATGTGTCTTGGGGATAGCGATTGAGCGGTCATATAGTCAAGCATTATGTCAACTTCGACAGTATTGGAATCAAAACAATCATAGACCTCTCCGCATTGAATGAGATCGCTCAGGTCAGACAATCCATGCGGCTGCTGGTTCAGAAGAGGCGCAGCCACACAACGTCCCGGAACGCCAATGCCGCAGAAGGCTACCTGACAAAGATCGCACTTGGTTGTTGGAGGGGCCTGCAGCGCAAGGATGTTCTCACTAGAGCAGGATATGAGAAGGTGCACACAGGAGCGAAAGCGACGCAAGTACCAATTGCCGCAGTATGCGTGGCCCGGAGGGGACCCGTCTTCTGTGTGCCAAGCGTTCTCTGGATCCATCTCAGGATCCACGATAGGCTGAGGACATCTCCAGCCCCAAGAGTTTCCAGCCGCACAGTGAGGGCAAGGATGCACAAAGTTGGCATTGCGGGATGCCATATTAGGTTCGGGAGAAGCCTGCCTGGGTGAAGGTAACTTCGGCACATAGCGTTCTCAGCAACAATAGTCGCAAGGAGTGAGTAGGAAGCACAGTACCCGCAAGGTTGAACCGGCCCTATACACCTCGTCTGCTTGTATCCGCTCGTTCTGGGGTCGCGTTTTAGACGGTGCGGCGCGGAGCAAAACGTCCACCATCGTCTGGAGAGCACGAGAGGGAGACACTACTGTTGACATGGCTCTACATGCCGGACAATTGGACCCGCCGTTCTGCGGTATTTCACGTCAGCAAGCAGACTTGCGATGGCAGAACATGATGACGGATAAATGGATAGACGCATACAGCGCATACAGCGCACATGTACGCGCCACAGCGTCCTGATGCGATGGACCGCATGCTATGCTATGCTTCAGCCACTCACCCGAATCCACATAACGATACAGCTAGAGCAGAGCGTAAGCGACCTTCAACGACCCGGAACTAGAGCGTTACCTTCCACAGAAAAAGTGTTGACATGGCATGACGACCACCGGACGATAAACTAGTGCGGAACAGCACGCGCACTGCAGCTCCTGCTCGAGTTCATTAGCGAGAGCCTTCCCATCGATCGCCTGCGGCTTCTCTCGCGGCGCATCACCCCTTTGCGCTTCTTCGACACGATCCCCCTTGAGTCTCTTCGAACCCGCTTCATCCATCATTCCCTCGTGTGATAGGGACGCCCTTCGCTTGGCGGGAAGCACAGATGACAACGCCAACCATTCTGATTCTGACTCTGCAATGTCCGCGAACGACGGTGACGCCGGCAACGCCGCGGCGGCGGCCGACGCTGAAGACGTCTCTGGTGGCATCTGGGCTTAGTTGAGATGCGCGGACGGTGATGAGGGTACAGTATAAAGAGGTGATCGTGGCTAATTCGGGAAGTCGTGGCTGAAGTCACGGTGGCCTTGGATCAACTCGGCGGTGCGTACATACAGGCCGGTCACACGTTACGATCAAGAACCACCGTCATTTAATCTCTGCGCGAACATCCAATTCGTCGCCATGCTTTTTGTTTCCAATCAATGAGAAGCGGATACAGGGTGGGGTATCAGACAAACTGTCCGTTCGTCGGGCTACTTGTTGATACACTATTTGGTACTACTACCTCGGCACAGATTCTGCGTTCGTCTCCAGATATGGGCGGGTCATTAGTGCGGAAAGGTATGTAAAGCACTGGTCAGTGTTCTGTTCTCGGAGCTGGATATCTAGGGTATAGACATGTTTTGTCCCTCGTAGAAATGTTTGCAATCTCGCGGCGACCCGGCGAACGTCCACGAATATCAGATCGAACCATCTAGAAACCGGGGCGAATAGGCTAGCGGTGCAGGAGCCGGGACGCCTGCCGCATGGCACGCAGAGATCATCCTCTTCTCAAGCTCTTGGGCCCTCCGCGTAGACTCTGGAGCAGTCGTTCAGTCACAGCAGGCATCTCAATGACCGAACACCCACCCGCGCAAGGCCAGAGTGACATGAGATATTGAAGAGGGGCGAACAGAGATTTGCAAGTTTGCAATGCCATGACGAGGGAGTTGTCGGTGGTCCACATAGTGATCATCCTGCACGCTCTACTTTGTTCAGGGGTCCGAGAACGCACCAAAAGCACCGGACACACCTTGAGATATGGCCCATGAACCACCACAGGTAGAATGGCCGCCCAGACAAGCTGCTCGTCGGCTGCCCCGTCACCGTGTGTAACCCGTACATGGCACGCTTCGCCATTGAATCATGATGCGTGACTGTTGAACGACGGTAAGTCACACCTGTCTGCCTGCATGCGACGAGCCACTTACGCCACTCCTTAGCTTTTGAGCGGATGATGTTAGCATTGCTACACACTGGTCAGCGAGATCGTTCCTCTTCACAAACCCGATGACTTACACCTCGATGTTCGGCGCATATCGCTGTAAATCATAATAGGTATATAAGCGAGCACTGCTCACGATCAAAAAATCAGCTGTAGATACGGCATAAAGGGGGAAAACTCACATGAAGAGATAATCACGGCTGACGAACAAGAAAGTTCTCTCGATATCACACGTATGCGAGTTGAGCGTTTCCTCGATACGGTCAATCTCCATCCAGGTATCCATAGCATACTGAGCCTTCTCCGCATCACTCATGCTCATATCGGCGCGCATGCGTACGCAGCCATTCCACAGTAACAACGAGCGCATATACAGCGCCCAGACCGAATCCTTCGACGCCGGAGTTGCCGCCCGGAACAGCGACTCCCCAGGCAAAAGAAGAGCAAACTGCCGCCCTCCCTCATCAGTTCTTGATTAAAACGACCGGTGGTAGAGCACTCACATTTGCAGGGTCCAGCACGAACAAGTCCACATGCGGCATAGTGTACGCCGCGTTGTACGACGTATACCCCGCCACCATAATGACAGTGCTCCACACCAACCGTCGGCACTCCTCCTTGCGAATATCGCCCTCCGTCCAGTCACCCACCCACGCCGGAGTATGGCTCCACAGCGGCGCAATCTCCGTCGTGCCCGGGGACATCTGCCCGAGCGTGTACGCCGAGCACCAGCACTCGCCGAACAAGCGCGGAGGCGGCGGACTGTGCGGGGGATGCTGAGCCGCGTCAAACTCCTCCCGACTGACATGTCTCCGCTCGCGCCCTGCGAGGGGGAGCACCGGGGCGGAGCGCTGCACAAACGTGCTCACGCGCGGGTCGCCCGCATCCACGGACGTGAGCGCCAAACAGCGAATGAGCGAGTCGAGCATGCCGAGCGCAGCGCGCACACGCTCGGTCGAGTGCAGCGGGTGCACGCACACCTCGAAGAACGCGATGACCTGCAACACGAGGGAGCGGTGAGCAGCGTCGATCGGGACGAAGAGCACGGGGCAGTTACCCAGCTTGCTTGGACGAGATTGTCGTCTACCCACCTCGCGCTCAGACTCGCTTCCAGCGCGCCTTGTGCCTCGTCGCGCAGCCGCAACGCGCGCTCGCGCCCCCGGGCCCCGCTGCCGTGCTCCGAGTCCGAGCTCTGGAGAAACGTCGACAGCGCGAGCGCACCCAGGACAAACGCGGGCTGCAGCGACGTCCTTTCTATCGGATCTTGCAGTCTCCGTAACAGACGGTTAACGTTGAGGAACGACAGCCAGTAAGACGAGTATTGGAGGAGAAAACGGATGTCATCGTAGACCCTGTGTGTCGCTGACTGTCGCAAGCCAGGAGGAAGCGGGCCGGGGTGGCCTTGAGGATAGTCATAGTTGGTGGAATAGAAGCTCAACACGACCTCCCAGTAGGTCTCCTGGGCATAACGCATCGAGGGCTCTGCGGGAAGCGATGTACTTTGACCGACCTCCTCGTTACCATGTGATAGAGCAGATCCAGGCACCGAGAGTGGAAACGCCGAGCCCATTGTTGGGTGGCCGAGTCCCGTAGTATCAGGTTCATATCGGGGTTGTCGTTGAGGCGAAGACCTAAGCGAAGTGAGCGTGGGAACAGGAGTGTAGGGCGACACCTGCGAGTAGAGCACGCCCTCGGGGCTATGGTGTGCAGGACCAATGTTCGGTGTGGGGATGACGATGGGAGTGAGCTGATGACTGCGCGCGTAAGCCCCCCTCGAGCCGGCGCTCTCCAAATGAGACGGTAAAGGCCGCAATGTCAACGAGGGTGACAAGTTATGCGTCGGCAAAGGCGGCGTAGCGGAGTGGGCCTTCCGGGAAGGACTTGCTTCGTTGGAGACCGCCCCGGATGCTGCTTCTTCGCCATCAACCTTTACAGGAACGTCCGGAGGGTGTCTTCGGCGCCTCCGAGGTTGATCCTGGTCGGCGCCACAGCCTGACACTACCCGTTGGCGAGCGCCGGGCGTCTTGTCTGGACCACGACGCTTGGGCGCTGCGTCGTATGTGCAGAGCACATTATCGTCGGAACGGCGGCTGCAGTTGTAGCACGAAGGCCTCGCGCCATCACAGCGAATTTTTCGGCCGCGGCTGGAACGAACAGTGTTACAACTGATGCGTCCTCGAACTCGACCGACGACTTACCATTGCACGCAAGCGACGAACACTCGAGTGCGCGGTCGGCCTTGGGTGGTCAAGGGCTGATCCGGAGCCAACTCGAGGCGCGGCTTCTCTCGTCGAGACTTGCTCTGCCGCTCCGGTGCATTGGGCGGTGGACTTGACCTGTCGGACTCGTTGGTGTCTGGCGGGGAGGACGTGTCGAAGTGTGGGTGCGAGGGCAAAGCGGGGTCAGATGGCTGCAGGTGGGGAAGCTGGTCATGGAAGTAGACAATGTCGTCGGGCGTGGCGAGGGGACGGGAGGCAGTGCTCTCATAAGACATAGGGCGGGGGGAAGGCCTGTGCTCGTAAGCAGGCTGATACGCATAGCACGCGTTGGGATACTCGATAGCCTCTTGATCGAAACGCAGGTCGGTACCGGGGGGATACGAGCGGTTGTCGGACATGGGGAACGGAAAGTCGGCGGACATCACCCGGGAGCTGAGGAGTGGATGGAGTGGCGGGACTCACGCGTGGGTTGATGTGCCGGGGCCGAGGAGGGGAGAGGGTTATAACAGTCTGAAGAAATCAAATTGGGAGAAGAGACGGCGGCCAATCGGGATCGACAGATGGTTGATTCCCTCTCTCCGCGAATATCCTCTCAGATCCAGAACTTCCAGCCTGGACGCATGAGCAGCGGGGAGAATACGCTAAGCCTGTCGCGACGTGATCCCCCTCTCAGATCCCCTCGACGCATCTGACGCCCGGCGCGGGCCCAATAGCGTCCTTTTACATACTACTTCATCGCCATTAATGCCAATGTATCCTCCAGAATATGCGAGCCCTCGCCATGGACACTGCCTCCGCAGCACCGCCAACAGCCACCGCGCCAGCCTCCCACGCAACCCGACTTTCCCCCGCAATGTGCGCTTTTGTCGGATTTCGCTCGACTAGGAAATTATCCTTGTCCCAAGCTCACGCTCACAGATCTCGCTCTCTGAATCGGCTTCAATCTATCGGCGGGAAACCCTCGCTTGCGCACACCTGCCCATAGGTGGGAACATCGACTCGTCCAGCCACTCTCCCGCTTTACCTAAATCATCGCGTAGAGAACAACGCATCTTCTGCGACGTCCTCGGCATCGCATGCTCGACGAAGCTCCAATGTCCTCCTTGCCGGTGCCTCAATCCCTGCTGCAACTATCGCTTACTCTCTCCCGATGTCCACCGACCGCACGCGACAGGCCAGCTCGAGCCTATATCTCATCCGCGGAATTCTTCTGCAACGCGATAGACACCTTCCATCACGAGCACGGCCCAAAAGACAATTAATCGCCCACCCCAACTACTTCCCCGTGCACCATCACGTCCGGCCGCTATAGCCCTCCAGAGCCCAGCCCAGATCACATCGTATCGTTACTTCCCGTGCGCGCGCCTCGCCTGTCCGCGCGGTCGCACACACGCTTTACGTGGGTCATCTACCCCGGATAAGTTATGCCCGGCCAATCCACTGGGATGCGGGCCCAGAATCCAGGGACCACTTCCGTAGGTTCGTCCTTCTCTCCCGCTGACAAGCTAGCTTACGGTCTCACGCGCCGTGTATGGCCAGTCACGCGTACCAGCCCGAAAAGCATCGCACTGATTTATTCCGAATACGTGAAACTGAGGCGGCGCGCCCAGATTCTGGCCGCGCTGGTGCAGCAAGGCGTGGCTTCCTATCCCCACAGAGGCGGCGATTCGTTGCTTGTTAGTACACCGAGGAAGCAGCTTGGCGGCCGCGACTCACTTCCGCATCGTTATGAAATATTATAGCCCCTTCTGAGGCTCGGCACGACAGCCATAAGGCATGTTGCTTCCAAACGGTCGTCGCAGAGTTTGTTCGAGGTGTGAGCGGCTCAGGTACAAGCCACATGCAAGAGAAGCTGGTTATTGACGACGACGCTGGATTGTCGCCGTGCATTTCCGATCTTCGCGTAATAACCGGAAAACCTGCATGATTCCTCGTTGAGACTGTACAAGCAGAGGGCGAGCGGCAGCCGCAAGGTTCGCGATGCCGTTGTGCCATCGAGGCTGTGCGCTGACACGTCCATGATAATCTATACAGGTGCTACTCATTCTTGGAGGTCCCCGAAATTGCTGCGGCCACGTCCCATCGAATTTCAACGAGCTCCAAACGTCTAGGGAGAGGTTGTTCGGGGTGTGAGCGGCTCAGGTGCAAGCCACATGCAAGAGAAGTTGATTATCGAGCAAGCGGATGTTGCCGCTGAGGTTAGGACCACGCCAGCGCGCTACTTGGCGACGACGCTGGATTGTCGCCGTGCATTTCCGATCTTCGCGTAATAACCGGAAAACCTGCATGATTCCTCGTTGAGACTGTATAAGCAGAGGGCGAGCGGCAGCCGCAAGGTTCGCGATGCCGTTGTGCCATCGAGGCTGTGCGCTGACACGTCCATGATAATTTATACAGATGTTACACACTCGAGGAGGTCCTCGAAATTGCTGCGGCCACGTCCCATCGAATTCAACGAGCTCCAAACGTCTAGGGAAAGGTGGTTCGAGGTGCGAGCGGCTCAGGTGCAAGCCACATGCAAGAGAAGTTGATTACTGAGCAAGCGGATGTTGCCGCTGAGGTTAGGACCACGCCAGCGCGCTACTTGACGACGACGCTGGATTGTCGCCGTGCTTTCCGATCTTCGCGTAATAACCCAGAAAGTCTGCGTGATTCCTCGTTGAGACTGTAGTAGATGGACGTTATGGAACGGCTGTGTCAGGTAGTGGGTAGAGTCGAGTCGCTCAAGTATGTCCACCGTCGCAGACGATAGCCGGAAGTGAGCCGCAAGGTTCGCGATACCGCTGCGCCGTCGAGGCTGCGCACTGACACGTTTACGATAATTTATACAGGTGCGACACGTTCTAGGAGATCCCGGGGAGTGCTGCGGCTGCCGGCCACCTCCCATCGAAACTCAACGAGCTCCAAACGTCTAACATTGCCGACCGCCCTCAGTCCACCACCCGCGAATTTCACGCTGCCCGCTGGAAGCGGGCCAAATGCAAATGGCGGCGCAAGAATCCCGCACAGACGATTCTCTTCCTCTCTCCCGCTCCATTCGCGAACATTCGTACCCCCTACATTACCCCAAATACGACCGACCCCACCGCTATCCACAATTTCTGCGCGCAAGGATGCGAAGCGCCCAACTCCACTTCGACCACGACGGCCTCAGGAACGCCGCTCACTGCGCTGCGGGCTCCAGGGGGTTGGCCACTAAACCCACACATGCGGCATATTGGCGTACGCTTCCTGATCGCCGTGGATCTCTTCCTCGTAGTGGCGCGGTGGAGCCCAATTCATCGTGGAGTGCAGATAAGCGCTCGTTGGGTGGAGCTGCGGCGCTGGTGGGCTATAATTGTTTTTATTGCAGTTCGGATTGATCGCTGTGGCGCGTACGTTTGCCGTCGATACACAGACCCGCAGGCGTATGCGGAGCAGGGGGGAGAGGGTGGGGGGCGGCGGCCTTCGACTGCCGAGGCCTGAGGCTTCGCGCGTCCCCGACTTCGTCGGCGATAGCCACTCTTCTTCGCGAGCATGCAGGAAGATAGTTTGCCGTCGGCTTCGCCTCCAATCAGGCGTGTTAGCGGCTGGAATTTGCAGTTGTGTGCGAAGGCGCGCTGACTGGTGTTCTATGTCGTCTCTACCGATGCTCGCTCCGCGCATGACGGTGCGGTCGCGGCCGCACTGGATCGTGTCTTGTCGCGGACACATTGACGTGTACCGTTAGACAAAAACCTCCGGCGAACCCTGCAACTACGCCTCTCCGCATTGGCTTGACTAGCTGACACAAGTACCTCGTGCTAATTCGTCCGCACTAATGACCTTCCTTCGCGCTGCAATAGGGTAGCTCCCTTGCCAATGTGATGCTGCGTCCATTTCGTTTTAACAAGCCCGTGACAGAGAAATGAGATGCTTCTCGAAGATCCTCGAGCTCGCTGGGCGACGTGGTTCGTTACTTCGCGTATCAGCCGCCGATGAAGCTCTGGATCAATCCTGCTCAGCAAGCGCTGCCGTAATTGTACCTGGATGCACCATACCTCCTTCTGTGCGTAATTACACTCGTTGGCTCCGTCCACTTTCTTCTGACGTGCAGGTGGAGATGCGACAACTTTACATGCAGCCGTTCTGGCATGGGCTAGACCGGCCGCTATGGCTTGTCCTTCCCGTGGTAACGTACACGTATGCACCATACCTCCTTCTGTGCGTAATTGCAATCGCTGGCTCCGACAGTTTCTTGTGACATGCAGGTGGAGATGCGACAACATTACATGCAGCCGTTCTGGGGCATGGACTAGACCGGCCGCTATGGCTTGCCCTTCCCGAGGCAACGTACATGTACATGCGTTGATCGCAGAGCGTAATTGCAATCGTTGGCCGCGTCCACTTTCTTCTGACGCGCAGGTGGAGATGCAACAACATTACATGCAGCCGTTCTGGGGCATGGACTAGACCGGCCGCTATGGCTTGCCCTTCCCGAGGTAACGTATGTGCGTTGATCGCAGAAATGAAGCACGCTAGTGTGATGTTTGCCACCGCTTTGAAGCCATCTTCCGGCTCGGACCTATGGTCGAAATAACTTGGCCTCCTCAGAGCCGAACCGTCGAATGTCTACTATGCCGGCCGCCTCTACGATACCCTCTGTATGTTTCTCCGTTTACATCGATGCGGAGGCAATAGTGTGCTCTGCTATCCAAATGTTCGTGGCTCAGCGCCGTCTCCAGCTATTCATCATTTCCACATACCTCAGGACAACATCAAGGGTTCATTCAGGCACGAGATCATGTGGAGTCTGCGTAGGCGGCCCACCGGACCCGTCGAGGTTTTATGCGAGGCTCGGCGACGCACCAAGATATCGGATACCTGCTCGTCTGATTGTACCGTTGACTCCACTCAGGCGAGCTGCCGAAGGCATCCGTATGGACCATGGACCGCGCTGCCTGTGGAATGGAGCGCAGAGTTGGGCTAATTCAATGATGCATGCGTGTGTGTGCCTGCCGCTTTTTTCCACAGTTGACGCATCGCGTTGATGGAGCGTCTTCGCGCAGCAGGATGACACGCTGCCTCTGGGACGGAAAGCAAAGCTGGGCTAATTCAATGACGCAGGCACACACCTGCCGCTCTCCCCCACGGTTGACGCATCACACTGACGAAGCGTCTTCGCGCAGGATGACACACCATTGTCCGTTTCACCGGAAGCGAATGCCTACGTTTGGGGGACACATCCAACAGGATGCCATTGACTGCTGGAGAGTTCGGAATGTCGTAACTGCCCATGCGCGACAGTATCAGTCTTCACCATTCACTCCGTTCGAGGATGTGGCGTCAGGCTCTCGCTATTCATCCGCTTATCTTATTCAAATTGCGTCACACCGTTTTCAAAGATATTCCAGCTCCACCCTAAGGCTCAGAAGCCGCGGAGGGATATCTGGATGTGCAGCCCCCGCTCGAGGGGCCACCAATCGCAAAACCCCGGCGATCAATGTGCGAATGCCCGGTGAAGCTCTCTATTCGTTCGTATGATCTGCATGGTTTCAACGTGTTTTTTTCACTGCAGGGTGCATGCCAGTGGCACCCTCAACGTTGCCAGCACCAAGCGCCCGTCCAAGTGGAGCCAGGTGCTAGTGAAGGTTCGTGACGGTACACTCTCGTCTCTATTGATCGCGGAGATCTGTACAGGCAAAGTCTCCACTCGGACTTTCGCCGATAAGATTCAGAGGATCAGAAGGATCGCTAGGCTCTCCGATATGTCGCTCGCGCGCACACGGTATCTTCCCTTCTCGGACGCCGCGAGGGACGAACTCTGTGAAGTTGTTTTGCGACTGCGATCTCTTCTCCATTGATTCCTCTTATTAGTCTAGACGGCCGATAGCGACCATGACAGCCACTAGGGCAGAATTTTCTGGGCGCAGCTCCCTACGATCGCTATCATGGTACGTAAGGACCTGATATTATAGCCATATGTGCACAAACTTACCAATCTGCAGTGCGAGAAGTTCCCATGGTGAGACGCTGTATTCAAAATCTGTATTGTTTCGCTGATAGCTTCCAAGCTAACCTTCATCTAATGAGCGCGATCTGTGCGTCGAGACAGCGTTCGGATGAGAAGCTTCCGGCTTCGAATGGCCCCCGGCTTCGAATGGCCCCTGAGAGAATGTACCCTCTCCCATCGTCGAGCCGCCCAGGTTATCGATTGATTATCTTTCTGGCACATTCGAACGTTTCATCTGGACGCGGAGACAAAGTGCACCAGCTGCGTCGCCTTGCCACCCTCGATCCTCGGCCTTTGCGGTGATGGAGAAGCAAGGCGGCAACCGACGCGTTACGTTTCCCCTTAAAGCCGTGAATTTGCCATTTCAATGGCTACCCCCGCCTGGCACGCGCTAACGGATCAGCTGGCGTTGTGAAATTACGCGCTGACCGCTTGCGTGGCGCCGTGGTTGGATTTTGATTGCAAACTCAGCGAGTTTCGTGTCTCGGAGCTTCATGACCCAAACGTAACTCCGTGACGCATCGGCTGCCTTGTGCGCTCCTTTGCGCCCGATGCTAAATATCATGCACAGCCGCTTCAGGCAGTCTGGTGGTGACGTACTCGATACTCGATAGCATCTAGCAATTCGCCGAGGCCTGAATCAGGTCTGGTCATGCCTTGCAGGGTGAACAGTTCCGTATGTTTGGGAATGCGACTCCGCGATCTGGGACTACAGCTTCGGAGTTTCCGTGAGTGAGATCATTGCACCCGACCGGGAGCTGCTTGACAGTACCGTCATCGGGCTCTGTAGATTTTGTGTGTGGAGCAATGTAGATTTTGTGCGTGGAGCAATATTAGCACTCCGTATATGTAATTAGAGCATCTCCGAAAATGAATGGCAAGCCCCTGATAAGTGCGCGAGCCTGTGGCTCCCTGATAGTGATATTAGTCCAAACTCGCGACACCGTCAACATATTCACCCACCGTTTCGCGTACGATTACTCTGCGTGTCAGACAGACATGCTGCCACTGACTCACTGCGCCACGTCTGTTCTTGGCCTTCGTACGTCCTAGACAGAGCCCCACCCGATATGTAGCGTCCGCTCCCGACTCAAGGTGATCTGATTCGATCTGCGAGGATCGACCGAACAAAAGGCGGAAAGCGCGACATGCTGATGCTGCCACTGCCCGTCAACAACTCCGAACGGACCAAGGGACTCAGAGCGATCCGCCTAACGATGATCGGATCTTTCTGACGAGTGCGGGATGCATCCGAAGCGCGGAAGCCGCGGCTTTTCGCAGTGCACACAAGCTGCTTCTCGGTGTGTACTCACCCGCATTTATGGTCTCCAGTACGGCATTCTGGGTCTGCGGGAGAAGGATAGGGCAAGATCGCCGGCCGGTCACTACGAGGGTGTGTGTACGCCGCGTAGGTGTACGTCGTGCGAGTTGCTTCCGTTGCTCGGCTTGAACAGGTGTGGGCCACCATTCTCGGCTCGGTCTCACGCGGGAAGCACTGAGCTGTGGAAGAAGCTGTTGCATACTTGCATCCAATACGTTTTGCAAAACATGAGTGTGCAGTGCAGGTACGAGGTATGTCCAGTCTGCTAGCAGCATGAGCTCACGTGACATTCTGGCTTTGGCTTTGTTCTCTCACATTAACGGCGAGCGAAGTACTTCGATCAGCTCTCGCGACTCGAATGAAAGCCTATCTTCTCTCGCAGCGACCATTACCGTTGTCGAGCTGCCTGACAATCCACGGTTGCAAATACTCCGTACAAGTTCGTGGGGGAGCGCCGGAGTCCATAAGGAGCAAGTGACGAGGTTGGGGGGGGACTGATTTGATGGTTATGCCAGCTGGCGGCTGCGGCTGCTGTGCGCTGCATGCTCTCTTTCAGCAGCTGACCCATCTCAGTGCATCAAAGGGCTCCTTGACAGTTCTCAACTGCATGGCGAGCTCATGCAATTTTGATACGCGGTACCACAGTCCGTCTGATGCGGATTGTATTGGGCTTCACCTGACGCCTGCCGAGGCCAGAATTTGCGAGGTACGGAAACTAGTTCGGTCTGCGCCGCTCTTCCAGCTCACCATACGAGCACCATAGTCTTTTTCGCATGCCCAGCTATGACGTGCTGCGCACTGAAGCTGCGACCAGCATCTTTGTGGAACGACTTTGACGAGCTCTCTCAGAGTATCCTCCTCTCATGCGGGTCGTCCGCTTCGGCAGCCAATAATGGATTTCAGAAATATACCAGCGGGGCGATCTGCCTCCGACGTCCACTTTGCTTCGTGAGCCATGCAGTACATGGTCAGCAGACCCCTTCCCCATCTGAGCGCGAGCGTGTATCACTGATTCATCCCGCACTAGAAGCGCAAGTCGACATTTCCCAGAATAGCCAGCAACCTCGCCACTTCTAGATCTGGCAGTTTCGCGCACGGCTCCTCTAGTAGTGACATTGTGCCGCAGTTCATCGTGACCTCCAGGGAACACGGCGGAATTCCATGACGGTCGCCCTCGGCAAAGGGCAGCTCTCGCTGACACCGTACGGTGTTATTTCTCTGATTCAGACCAATCGCCGTAAGTGCCGTGACCGTCCGCATATGCGACTTTGCGTTGCCGCCTGAACATGGTATACTTAGGTGCTTTTGTTCTCGCGGTGGACCATACGGACCGTCCCATGTTCGCGCGGGCAGTTGCGAGCCCGGGCAGATTTGCTGTCTACGGCAATCACAGGTCAATGGTTACGAATCCCGCTTGCTCCCCCCGTGGGGCAGAACACAGATAAAAATTGAGGGCATCCTGGCCGTGCAGTTGCACTTGCAGTTCCGCCCTCCAGTTGGAAGTAGGACTGACGAGCCTCCTGCCTTTGCCGCACCTTTACTCGCCCTCCGTCAAGATTACCTGCGATGCGCGTGTCCATCCTCCTCTCTGCTGTCCTCCTTCTGGTAGGGGGTGCAGTTGTTGATGTCGCGGCAGCTCCAGCCAAGGCTGTCAGAGGCCCGTCCTCGTCGCGCGCCCTGGGCCACGGTGCGCGGACCCGTCGGTTTCGGCGGGACAGCACACCTTTCCTCGACCCGTCCGCGCTGGTGACGCTGTCTACCTCGGAAATCTCGGAGTTTGAGCCTTATCTAGAGATGGCGCGTGCGGCGTATTGTGCGCCCAGCCTGACCGCTGACTGGGAGTGTGGAGGTGAGCAACGCGGCGCCCGTCTTAGCGAGACCGACACAGATTGATAAAATCTGTACGCACAGAGGCATGCGATGCTGTCTCGGACTTCACGACCTACTTGTCAGGAGGCGACGGAGATTCTATTCAATACTGTAAGCGATCTTGCTACATTACATCTTATCAAGGGGTTGACGCAGGTTCTCACACAGACTACGTGGGTTACTGGGCTTCTGAGAACGCAGTGGTGGTGGCTCACCAAGGAACGGATCCGACGCAACTGTACGTTGTCATGCAATTGCGGGCACATCACATCACTGATCTGCGCACTTCTTTCTTCGTAACCTTATCGATTGCTTATCGTGCTCAGTCTGTCCGATCTAACAGACGTCGACATCATCACGGAGAATCTGAACAGCACCTACTTCCCCGGTGTCTCGTCCAGCGTCTACGTGCACAGCGGCTTCGCCGACGAGCAGGCGGATACGGCGAGGATCATTTTGGAGCAGACGAAGAGCATCATCTCAAGTACGGGTGCGGACACTGTTATTTGCGTAAGTGTTTTGACCCCGCATGGATGTTGGAGTCCAAACTGACGGGCATCGCGATAGGTTGGGCACTCCCTTGGTGCCGCGCTCGCAGAGCTGGATGCAATGATGTTTGCATTGAACCTCGACTCTGACATTGCCGTTGTCGGCCGCACGTTCGGCACCCCCCGTGTCGGCAATCCAGACTGGGCTGATCTGTTCGATGAGATGGTGAGCATCATCAATCCGTCGATGCATGTAGGTGTCCTAAATGGCAATTGGGTGGATTTTTCAGGTTCCCGATTTCACTCGTATGAACAACATGAAAGATCCTATCCCGATCGTCCCTGGGCGTTCCCTGGGCTTTGAGCATCCCGAGACAGAGGTACACGTCGTATCCGAGGCCGACAACGACGTGGTGGCCTGCCCGGGCAATGAGGACGCGACCGATGCTGATTGCACGATTATGACAGTCCCTAATATTCTCGATAGCGACATTTTAGACCATCTGGGACCATACCCTGGCAACATCTACATTGGTACTATCTATTGCACGTAAATTATGGTTGAGGCGGTTCTGCGAAGTTCTCACTAGGGGTCTCTCGGATTGTATGCATGTATGATTGTACTTACTAGCCAAGTCTCTACCACCGTCGTTCGGAGCGATGAGTTGTGAAACAGATAGCATATTAGTCGATTGAATTTATGTGAGGGAATGGTTGGCCTCATCAAAGGCTTTGCACGCGTGACGCGCACATTCGAGCGTCTGCTCGTTCAGTGATCTACTTTGGCTTAGCCGTGCACTCTCCCACTTTCACTTCCAAACCCTTTCTGTCGCGATCTAAGTAGTCCCACACTAACCATGGCAAGGAACTCTGTGTCACCTCCTCGCCGTCCAGAGCGCTCAGGAGACCGCTACAGGGATGCCCCAGGCTCTTCACGGGACTACCAGTCGCGCGACCGATACTCGCAACGGCCGGAGCGCGAGGACAGGGACAGGAGAGATCGTGGGTATGACGAAAGGAGACGGGGTGGGTACGATAGGAATCGCCCTGACAACAGGGGACGCACTCGCCGAGACCGTGACGACGACTACAGCGACCGCCAGAAGGCAGACCGGGACCGAGATAGAGAGCGGGACCGAGAACGGGGGAGGAATAGAGACGAACGGGCAGGTCCGTCCGGCCGTTCAGCATCGCCACGGCCACGACAGTCGAGGGACGGCTCGCAATCGTCCTCCAAGCGTGAGGGCACTCCAGAGGACAAGGCCAAACCGAATTTTGCGCCGTCAGGACTGCTTGCTGATGCCACGAAGACCGTTAAGCATCACGATGGGACGAGCACAGTGCTGAAATACCATGAGCCACCCGAGGCACGCAAGCCCGTGCAGGGATGGAGGCTATATGTATTCAAGGGCAAGGAACAAGTTGGTGAGTGTGTGGGACTCGTCTACCACTTCTGAGGTGCTGATGAGGGCTGCTGTGGAAGACCTGCTTCACATACATAGGCAGAGTGCATATCTCATAGGTCGGGACCGCACGATCGCAGATTTGACTATTGATCATCCGTCCTGTTCGAAGCAACACGCAGTCATACAATGTATGCATGTTCCTTTCTTGTTCCGACCCATATTCAGACTCTCCTCGCCTTTCAGTCCGGCTAGTCAAGGAGAAGAACGAGCTTGGCGACGTTAAGAACGTAATAAAGTGCGTTCCCTCCCTCCTTTCTATGCCACGTTCGTTATATCAGATTTATACTAGATACTGATATTGCCCCGCAGGCCTTTCATCATTGACTTGGAGTCGACGAACGGGACGCATGTCAACGATGACGTTATCCCGACGTCGCGTTACTACGAGTTGAAGCCCGGTGACGGTACGTCTGCTCGGACTGTAACTTGAATCAACCCATGTCAATGACGTCTAAACATACCCAGTGATCAAATTTGGAGAGTCGCAGCGGGAATACGTGTTGCTGCATGATGAAGCTACATGACATGAGTGACTAAAACCGTGTTCCGCTTCTGCTCAGGTCTCAATGCAGGGGCGAGTAGTATGCGCATGGATCTCAGGGTGGCAGCTCTACGGCACTGAAAATCCAGCATGCGCATCATCGTAATCATGTATCACTGATATTTTTCAATGTGAAAGCGGGATAGTGATAGGTGTGAAAGATGTTGCTAGTTCACAGGAAACCGTATTTGCCCACATTGAGTTATACGCAGGTTCAAACGGTCTGCTATGCGTTCTCCAACCATTTACGGTGCAAATGTCCGAAGTAAAACGCGAGTTAGGGTAAGCGTTGTATTGGTATGAACACTGCCAATTGGTTCATTATGAGAGACACGATGCCACGGCCTCACAACGGCACAACGCGTAGTGCAATACCTCGCCGTACAAAATGTATGGCTGCAGTGTGTGAAGCCACAAAGACCATGTGGCCCGGTGCTGCCATGGAAGGGTGCTACTACCCTTGTGAGTAGATATCACGCCACAGACGCGTAAGAACGCGGCCACTTAACGTGTCTACATAGCCGTCTGATACCCAGGCATTAGTAACGCATAATGTACGCGAGCGGTTCATACGGCCGTATATTGCGACGCTCAGAACCACCTGATACAGAACGGACGACCATGACACGCTCTGTTGAGCAAGAATTGTCGGACAATTATAGACAGAACAAAATTCCGCCCGGCTCCATGATGGCTGTAAACACGTTGGTTTTTGACGCGAATTCCACGCGACGAGCAAAAACTTAGCATCAGATGACATATAGATTGCAATACAACCAGCGACACGTCTAGCAGTCGACTATCGATACAGTGACAAAGCAAAGCACAGCATGTGTAGGTCGTCTAGACGATACACCAAAACAATTTTCAGCGCGCATCGACACGCTAGGGGGTACATCTGACCAGACAGCATCGCACAGCTGCCAGGCCAGGCACTGCGGGCACAGCCCGTAGCGAACAACGAATATAGACATATCCAGGAGAGGAGGGTACGGAGTTTGGTAAAGGGGCAGGGGTCCCAGCGATGCGGGCCACATGGTCGGGTGAAGAGCTTGGCAACGGTGAGCCCCTCAGCTCGGTAGAGCCACGAAAGGCAGCGAGTTTCGCCTCTCTTCGCCTAACCCGAGGTTGCGTACGCGACAAACGCATTGAAGTTATAGAACTCCGGGGTCGTCGTGAACGTATACGCGTCTCCAGGGTCAACAGCGAGCACCGTCTGCCCGTTGCGCGTGAGCGTGCCCGCCATACCCGCGCCGTCCGCGAGATCCATCAAGAGCTGCGTCACGCCTGCGCCGACGGCGACGGTGGAGCTGCTCGTCGACGACGTCGTCAGCGTGACGGTCCCTGGCTCAGTCGCGAACACGACTGCCCAGAGGAGGTCTTCGGTCTGCGGAGACACGATGAACGATGAGTACGGGGCTGCCGGCGGAGATCAGAGTAGGAAGCGACGGACGCACCAGCTGGTAGCTGGTCGGCGGACCGATCGTGTCGTTCCACGCGCTAGCGTCCTTGGCGTGGGGGCGCGCCCAAAGGTACAGCTGGTCCTGGGTGATCGCGGGGTACGCGCCCGTGCGGAACGCCGTCGCGTAGTAGTTCGTCATCGCCAGCCAGCCTGCAGTGCTTATCAGCGCCATCGTTATGTGATTAGATTTCCAAGGCACCCGACGCACCGGTGTGGTCCATCCCGTCCACCCAGTCCTGCGAGTCGGGCTGCGCGCCCTCGATGGGCCCGATGTAGTGCGACTCGCCATAGTCGTTCCACGTGATAACCTCGACGACGTCGATACTGTCGCGGTTCGCGATGATCGTGTCCCATCGGTTATTGTACAGGTGGTAGTCCGAGAGGTAGATGAACTGTGCAATGCAGAGGTCAGCGCGCCCGCAGGCAGGATGGCAAGGAAGCTCAGACTCACGTTCTTGTTGTACGAACTCTTGCCGTAGTGCGTGTAGAACCACGGGCTCACGGCGGCGATGAATGTCGTCCCGTTGTCGGAGCTCGACAGCGAGCTGAGGCCGCTCACGTACTGGGAGTCACTAGCGAATGAGCCGATGGTCGCGTTCAGCTCGGACTGGATGGAGCTGCTGAAAATCGCTGCGGCCAGGTCTGTCGAAAGGCCAGATGCAGACAATTCTGTTGGCCAGCCCCCATTCCACTAATGAGTACAATGGCAGTGCTTAGCATTTTGAGAATGAAGGAAGTTCCACAAAAAGCTTACGTTAAACACACCATCCATCACACCATCGAACGTCGAGAACGAGCTGGTGTCCACGAAGAACGCAGGCACGAAGTGCACCGCATTGCTCCCCGTCAGCTGGTCAATGAACTGTGTCGTCCATCCCTCGGCTGCGCTTGACTGGCCGAACGTGCAATCCGAGCCGGAGAACGTGGACGCAAATACCCGCCCATTCATCGTGAGCTGGTTCGGATGAGACGCGTACGTTGTGATATACGACGTCAGCGCAGAGGCGTCCGAAGCGTCCCCACAGGGAAGCACGGACATGTCGAAAGACATGAACAGCTTGAAGCCCGTGCCCGAGTTCTCTGCGGCTTGGTATCTGCGCGAGCAGGTCAGCACATAATATGCCACAGGTGGAAGGGAAGACGCACGCATCCGCCACACGGGCAGGCTGCCAAGAATCAGGGCCGACATTGAGTGCAAAGCCGTCCAGGCCGGACTCATGGGCGAGGTTGATGTCCGCGAGCCAGTCGGCTTGCGTGTACGGATACGTGTTGCCCACTATGTGGTGTGCCACGACGAGCTTGCTCGAGGCATCCCGCTTAGCTTTCTGACTTGCCTTTACAGCGGCTGAGTGGTGGCGAAATGGTGACAGAGGAAGGGCAGGAGCGACGCCGGCCAGGGCGAGAAGAACGAAGGAGGAAAAGACGGTAGAAGCGCGCATGACAATAGCAAGATTTTGTATAAGACAACAGAGGACCGGGTGAGATGGCGCAAAATACAAGTCGAAAACGATCGTCAGTAAGAGAATGTGAGCACAAGGGAAAGGAAAGAAGAGAGCGCCAGGCGGGAAGGAGACGAACTGAAGTGAAGGGGACAAAGTCGCCGAGGTCTTATATGAAGGAGGCAGCAGGGCGGCAATCGACCGGGGACAACAAGACATGGACCATGATGAACGCACCTGCTTTCTGACCGCAAGCGCGGCGCCATCGCGTCCGATTGGACGTTGATGCGGCGCTGATGATGGCAATGGACAATATTTTTACGGGCGGAAAGGAGCGGGACCGAAGGCAGAACAAAAGATGCATGGGCCGAGGAGATTGACCTTATCGTTGCGTCGCCATGGCCACAACTGTCACCGCTGCAAGGAGCTGTCCCTGAGTACATGCACCACGGACGGCGTTGTGAACCAGGTGCGTGCAGAACGAGGTGATCTGGCGCAACAACTTGTTGGGTGATCTGAATGGGACATCAGCGAAGGTCACGTCAGTTCTTTTGCAGCTCGAGATCCGATCCCGCGCTGGTATGTAGCTCAATTGTGCACCTTCTCGCATCATGTCCGTTCAGCCACATCAAATCATGCCAACGGAAGATGCAACAAGCCTAGGTGCGCACCGAGTATCTGATTTTGCCACAGCAACTGTTGACTTGGAATCGTCAAGTAGTCTAGAGCTGTATTTGCGATGCGCATGTGACACCGCAATATACGGGCGCTTCCCGATCATAATCGCGTCCCTCGTACGCGTCCAGCTCGCCGGAGCCTGTTTCGCTGGCCTGCACGCTCCCTCACGATCCCCGCCCTTTCCCTCCTCTACCTTAGCACCATTCCGACTCCAGGTAAGCATCCCCGCCAATTTACCATCTCAAACGCACCTGAGAACAACCTCGCAAGACACCCATCCAGCGCTCGCCACCGTCTCGGCGCGATCATCATGTCCTCCGGCAACGCAAACCCATCCCGCCCTCGAAGCCGCAGCATGACCGACCTTGCCAGTGCACCCGCGGGGATGTCTGCGAGTCTTGCTCGTGCCACCGGCCTGTTTGACCACATGCAGCGGATCGCTGCCGATGAGCAAAGGTGGGTGGCGGTCCAGATGTCCATGTCTGGGGGCGCCATGCTGACGTTCGTGCGTTGCACGCTTGCAGACGGCAAGAGGCATTCGCCAACAGTCTGCCCAAACTCACCCACAGGGACCTTGAGCAGCTCGGGCAAGCGGGTTAGTGTGTGCTGCGACGCTTCTTGCGAGGTTCTGACATCTGCTATCGCTTTCGTGCAGACTCGCCCTGCCCGATCTGCCTCAATCCCCTCCTGACCATTCTTGACGAAGAAGAGACCGCCCTCGCGCTCGACTCTCCAGCACATCCCATCGAAGAACTGGGCGTCACCCGTTTAGTGGAGAGCTGCGGACACGTCTTTTGCCGAAAAGAGTGCGTGTCTGCCTGCAACAGCATCCACGCTAGTCCACTGATATCTCGATCTTTACAGCATACGCAATTGGATGCGCGAAGGAGTAAGTCTACCTTTCTCCGGATCCTAAGCTCATTTTCGATGTTCACATCGCCCCGATCGCAGCAAACAACCTGCCCGACCTGCCGTCGGCCCTTTCTCCACCTTTCCTCGCCCTCCCATTCCCGGTCGCCCTCGCCCGCGCCCGACTCGACCGAACCCTTCGACGTCTCTGATAGGCTCCGTCAACTGCGAATGCCCTCTGCGTCCACGCTCCGCGACATCTTCAGCGCGCTCGAGCGGATCCCCCCGCCGACGGACGAGGCAGAGACGTGGGCGGATACATATACGGGGATGTTCGCGTGAAACCACAACGTGATGGGATCTGCTTTCCTACCTCTTCTATTATTAGTTGTCTCGAGTGTCGGTGGTTTGTCGATAGGATTATCTGTACTGCTAGTTCTCCTCTTCTTGATTGTACATTATCATTCGCACTGTCATGCATGTACATTGGTATACTCATATATATCGCACCCCCACTCCGCAGACTCAATATAGTCGCGGTTCTCGCGGATTGATAACGCTCCTGGCTTACTTCTGTGTGTTGGCACAACGCTTCGAGCTGCTACAGTCGTGGACAGCCAAACACGACAATTTTAAGAAACATTTCAAAAATGTCCGATATGTATCAGAATCGATCCGGATTGATGAGAGGGTGTCTGTAAATAAATTTGAGGCAAATCTGTCGAACCGTTTGCCCACAAAAGGTGATTTTTTGTTCCGGACCCCCTTAAATTTTGGGGGCCCCCCAAAAGAGGCCTAAACATCACGTAAAATGTGCCAATCGACTCCTTTTGAGTTCCTGTACATCATTCCGTTGAAAATTTGCCAAAACTAACGATGGAAATTCAGCAAATAATTATGCAAGTTGCACATCGGGAGTTTTGTCATTTAATCCGGGACAAAAGTACAGACAAAATTTGAATTGACCAATGAGATTTGCTACAATAGTACTTTTGTCCCGGATTAAATGACAAGACTCGGCCATTGTGACTTGAGCTCAAGACCAACAAATCATACATGGTACCTGATCTGTATGTTTGTGGCTGAAAAAATTCTGATTTTCGCCCAAAAATTTGGCGGATGCCAAAAATGCATGGGAAAAATACAAAGAAAGCGTTTATGGACGTTTCTCGACACTCTGAGTCTGTATCTGCACTCAAAATCGGAAAGTAACGAGCCGTTCGGGCGGAATAAATTGATTTTATTTTTGTCGTGTTTGGTTGTCCACGACTGTATCATCCGCTGTGGCCCAGCCACTCCGAGCGCTTAAGAGACGAAACGCGGTGCACGTGATAGAAATTAGGATCACGGGCGCCTAATCGCACAGGACAGGCGCGACGACCTTCGCCAGAGCGCTGAGCTACTGCTGCTAGTGTAGCTCTCGAACGGTGCAGTGGGTCTCGAGCTTTATGACATAGAATCAAAGTGTTGGATTTGAAGTGAACCTCATTATGCACGTATAAAGAAACATCTATCCACTGCTAGTCTATCATTACGCCACTCTCAAATAGCATTCCCGATCTCTTCAGATCTAACGCAGGGTGGAAATCCTGAGGGCAGGCTCACGCTCCCATCATGTCGGCCAGTTCCATCAAGCCGCCTCCTCTTCCCGCCCCGTCAATGAACATGTCCACGTCCTCGCGGACTGCCTTCATGTCTTCGTCCGGGTCTTCCGTGCGTCGCTGGATGTAAACCGTCTTCATTCCCCTGTCAACAAAAGACGCAGAAATGGCAAGGTGTGCGGGTGGAACGAGATTAACACGAGCGTTGACGTACAGCTTCGCTGCAGCGCGCAAGTCGTACGCATGTGCCGCGACCATGGCCGTCTGCTCCGACCTGAGACCGAGCGACTCAAGGGCTTTTCGGTAGATCAATGGGTCAGGCTGTTGCGCGGCAGATCGTGCACCGTCAGCAGTCATGGTGCGGATTCATGCAGTGATGAGAACCTTGGTCGCCTGGAGGATCTGGGAGGAGAAGAGCGTGTCGAATGGCAGGCGTGCAGAGCGGATGATGTCGAGCTGGAGGCGGGTAGTTCCATTCGCGAGGACGACTCTGATGAACGGTTTTGACATGGTAGTCGACTTGCTGTCAGAGATAAAAGAATATGGAGTTGAGCTCACACCGTGCAGCGCTCCTTGAGTCTCCGTATACCCTCAACGCTATCTGGCCACGCTACATGTGCCTAAAAGGTGAGCTCTGACTGCAGATCAGTTGCTCGCATCCCGACCCACCTGTCTGCAAATGCCATGCCTTCACCAACTTCTCTCTCACATGCGTATCCCACACTTCATTGCTTACACCCTTCTCGCGCAACAGCTCGTCCAACGTACGCGCGTGCACGACGTCAATGTCCGGCGCCTGCTCGCCCGCATTGAATGAAGCGAATATGAAGCGGAAGAACGCCGTGCGCCAGTCCAGAGCGAGAGAGGGCAGGTCTGCATCTTTGAGTGGCGGTGGGGGCGGGTGCTCGCGCATGGCGCTGAGGATGGACGTGTGCCAGTCGGTGCAAGTGCCCATGAGGTCAAAGACAAGGGCTTCGATGCCAGAGAGTGCTGGCGGAAGGTTTGGTGCCATAGGACGCAGAGACGAGCAACTCAGTATCAGATAATGGACAGAGGAGGAGGCTGAGCCCTTTAAACTACGAGCGACCAATGACAGCAATGACCTAGAGCTCCGTCAAGCGCGTCTTCATCTAGTCTCACCAATATGAGCAAGGCCTCTGAGCAGATCAGTCGCAAGGTGGACTTCAAAATGGACAAAGTGAGGCTATGTTCTCTCAGAATCTGAGCAGTCGACGCCGGGAAGAGCGTCGGTGACCACGTGATTATAGGTCATTACTCGGGCGCTTGTTTGCCAGGCCAATTCCACAGGCTTCGTAAAATCCAATGATTTTGTACTTTTTCGCTTGACCACATGTCGACATTCGAACCCGTTCGCAGCCTCCTCAACCCAAAGTTTGAGGGATACAAGCTCGCCCCGTTGGATCAGGAGCACATCGTATCCCGCTACCCCCTCCAGTACAAGCCGTCTCAAAGCAACGTCTCCGGTCGATCACTTGTCTCCTTCCAGGAGGTGCAGAGTCGCATTTCGCACAATCACCTTACCATATCTCCGAGTGGGAGTGCAGTATATGTTGATGCGGACCTAAGGGTCGTTTCTGTTCAGCTCGACAAGGTGAGTGTCGCATTTTGTTCCTGAGACTATGGGATATAATTTGTTCTCCACAAAAGTAGGCCTCGCTCGAGCCGTCAACGAGCGTGCTCTACGAGCTACCCAAGTCAATACAATCACCCGGCTCAGACGCTCCGCAGCGCGAGTATCCCTCCGCTGCGTTCCTCTCCGCCACCTCCCTCTTCGTCTCAGACGGATATGGATACCTATATGCGCTTCAGGTTTCAGAGCAAGGACCCGCTGAACTTCTCGGGACGTATGAACTATCCATCCCACCACAATACGGCTCTTCCAAGGACATCGTTCCTTGCAGGGCCCACCAGGCTGTGCAAACGTCGCCAGAGAGCGCCATAGTAATCCTATCATCCAAGCATTACCCAAAGAACTCTCTCTCGTCCAGCGAGCAGTCGAAGACTAAGCATAGCGCCGTCGAATTTGACATCTGGGCCGTGCGATTCAGCCTTCCACTGCCGGCACCAGAGCCACAGCCGCGTCCTCTGGACATTGTATGGCATCGCCGGGGGACAGACGTGCCTGCGTATACAGCATTCGACAACACGCATCAGGCCTTCCTGCTTGTGAGCGGCTCAGCGTACCGCTCACTGGACACCCCACCGGCGCCGGAGTACACGCCCTCTCCGGACGAGCTCGCCCCGATCCCCCGTGCAGAGGAGAACCTAGATAACGGAGAAAATGCACCGAAGAAGCCTCCTCCGTACTCTTGGACACAGACCTCCGACTCCGTGACCATCGCCATCCCGCTCCCGTCCTCCACGCGCAAAGACAGCATCAAGGTCGCGTTCTCCCCACGCACGCTTACCGTGCTCATCCGCGACGACGCTATGGATGTTGACGGTGCCGGTGCACCTGCGGTGAAGCCGCCTCGGTTCGATATGAAAGCGCTCTGGGATGCGATCCAGCCAGCGACGAGCCTCTGGACCTGGGACCGCCAGGCGGAGCACACGTACGGCGTGCTCACGCTGCACCTCGAAAAGGCGCACGAGGGCACGCGGTGGTCTCAGGTCTTCGCCGCCGCGGGTTCGCGCGAAGCATCCGCAACGGCATCCGACGAGGACGCCGAAGTCCCAGAGACACTCGACCCGTCCGAGCTGTGGGCGATCCGCGAGGCTTTGGAGAAGTACACTGCTGCAATGCAGGGAGAAGACATCAGTGGACTCGGGCTAGGAACGGGGGTCCCGAGCTTAGCGAAGGAGGAAATGGACGACGAGCTCGATCTGGGCGTCGGCCGTACTGTCTGTGTGACGTGGGTGCACGCGGATGGATCTCGCCCTCCCTATGCGCATGGGGACGATGCGCCTACTCACCTGCTATCGACACCGTTCCCTGGCGCACATGCCGGACGGCCGTCTCTTGTACTCAAGAATGGCGTAGACGGACTTTTGTATGAGCTGTCCGCTGGAAGCGAAGCGAACGACAAACCTGCCTGGATACATACCTCGACGTACTCTGCGCTTGCGTTCGTGTTGGCATCGAAGCGAGATACGCGCTTTACGCACCACGTCTCGTCGAAAGCCGTACTGGCATTCGAGAGCGGGTCACGGGACATCGGCGGGAACGTCTACATCTACCGAGGCGCATCAACGCAGGAGAAGTGGGCGAAGCAAGCTGTAGTCAAGGTTGGTGGCGGAGGAGCCGGATCTCTGCTGGGGGTCGGTCTGATTGAGGCGGGGAGCAAAAGTGCCATGGTGTGCCTGTGCGAAGGAGAGCTGATTGTGTTGCGCGACGTACTGTGATCCGCTGCTGTAATACAGTCTACCCTTTATGAGGCCTGACACAGACAATGAATAACGGGAATGTACAGAAGGTACAGATCACAAGCTCATTATTGGTACTACTAGGCAGCTGTTCGTGGACATGAGCGTGGCCGGATGCATACAGCGGATACAACGGTGAACATTCGTGGGACGGACACAGCGCAGAGACAAATAGATAAAGCTAATCCCACACGGGGAGAGAGCAGAGGAGAAACGAATACAACATGGGTGCAGAAAAACCTATCCTCGGGTATATCAAACATTAAACGGACTTTCGCTCGTATCTAGCAAGCCTTCTGCCTTCACCGCTCCGCTCGGAGCGTCTCCTTGTGGTTTCGGACTCGACTCCTTCGGGTGGGCATCGCCGTTCGTCGTGGGTGCAGGAGATGGCGGCGCCTCGCCCTGGAGCTTGCTTGAGGAGGAATGAGTGTCATCGGATGACACATCCCTATCCCCATCCAAATCCCCGTCCATCTCCAGCTCATCAAGCTGCTCCTTTAGGCTTTTTGTCTCGTCACGCTTGCCGAAAATGACAGACGTAAACTCGTTGTCCTCGGCATGGAGCGACGGGCCGGTCGGGGTCTCGACATATGAATCCTCATCGTCCTCATTCTCGTTGTCGAACATCAGGGGCTCCGCATTGTTGATCGAATTGAACGTCATGCCGCCGGTACCTCCGAGGACGCGGTGTGCCAACGCCCGAAATGCAGCGCCTGCTTCCACCTCGTCAAAGTCATCCATATTTGCCTTGTTCCCGCTCTCTCGTCGCCTCCTCATGAGTTCGTCGTGGGACGCCTTCCTTGCCTTGAAAGAGTTGATCCTAGACTGCGAATAGAGCTGAGGAACTTCGTGAGGTGTGGGATAGCCGTAGTTTTCCTTGACTCGGTCAGTGATCCAATCTGCCCACTCCTGAACAGTACGACCATGTAGGATGGCTACAATCATGAGCGTCATGTTGTCGCAGCCAATGCCGTTGCCACCTTGGGTATCGGGGGCCATGCATAGATCACAAATTTCTTCGCAGATCTCAGTCAGCTGCTTGCCCTGAGAGACAAGTATGCGGACGACGTTGACTGCCTGCTGAGAAGTCAAACAATCCCAGATACCTGTTTGAATATATATCAGCACGCAGGCCAAGAAAAAAATGTTCCGACCGACCATCGCAGGCAACGATGAAGAATTCATCTTCTTCAGTGACATCGTGTTCGATAATCTCTGGGTCGCCAGTGATAATTTGTGCTTCGGCCGATAACGAATCATTCTTCTTGTAGTCGAAATCACCCAGCGCCCGCGCCAAAGCCAAGTTCCCTGAGTACTAAAGAAATTAGACTTTCACGGAATCCTGCAACTCAAGAGACCACTCGCCATTTACTCGCCCATAGGACACGTACCCGCCCGCGGCAGTGATACGATTCTTCTCGGCTGAGTGTGTCAATGAGAATGAGCTATTTCTCAGCGATGATCATGCTTACGTTCATTAGTCGGCTTGTGATCGAAACTAAGCTGTTCGGCCCCGCCTTTCACACTAAGCACAGACCTCGAGTCTCCGGCATTCGCCTGTTGCAGTCAATCGTCAACACGGTTTGGGGTGTACAGTCGGATGCAAACGCACAACGTAGACCCTGCCGTCGGTTGTCGCGAGCGCAGCGACTGCGGTACAGCCCGAACCGTCCCGTTTGAATGTTGGGTCTAGGGTGGCCGGATTACGAGATATCCCCACAGACGTCAACCTTTCACGTACCGGTTCGCATGTCCTCGTCCGTCTTGAGGAAAGCGGTCTTCAATGCCGCCCGATAATCTCCCCTTTGATATGCTTCAGTGTCTATCAATCGTTTGTGCACATGTTCTCCCGCATATTTGGATGCACCGCCACCTGAATATCCCACGCATTATGACTTGCAACCGCCGCTATAGAGATCATTGCACGTACCGCCATGGCCATCGTAGACGGCGAAGAATGCGTTAGATTCTGATCGCCCCTCATCGAGATTCAACACGACAGTATGAACGTCCTCCATAGCTAAAAGACGAAGTCCCGTTAGATCCAACGCGAAGAAAGTCGATACGCAGCTTTCCCTGCCCGCAATGTAAGAAAAAAACGCGAAGATGGCCACTTACAATACCTCCATCCCTGCATCTCAGATACACCATAGTGAAATATATGGTTTCCTCCTTGCTCCGTACTCTTGTCCGTCGCTGCATAAACGGTACACGGTAAGAAAGAGTTGCGAGCATGCCATTGGGATAAGAAAACCAACCAGGAAAAGATAGTGTTTGACCCTGCGACAGACAGAAGATTTGAGAACATGAAACTGATGTATGAGCAGGAGAAGACCTCTTACCATGGCAGGCTATAAATGTTCACCAGTACAAAGTACAAGCGCAGATCGATATCAAAAAATTGATCACACGATGCTGAGCGGATTCCGACACAGAGAAGATATAATCCACAACTTTATGAGCCGGAAACGTGAAACGGACTCGCAGAGAGCGAGCGTGAGCGGTCGTGTAGTGAGGACGTCAAGGTAAGGGCCTAGAGGCGGTAGGCGATCGAAAAATAGTAGTGGGGCGCATAAGCGCCACCTGACTCGACCATTCTGGCAGATAAGGGTCATGTAACTTCGTAACTTTGTCCATATTAACCCGATCATTAATTCCTTTGGCACGTGGCTTGTTCGGCGACCAGCCGTGAAACGCCCGCGAAGACAAGTACAGTGATCAACGCGTATTACAGGACGGCCATAATACAGATACCAAACTTTGGACAGCTAACGAAAGCATTACAATAGTGCAGAACATAATCTTGGATATTGGTTCCTGAGGGAGAACATACCCTCTTGGGACTCATCTCTTCCGCCTGCGACCAACTACTGATGCACTCCTCTCCTGTGGCGAAGGAGGGCCGGGCGTACGTCCTCTTTCATATTTCTTCATGCCTCCGCCCGGCGACTTTGCATACTCCGACTCGCTGCCATCGCTCACCACTGTGGCCTTAGCCTTCCCTCGTGCTTTCTCCGATTTCCTCTGTGTCTCCGCGAGTCGGCGGTCTGTTTGGCGAGTAGGGTTTCTTCCTTGGCTCTTCTCCTTCGACCTGGTGAGATAGCGACTTTCCAGACTGCTGTCACGGATTTCGCGAGTCATCGATCGTCGAGACTCAGCTCCGTCGACACTGTCGCCGTCATCTTGAGGAGCAGGTCGACTCTCATCATCAAGCTTGAATGACACCTTACGACCTCTGGACTTGCTGCGATATCGAGAAGCAGACGACGTCGGTTCAAGTGGAGATGACGGTCCAGAAGAGTCTCGCGGAGGCGAAGAAGGTGGCAATGTCCCTTCAGAGTAGTTCGGGCCCATGGTGAATGGATCCGAATACGAGTAAGAATGCGCCGGGGTGGCATAGACCGATGAGCGGTCAGAAGGACCAGCATCCGGCGATCGCGAGCCGCGATGTTGACGGCGATGCGATTGCCGGTGGCCACTCGCTGGCGTCCACGGAGGCCACTGAAAAGGAGTTGAAGGAGATGGGAAAGGGAACTCCCCAGATGGTCCCTGTCCTGCGGGCATACCTGCCGCCGCGCTCATAAAATAAGTGAAATACTGGAAGGCCTGCGCCATCCGCGCCTGCCATTGAGGATCGTTCGCAGGAGAGTACTCGGATTGGCGTTCGCCTTGTTGAGGTGTAAATGGTGGCCCGAACATGAAGGAGAAAGGACCAGAAGGAGCAGCGTGTGGAGCGCAAGATGAGGCGTGTCTCTGCTGGCCCACATCATGTTCATGCTCATCTGCAAGGCAGACATGAAGATGAATACGGCATGATCGGCCAATCTATGATAGCGCTGCCTACCACTTTCATGATCCGAGTTTGATGGCGGGACAGCTCTACGCGTCCGACCATTACTCGATGAGACCCGCTCGGACGGTCCGGGCTCGCTGTCGTGAACACTGCGAGAAGAGATGATCGGGGAGACGCTAGGACTACACTCAAGAGACTTCTCGGACCAAGACGGAGATGAGACAATGCGTTTTCGTTTGCGAGTCCGGGCCGATTGCACATCTAGGCTCTGTGGCTCGCGTTGCTCCTCCAACAAATTGTCTTTCCTGATCTTGCTTATGGAACGCACCGTAGCAGAGTCCTTCCCGTCCTGGGAGACATCATAAGAGGTGCTGGGTTTGCTGATCTCCTTTCCTTTTCCTTTGGCAGGTGAAGCCGTTTCGGGAAATGAGTGTGTAGATGGAGGGTTAGACGATCCACCATAATGTCGAGAAACGGACGCAGGTAATTGGATTGAACTGGTACTTCTGAACGGCGCTGCTGTCTTTGAACGTCGTGTGACGGCCACTTTAGGCAACGCTCTGGATCCAGACATTGTCCTGTCGTTGGATAAATGAGCAGTCCTTGTTCCAGCGTTCCCCGAAACTGTGGATATACCGGCGGCAGTAGCACAAGTAGTTGGTATCGAACTTCGGTAGCGAGGACGTGGTGGCGGTCGAGGTGGCGGAGACGGCGATGGTGACGACAGCTCGGGATCAGGCACCTGCACAGTGTCCGGACTGCCTTCCGCAACAGAAGATGACGATAAGGGGGGAGTGAAAAGCTGTAGTGCCGGAATCGGAGGAAGTGATGGTGGCGGCATGCTGCACTGGTGACGCGCGGGAGCCTCAGTTGTGGCTCGTGGCTCAGACTTCGCAAGTGGTGAAGGTGGTGGCTTGGATACCGCACGAGCAACGGACTTCGATCTTCCTCGTCTAACAGGTGGGGCCGGAGGAGAGGATGGAGGCGAGTCGGTGAGGTCGATGATTCTCGGCGTTGCATGCAATGACGAGGCCGCCGGTCTCGCAGGAGTAGACTGATCAAAATCCCACGTCGCAAACTCGTCCTCCGAGTCGCCGTCTACGGCGGTAAGAGGGGAAGATTCTCTAGCGACCGCGTTGCCCTTGACATCCCTACGGTCATCCTTGCGCTTCTCCACGACGGACTTTGATCGAGCACGGTCGCTGTTTTTTCGGACAATATATTCGGGATCTTCACGAGATCCTGATCGGTCTCGATGAGTATTTTTCCTGTAGACAGGTCTTGAACGTATCTCGTCCCCATCATCTTCCTCTACGTCGCCAAATTGCTCCCTCCGTTGTTGCTCCGCCTCCAGGAACTCGCGCAGGTCCTCCGCATCGGCAGGATCCCTTTCGCGCACAGGTGGGACTTGAAGTTTCTCCTTCTCAAGTTCCAGCTCGTCTGAAATGTTTGCCTCTGGAGCAAATGCGTCGATCTCATCGACCTCATCCTCTGTCAATGCTCCTCCACCATCACTGCTGCCGTCAATAGCATCTTGAAGTATCTCGTCCTCAATGAAGCAGCCTACTTCGTATGTCTTGGATAAATTTCGCAGTACACCCCGATCCTTGAATAGTGAACCATCTCGGAGATCTATGATGTCGTCCTCGTCCAAAGGGCGGCTGTACCTTTCCGCCAACTGAGTCCATGTATTGAGAAGGCGTTGCAGAGAGGCCTTCTTCTTCTCTTCTATATCATCTGAGGGGTCGATTCTAGAAGAAGAGGCGGTAGACACTGAAAACGCGCTCAGAGGAGTTGAGGCGTGTCGTGGTCGCTTCGCAGGCGGAGGCCTATCTGGGTCATGATGAGACGGGACGTCTGTAGGGCGAGGGGATGAAGGAGATGCAGACGGCGTGATCAGGGCAGGCTGAGACGATGTAGCCTTGCTTTTCGCGCGTTCAGACATAGCGAGATGGTGGTAGGGCTGCAGTACTGTGAGAGGATTGTGGCGGATCAGCCACGACGGTCACGCGAAAGGCACGTGCTTGCGACGCGACGCGTCAGAACGCGTCGAACCTTGTTTCTCCTTCGAAGTTGTTGCTACCTTGTTGTCCAGTGCTGTGCTTTACCCATGGGTTTCAAAAGAACCTAGACCCAGACAGTACATGCAATCTAACTTGAGGACTGTGGCCCGCCCGGCTCCTCCAATTGCACAATACCGGGCAAAGAAACATTTCATGCAGTCATGAAATCGACAACTGATTTTAGATATTATCGTCAAAGCAACGTTCTAGCTGCATGCTCTTCAAGGGAACCTGTCCGCATCGATTTTCCTGTGGAAGTGGGCCAACGTCGCTCCATGGTTACGCAAGGCGGAGATTTCTCACAGCAGCGTACGCACACGTATGAAAGTCTTGCCACTGCGCATCGGAGAGGTTCAGGGTTCTGGACTTCTAACAGAAATATCTGGGACTGCCTCGCGATTCCAGGTCGGAGCAGGCACGACAATCGCACATGTCCGTCCTGTCTGGCACACGTTCTATTGAGAGGCATCGCTGATTTGTTTATCTGCTCACATGGAATTCATTTATGGGGAGAACACTCACGGTCATGAACGAAGAAGTTCTTGCTACGACGCATCACCTGCGCACAGCCGCCGCGTGATGTGGCACTATGTCGCGAACCAGACTGTGCATTTTCTGTGGCATCGACATCTATGTGAAGTATAGCAACATTGCCAATGACCCCACTTCACAGGCTGGGAGAGCGCGCCAACGCCAACTCAATACACTCCAACTTCTGTAGAGATCTGACGCTCAAAGCAGCGGTCCAAATTAGCCATGCGTGGAGCGGCTGACAGACTTCAGGACTGCGTGCAGCATGTTATCGCTCGGCAGGCGGGATAAATGAACGTGAAATGAGTGCACGTTTGCGACACAGCTCGATGCAGACGAACGCGACAGTGATCTTGCTGGTTGCTCCATATCGAGCACAACAGACGAAGATTGGCAAGTTCCAGCTCTACGTTGGAACCGCGGTGTGCTGAGCTACTGCGGAGGTGTTCGATGAAGATCTACGCTTGCACGGGGAGGAGCCTGAGAGCTTCTTGCAGAGCTTGCGAAGCAGATCGATTTGCCCGGGCAGTTGGAGGTATTCCAGAAGAGCCAAACAGCATTCACGAAGATAAGCGTAAGAGATTACAGCTCAGCCTACAGGCGTATCGGGGGAGTAAGCAACAGGGCGACATATAAAATTCTACTCGGTCAAAGCGACAACATAGGGCCTGTGAGGATCCAGCAGACACCTGAGAGATAAATTACTATCAGCAAGCTTGCACCATTCCCGGGGTGCGACGATCGCGCTACCTGCATAGCGCATACTAATACAGCTAGAGCTAGAGCTAATGTGCTGTGCTTTCTGCCATAGACCGGCTCGCCAAGGGCTGCCGAATGAGGGTACGCAGATAGTAGCGTTACGTCGGAGACATGGTCACGAACAGGAGCGAGACCATCGCAGCATGCCTGCAGTGGGACATCTGCGGGAACGGAGAATAGCTTGAGCTTGCACCAATGAACAGCGGCGGAGGACCGTCATGCCGAAGTTGGAGCGAGCGGCAATAGAGCGATGCAGTGCAGGACTACCGTTTGGCCTGAAGGAGCAGGTAAGGTCATTGCCCATCTCAGAAAAGCCATCTGGATTCCGGCTACCACCTCGGAGGATAGAAGGTCCTCATGAATGGGTCACACGACCACTAAAAGTTACCATCCAACGTCTGCGCAATCACTTCACCTAACAAACATCCGCTATTGCAAGCGTCCGAGAGCACGAGGTGACATTGGAGCATGTGTATTGTGTACGACAAGCGACCCAGATCGTGTTGGGCGAGCGAGCAGTCACCAGAGGCGGTCATGATGGGCGTTCCGTCAACAATATTTGCGTATTCAGTCGTCTTCTGAGACGCGCCTTAGGCATCGTTTACATAAATGCATTGTATTGCTCGAACAGAAGGCGAGCAGAAACGCGAGGATTGCTCCAATTCAAGTCATTTATGTGCTTGCTTGAACTTGAAGGAAGTGCTTTCGCAAGTCGAGTTGCGTGCATAGCACATTGCTAGTGATAAACCTGCAATGCGGCTTTTGGCTGCCCGCTAACGTTTGCCACTGCTCGTGGCTTTCCCATCACAAGGACGCCTGCACATCAAATACTTGGCGTCAGATCAGCCTTATCTATTGACCTCCACTTTGAGTTCTCCGCCGTTGTGCCGAACTTCTCCGGCCTTGGATGATGACACGGACCCTTAGCTTAGAACGGCTCGTGTGACCATGGCTGTCGTTACTAGAAAGCGAGCCTGCTCGCGTAGGATAAAATGCAGCATGTCTAGAATCACTGCGCAGACCTGTCCTCGAGCTCTGGTAGCCTCGCCTCCCTATGACTACGAGCCCACCAACATCCTCATCTTCCCGACTGACAGTGAAGGTCAGTTATGCACGGTGTCCGAGTCAACCGTTGTTTTAAGCTAAATTGACAGAGGGTGCATCATACCTGGCCTTCGAGAGCTGCTCCTCGTAGTCATTTCGAGGACTTTCTCCTGGAAATTGGTATGAGCCCAGAAGAGCATCACTTGTGCTGTATACCTCGCCAATGTGAGCACGCGACATTGTTCACATCCAGTCACCTACTGACATATTCAGCTGATTGAAGTGATTTATACTCCTGAAAATCGTACATCGTTTCGCCCAAAGCGCATACATTCCACGGCTTCCACTCGTATCTCTTCTGCAAGTGTGAGATCGCTGTGCAAGCTCTGCTAAGCACAAGCTGATAACAATACAGAACTCCTACCAAGATGACCCGAATCACTGGTCTGCAATTGGAGGCCACCGACGCCAAGAAGTGTCATTTTTAAAAAGCACCCCATGTATTGGAAACCGTGCCGGGCCACGTTCACTCATTGCACCCGCTGTCGATATCTGTTCTGCCTCCGGGTCGTTGAAAGCAGAACCTGCCTTAGCGACGGACCTGCGGAATCATGAGGCTTCACATCGCGTGGCCTCGGCCCGCGAAGCTCACGAAGCTTTGAGGCTTCTTCTCAGGCCGCCTCTTGACCGAGCGCGTCCATCGCCAGCTCCAGAACTTCCCAGTCATGCAGAGACGCCATCACCAGACATACCAACTCCCGGGCCGATTACAGAAACCCCACTCTTCCTCGACATCGCATCTTCGTCCCGGGGTCTGGCCCGCTCGTTGTCCCGCGAATCCTTCTCTACGGCGTCGTCTTCAGAAGCACCGGAGACTCCCAAGACGCACTCCTCATTGCTCGTGCATGAGTGGCGTCCAACCTTGACTGACCTAGAGCACGCATCGCGATTTAGGGTGCAAGCGGTGTGTGTGATCTGTAAGAAGAACGGGGCAAACTTTCCGAGCTGTCCGAGATGCGGGGAAATGTGGTGTTCAAGGGACTGCAGGCTGAAAGGGAATAACGGAGCGAGGCATACCTGCCGGAGAAGAGATGTACGCCCCCACGGGTGACCTTGCCGTATGACATTCCAGGGTAGATAGAGCATTGACTTTTATCTATTGCCACGATCAAGGGCTCCTGCCAAGTGCCATTCCTGAGATGATGGACTACGCATGCAAAGCGCGATGAATCACGGAGGCAGTGAGCGTTATTTTCGTCTGATAAGGATATGATCGCGCAATATCTAGGCACGGCGGATATAATATTTACGGCGGCCCAGAAAATATATACGGTAGAGCCAGCTGCGCAATCCGACTGTGGATCCTCTTTGCTCCTTGTGGACCCTCTAAAGTCCACTGCTGGGTTTGCTTCTCATCTATACCGCCCCAGTCAGTGGAGAGCTAGCACACAGGCACAGGTTCGTCGCTATCTGGACGCCGGTATATCTGGGCAACGAGCTGCGGCTTCCTTCTGTCCCCCGCTATTCCCACACGGTCGGCTGATACATGTACAGCAGTCTTTGTACCTTGTACAGCGCCTGTGATAGGAACAGCAGAAGCCGCCTGATTGACTGCAGCCGCCTGTAAGTTTTGGTCGTGTGACACTGAAGACTCCATGTCCTTATAACAGCCTCGTCCCCCACTTAACATGCAGCGCCCCTCAAACGCCACAAGTTCATACTACAATCACCCACTATGTCGTTGGTGGCTTGTCAGACAGAAGAGATGAGAGTCGGGTGTGAGGTAAGTATGCGAGTTGATGATTCCTTGATTAGACACTCACACGGCACCTTAGGCAGGCTTCTCGTCGGGGGTTGGCCCACACACCGTGAGTGTCATTTCTAGCTCGTCGCAGAGAGACGGGACAAACGCCAGGCAATATCGCCACAGCGATTCATTCCCGAGAGCCGCGCACGGCTCGCTTTACCCCAAGCCGTCTGCTGGTGCCACACACTCTATCTACATTCGAGGCAATGCTCTCCCCGCCGGGCACGGTAAGAGCGAGTCCTCTGCGGAGCAGCGTATATATTCTCGCGCCAAATCGGAAGCCGTCATGACCATCAAACCGTCAAGGAGCCATGGAACACATCGCACGAGGTCGTCGTCCTCCGCCGAGCTCTCCCACTTCACATCAAAACAAGCATGTCGTCCGTTCCTAACGACCCGAGTCACACTCCCGACGATCGCCCCCGCGATCTTGCACACGCCACAAGATGAATTGGAATTGCTAGGCTCGTTCACACCCACCAGCCCATCCCGTCAATCTCTGCGCTCACTTCTACATTCGAGATCGTCTTCGTGGGCATTTTTCGAGGGCATCGGAGAGGAGGATGACGATGGTTTACATCACTTTTCCCCAAGTCAAAATGGTTCCTCGGAAAATTCACCTGAGACGTCGCCACATCTCCCTTCATTTACCATCCCGTCTATATGCCGCACGCCACCTTCTTATGCCGGTTCCGAATACTTCCCTACTGCTCCCTCCTCCGCCGGTCCGCCCACACCGGTGGGAGATCTGTCGTCCTCGCCCCATGTGCGGCCGAAGGCTTTGCGTCCGTCTCTCGAGTCGCTGGAGGATACCTCCAAGTTCTGCGTGCAAGCACATTGCGCTGCTTGCAAAAGGGTCGGGTCCAACTTCCCATGTTGCCCAAGATGCGGAGAGATGTGGTGTTCGCGCGAGTGTAGGTTGCAAGGCAGTAGTGGAAAAAGACATGTTTGCCGGAAGTGAAGTGAGTCCAATTAGTGCGCGAAGCTACTGTTATATTCGCTACTCGCTCTGCAAGACCAGTTTTGATCATCTGCTTTGTTCTCTTCCGCTGTATCTGTTTTGTTTCAATGCTGTTGCTTCTTCCGTAGGTCTAGCCATTTTAGATATCGATGTAGAGTCGCGTCTTCATTGTCTGTTTCCTCGCTTAGTGTAGTACTACTGTTCCATACTTGATTCAACTACCAAGATTTATCTAGCCTGAAAGGTAGAATGAATGTGCATACCCGTTGCCTACGTGTTCGCAATTGCGAACACCATCAGAATGCTAAAACGACGCCTTTGTTTAAGCTGTGTTAGGGACCTCCATCGAAGCCGTCCATGATGGTGGCCAGAGACTAGGATGTGGACCACTCCTCGCGATTACAATCATGGACTAGCTTATCGCACATTCGGTGTGCATGCAAAGCCCTGTCCCCATAAAGCACACATGCCCTTCAGAACGTAATCTTTTTGCCCTGCGGCGGCAGGATGTTGGGGTTGAGCTTTTCCTTCAGCCGCCGTTTCGCCTCCCATGAGGGATGCAACGAGTTGTCCTCCTTGTGCTTTTGCTTCGGTGGAATGTCCACTGGCGTGTCTCCTGCTGGCGTTTTATTCTTAGACCAGCCCTTGTCACTCGGAGGCGCGGTGAACTGCGGTTGAGGGCGAGCGCGAGCGCCAGGGGCTGCGTCCTTGCGGGGCTGACCTGGACCCCGGCGATTCGCCGTCGTATTCGCTCGCGGGTTACGTGTAAACGCTTCTCGCTCCTTCTTGACGTGGTTAGCATTTTTGCCGTACTTCTTCTCCCAGATGCTGCACGGTGCGAAGTCAATTCAAACGTTGCAACTGGATGCGAGGATCCCACTTACGCCCGTCTCGCTCGTTGGCCGCGTCTATTTTTGCGCACGCCGCCAGCAACGCTCGCCTCCGCATCACTCCAATCAGACGCGTCAGAGTCACCCTTGATGAACCCGACCGATAGGGAAGGGAGGAACGTTGACTGGGCAGTTGCTTTCCCTTTGCCCTTCATATCACTTGAAGCACCGGCGGTCTTCGCCTGTCTTAAAGCGGCTTCGGAGCGTTTGGTGACGTTTGTTGTTAATGCCGAGGCGCTCACATCTTCATCCTCCTCCTCATCTCCGGAGTCCAAGTGCTCATCTGATGCTGACAGATGACTTGCAACCCTTATCCCAGCGTCATCGATAGAGCCGGACTCCCACCCGTCTCCCGCACCCTCATCGGAAGATTCTGAGGCCCATTCTTGCTCCTGGGCGTCATCGTCGCCCTCAGACTCACTATCGCTTCCAATCTCATCTGGAAGAGCGCCCGTGGCCTTTGCCGCTCGCAGCTGTTTCTGTGTAGAGGGAGCGTCCCCGAGGCCAGCAGCAGCCTTAACCTCGGGAAGAGTCACGGAGTCTGGGTCTATGATATGCTTAAGTGAACTGAGGACCGATTTTGTCGTTGCCGCAAGTAGCTTAGAGCTTAGAATGCGATCTTGAGTTTTGCGAGCCGCTGTACCAGGATTGGCAAGCGTGAGGACGTGAATTAATAGCTCAGCGTTTATGAGTGCTTGCATCTGCTCGTTCTGTGATAGCAGGCGATCTTTCTTGAGTTTCAATTCCAATGCAAGGATCCCTAATGGTTCATGATCTAGACGCTTCAATTGAGGTGAAGGTTCAGCAGATAAACTTGTATGGATATGCGCACGCAGACTGACCTTCAAGGCCTCAAGTTGGCTGATATAGTCAGATATTGACTGCTCGTCGGCTTGAACATCTTTCGTCCTAACAAAAAGAGAATGAGCGTAAGTAGCGGATGGTTTGTTTATAGTCTACGGGACACACCTCAGTGACTTGACCTTCCTGACGAGCTTCCGTATCTCAAACGCCTTCTCTTTCCTTGCGGCCTGCCTCACTTGACTGATACCGTGGTGCTAAAGTAATTGAGCTCAATTCGAGGGTTCCAGAAGGTGAGGCAGGATGATCTACCAGTTCTCCAGTTAACCTGACAGACAAATCATCCTACGCTTGCGTCCAATGTCAGAATTGCCAGCAGCACGTGGAAGAAGCTTGTCGTTCGTGCCTCCTTGGATTCTCTCCTTCTCTTGGTTCCACGAGGTGCTGCACTCATGGATGTCGATTTGAACATGATTTCCAGGTGTGAATAGCACAATACGAAGCAGGATAACTCGTCGTTGAGGTACGAGTAGAAGCTGAAATGGCCTCTTTAAACAGCCACAATCCAGGCGGCCAGCCAATGAAAAGATCGCGCCTGCAGTAAGCGCTGTTGGACTCCTCGACCGGCTCTGCCTGGGGACGGCAAAAAGCATACAGTGAAGCGCGGAGTGTCTGGCTGTGTCATCAGACCGTCACTGACTAGGCCGCATTGCATGGATGACAAAATGTTACACGCGCAGCTTTTCAGAACTTCACGGCTCGTTTCAATCATATCATGAAGCCCGAGAGAACATTTCGATCGGCTTGCAAAGACCAGATCGACTGCAAACAAGACCACGGTAGCCGTGCATAGTGCACGGCGATCAAGCAGGCTTCTTCACTTATACTCCCAGCGAGAAATGCAGCAGTAGTTTTTGCAATACTCGGCTGCAAAAGCTGGGGCTTCGCTATAAATATCTGGACGCAGACTTCACTGGTGTTTTCATCCTTTCTATTCCATTTTCTAATCTATGTACCCTCACTGATGAACCCCATAGACCGGTTTGAGGCCTTACCATTGTCCGGTCGTAGTGATGAGGATTCCGTATATTCTTCCTCCGTCAAGTCTCGAATTGGTCTTGAGGCAATGCGCTCTGCCATCACAGTCGATACATTGCGTTGAGCGAGAGAACAAGATGAATTCTTGAGATCAGTTGCAAGAAGAGGGACATAGCGAGAAGAGGGGGACGAACCTTGAGGCGCGTCCACAACTTCGAGGTTTGAAGGATCAGCCGATCCGAGTACCAAAAGAGCACCCATCGCGACAGGCCTCCAGGATAGAAAAAAAGCAATAGCATGGCGAGATGCGGGAGTTCACGTTGATGCAGGTCAAAGATGGCGTCAAAGAGCCATGACCATCGAACGAGACCGACTGGTGTCTCCCGCCTCGAGTCTCCGCAAAAAGGAGCATAATGGTAGGTGAGCGGGACAGATTGACAGACCCAAGACCATCTGCGTCTCGAGAATTATCACTAGCGAAAGGTGGCGGTGCGTTTGAAATCCGTCAAACATATGACAGACCTCCATTATTCTAGGAGACTCACCATCAATGCCACGAACGTGCGTCTTGTGGACGGTTTGATCGTCATATTGAATATGTCGTCCATCATGGTGCCAGCGTTCATTTTAACAACTGGCAGATACTGCGATGTTTGAGGTGGTTTGACAAGCACATTCAGACGTTCAAGACCGCTGCCACTCTGATTTGTGTATCAACCCTAAGGGCGGGCGATAGCTAGACTGCCGTATTCAGCGTGTCCCCATGAGATGTCGTAGATTATGCTTAATATGCTTTGGTTTGATTCGCGTGGGTAATGAGATAGGAAGGTGGACGATGACTTGGGAGGTGGAGGTGGAGGTGGATATACCGGTGCCCATCTTGATAGGAGCCAGGAGTGTCGAGAAGCGACGATTGATCATTGAGAGAGCAGCCAAGGGCGAAAAATCCAGGTGAAGCTTGTGTAGGGTAGTAGCCAACGAAACGATTCGATGGTTCGATGATTTTTTGGGAGGAGTACAGTACAGTGAACCCAGTACGCCACGAACGTGCTGAGACCTGAGGCCTCACGTCGAAAGGCGGAAGAGTTATAGCAAGTTGATTAAGACGAGTTAAATATGTTCAGGGCTGAAAAAGAGATGTCGTTGAGAGTGGTAATCGTGGAACGGAGACTCGATGTCGTATATTGGATGTGGCAACGAACGACTCTGGTTGGCGCCTCGTGAGTCGCGCCCATTTTCGCGTCCACCATGCCATCGCCCCTCGGTTACTCGCTTTCATCTTTGCAACTCTTGCATGCTTGGTGACTTTGGGCTTGTTCAGCAGAATTGCACGACGCGATCTGTTATTCTTGACAAATGGATCCGCTGCTCCTGCCCATGCGGCGTGAGGGGAATTTCATCGCCAGACTTTGCGGTTCGAATGTCGACGCGGTTTGTCTGGCAGCCTGGTCACTATCTTCGCCACATATTCGAAGTGAGGTTCTTCCTGTGTTTGATCGATAACAATCTTTACGAGGACCGCATCGCTCGCTGCCGGCAAAGGCGACTACACGAACGACGGTGACGACTGCTCGAGCTGCAGAAATCCATCTTGCCTGCTCAATCCGTACTTGATCCCTCTGGCCTGCATGTTCAATGTCTCGCCCCGTGTTTCATAAGTGAACCGCGCTCTACGGGGATCTCGGATTATCGGCCACGACGTCATCGAGTATTGAATTCGATCCGGTATGTTGTTCTCGCCATCGATCGTCTTTCTATCACTCTCTGTGCTGGCCCACCACTTTGTTGTCGCGAGACGCAGACTTGAAAATACATGGGGAGACGGCCTTTCTACGGAAAGAGCGCTCATAGCCATTATCTCCTCTTGCTCGAGCAGCTCGTCATGACGGCTGCATCATACGCTCTGTTGAGGGCGCTCTACCTGTTGCATCCTAGTCTTGCGTTGTCTAATGATTGATTTGGGCTAGTCCTGGTGAATCATGTTGAGGCTATTCTGTGCTCGTCGCGCTTTCCACGTTGAAAGGCTTCGCCTCCGAAGCTAACAGGGAGGGAACCTGTATCCTTTATACGCAATGACACATTGTTCTATTCATCGATGTGTGGTGATGGGCCACTCGCCTGATGCGCCTTGTGACGCGACGTTGTGTCACATGTGACATTCTTCGTCATCGTATCGCTACCGCGCGGCACCGGTCATTTAAATGGCCTGGAAAGCAGGAACGTTAGCTGAAAGAGCGAGGTGAAAAGCTCACATCATATTATTCATGTTACGATGCTGCTTTGCGTGGCACCGTGGAGATCGTTGGGCCGCTATTCTTTGACGAATTGACCATCAGAAGACGGTCGATTTGTCGACCGTCATGCTAAATGAGTATTCCATGGAGGAAAGTTAACATTGTAAATGTAGGTGTTTTAGTGAGGACTGTCTGCAGGCGGTGCGTACAATTTAACGTGAACGAGCCCTACTAGTTGGTTGCTACGTCGCTCGTGTTGACTTTGTTGACGGCTGATCTCCGTGTAGTCGAGCCATAATACACGGTTTAATTGTTTAGTCCGCAAGTCAAAAACGGTGGCAGAGATGTCGCTTCAAGTAGGATCGCTGTGCGCTGTCCGCAGAAGCATCTGCAAAAGCGTAGCGGGAGCAAAGGGAGGGTACCGCGTCGCAGCCACATGGTCTGACATTGCTTTCTAGGCTGGGATTTCACCAGTCAAAAGCAGACCAAATATGCCACTCAAAGATTTTGCTAGTGATCACTTGTTTGGTGCGCAAGACAACGGACCATGGACGGCTTGCGACGTCGCATCCTGCCTACCGTCCTGCCCTCCCCTACTACATTACTTGATGGACAATGAATGGTGAAAACTGCCCTATGAAGCAGCATCAAGGTGACCTTGACACTCATCAGTCGTATCGCAAATACTGCAAGGATCTGTAGGGCCGAACCAACACTCATAGTCACGTTCATCTTGTTGACTCGTCTGGAAACGTCCTCCATGTTGTTCGCTATCCTCCATGCTTGCCGTTCAAGCTATCGACGGGAGATATCACTCTACAGATGGTCATTATCCATGAACACTGAGAAAGCGCACAGCTGCTCTACTAGCTAGTGGAGATACTCGTGAAGACAGTTTCTGGCTCGGATCAACGTTCGGCCTGAGGAGGAGAAGGAACAGATACGCGAGATGCTTCCAGCAGTGGCAATGGTGAGTCGATATTTGTAGCGATCGGCATTCCCCACATGCTGGACGAATATTCATGACTGGGTGCGAAAATCTCCTCCGCGGAAACGCGACGGCTAAATAACGACGTTGCGATTTGATTGTGACGAGTTTAGCCTCCGTTCAGGTTGACGCAGGTTGAGAGAAAGCTGTCGCCCTCGACGATGCCGGTGTGCTCCTCGACATGTTTCGAGGTCAATCTCCGCGACAACCGTGCCGAACCTGCCTCGTCATGTCACACGTGTGCTACTGGCCTACGCGCCTATGTCTCCACGCGTTGCATACGTGTAAACGCACGTCTCGGAAATACCACGCCATGGTTTGACTGTCAGGTTCGACGAAGGGAGATTTTGAGGCCAGGTTGCATCTCGACGCAGCTAGGAAACGAGTTCCTCCATGCATCGTAGCCTCGTGTACGGCCATTATTCAATAAATACCGCTTTGTGTACGCTCTCTGCACCTTTTCACTGTGGATACGAAGGAACAGGCGAGATTGGTCTTCGGTTTACTATCGTTCCCCTTCTGACTTGTTCCTTCTTGCGATATAGCTTCGCTTGTTGTAATTGATGTAGCTGGTTGTTCGTGTGTAGACTGATGACTTCGCATCTTGTTTTGCAGTCTGACGCAACAGTCTTACGTCGAGCGTAACTTGCCTTCCGGTATCATGAACATCTCAAGACCGGAGCGTGAAAAAAAAATTGAACAGGTACATCAGAAGCATAGCTATCCATTGCAATAGCTCCGGAGTCAATTTGATGACTTTTCAGACCATAGAAACTCAAAAGGTCAAAAAGTTGCATTAGAGGGCCAATGACAGTACAGGAATTGAAATTACATGTCCAACTCCCGCTAGGCCGGTTATTGCGGCAATGCACTGGCGTTCGCGTTGCCGCTGCTGTTGTCCACGCATTATAATCATGAACCCTATAACAGCACATCTTAAATCTCTCTCTAGTAAGTCACAAAATAAACATGTGTTTTGTTATTGATATCCCTCTGTGGGAAATATGTAGGTACTGCGGAGCGACGGTCGGATCATACATGTTTCATGTTCATGTTTGCCTTCAGCTGCTTCTTGTCCTCAAACTACCAACATCACCCTCTTTCCAAACCAGTTTCATGTCTACCCCTCGCAAGAGCGCTGCAACTGCAGCCACGGCTGCCCAAAGCAAGGTGGCAGTCATGAAGCCTCAAAAGCCAGGTCCCAGTAGCAAAAATCTTGGTTCCCCAGCCAAGGAGAGGAAGGGGGGAAAGGTAAAGGCAGAGATAAAGGGAAGAAGAAGGACGTGATCGAGTCGGAACTGAGCGAACCTCCTCCGAGCGAGTCTGAACATGAGGAGTCACCGGATGAATGCGAGGAGACTCTTGAGCCAATGGTGCGTGTCTGCGAAATGAAAAGCACCGACATACAACCCAAACCCCTACAGGTCGTCGATGACGACGTGCTCACTGCTGAAGCGCGACAAGAGCTGGCGCTTCGTCAACAAGCCGAAAACATTTTCTTGGGATACTTGAAACTGGACATTCTCGATGGCGAAGACGGATACCATCTTCAATTCCACAAGTATAACAGGCGTGGTCTTGACCCGTCCGAAGTTAAAGCTCTTCAAGCGAGCATCAAAGCCAAGTATGAACAATTCTAGCCCGACACCTTTGTGCGCATCGCCATCGATCCGGCAGTGCTGAAATGGGAGCCCTCAAACAACAAGAACCTCGCCGGAAAACTTCCCAGACTGGCATTCGGGAAAAACATCCGTACGCCTGTCAATGTTGTGACTTTGGGAGGTCAGCATCGATGCGCCGCGATCGCCGGTCTCATCCAACAATCAGCGAAGCTCGCGAATGACCTCAAGAGTCGTTTGGACAAGGTGACTGGAGAGCGAGCCGCTAATATCGAGGAGCGGCTCAAGAGCATCAACACGGAAGTTACGCGGCTGTGTTGGTGGGGATGCAAAGTCTACGATATCAGTAAGTCTCCATGGGACACCGATCTTACCTGTGACTGTGACGGTTGAGAGGAAGTGCGGCAATAGTCTCACATTGCCGCACTGCCTCGCTCATTATGCTCGGCCTGCCCTTGCGGTGACCGTCGAAAGCAACCGCGGCGATAGTCTCATGATCACATTGCCGCGTCGGCGTAACTTGACAACCCGCTGACATTACCTGTTCATTTTCAGCGCGCATGAATGACGAGGTCGGCTCCTATCTCTCGTCCAATGACAGCAAGCATCGTTTCCTTGCAGGGGCATCTGACAAGATGTGGCAACGTGTGGAGCAGCTCGAATCCGCCGAGAGATCGAAATCATTCGATGATGAGTGTGAGAAGATCAGTGTCAAGCAGCTCAGCTTGAAATCCCCGGAGTCAAAGGTGCTGCAATGCAAGCCGTTCACGCGCTTCCTAGTCGAGGTATCGAAATACGATGAGTATTACCGGGGAAATCAGTCTATCATGAACGCGAGCTCCTTATCCAAAATGTTGGGGACTCACGGCGCGGTAAGTCACGACCTTATGCAGTACCATCTTGCTTTTACTAAACCCCACCTTTTCAGCTGCTTGCGACGACAATGTTGGAATTGCTGGACCGGATGAACAAGATTGTGGCTCGGATGCCGCCGAAGAGAAAGTTGCCTCCTGCTGATAAAGTGGAGGCCATTCTGGAGGAGGAGGAAGACCTCGAGATGGACATTGACAATGAGTTGAAAGACGAAAAGTTGCGCGAAGAACTCGTACGGGAGTACATGCAAGATCCTCGACGCGTGGCTGCCAAGAAGGTACATGTCACCTTCGATGCGCTGTCCGCAACTCGGGATGAGAGCCGACGCTTCTGGCGACCCGAGCTCCTTCAGAGGATCGACGATATATTCAACCGGCATTTCAAGTCCCAGGGCTTCTACATCGGAACGCATGAAAAGAAGTATATCGCCTCTCTCCGGAACTACCACGCTGACGTCGAGAAAGCGATCGACCAATCATGGTCGAATGATCTCGGGATGGACGTCGAGGAGGTAAAGAGCCGCCTCGCGTATCTCTTCCACACAAGGCACGGGAGCAAATGGCGCCCATATCCTCTCCCCACCTTGTCTGTCTTCCGTGCTCTCCACAACTCGCTCAACCGCTTTCCAGTGGTGGTAAAAGCGGTATGTCCTCCATCATCCTATCTGCGCACCACATTAGCTTCCGCGGCGATGGTCTGCTCAATACATCGTCGCAAGGTAGCCGCTTGGTCAGAGCAGCTTGCGTCGGCGAGAGCATCGCTGCAGTCCTGGCCATATATGTGATCATTGCCTCGGTTAATGATGTTCATCATTCTTAGATCGCCACTTGGATCGAACCAATGGCGCAAATGCTGTCGGTTGGCTATCAGAAGGGTGCGAAGTACCTTGACCAATCTGACAGCATGCTCGCAGTCGTCGAGAAAGCATGCTTGAAACCCCAGGCAGCATTTGAGGTACGCCAGGCTTGTGGAGTCATTGCTAGCTCAGGCTGATTCTGCCGACGTAGATTTCGCGCGCCATGAGAAACGCTCGGGAGGTGCTCCTCCCTAACCTCCAAATGCGCCTCGTCGACATCAACACAGAATGGCCAGACAAGAGAGGGTTGATCGCCCTCGAAACATATGCTTGGGACGCCATCAAGAGACGTAGCAAGGTTGCCGGTGAGAAGGGTGAGTATGCCGCGCCGGAGCACGACAAGGTTGTCAAAGAGAAGTCATCATCGAAACAAAAGTACGGATTGATTGAGAAGGCGAGAACGATCCTACACCAGTTGGAATTGCGTGACAAGCAGCCTGAGGACGAGCTGATGGCCGTCTTCAAAATTTTACATCGGGTGGAATTGAAACAGAAGGCCGATCTTCCATGCAATCATCCGGCCCTGGTGGCGCTTTATGCATCAATGATAGATCCTTTCAAGACAGATTAGAAGTCTCGCAGCGGCAAGTTGAAGCTGCTGGAACGAGGAGCATGGATGGTGGCAGGTATGTGGTTCGAATCGGTGGTGGCGCGCATGAACGCAGAGCATTATGACGAGGACGTCATGAATCTGCGCGACTCCATTCAAGACTCGATCGCACAGTACATGCCGACAACCAGGGTAGAGGACCCGGAGACAGGGAAGTCGAGAAAAGTATCGGACTCTATCTTCTGGGACGGCATTACCAGAGAGAAGCTCCATATACCGCTCACTCCCGGTTACAAACCTGCGACAGCGAATGACATCCAGATAATGGAAGCACAGTTCAGGGACCACTTGCGCACAGCTCATGACATGGAAGAATTACAGGACCTCGTCACCAAGCTGGAGACGCACAGCTTGACGCAATTCTAAGACGGCGACACCCCCAATGTCAGCTACGAGTGCCACGTCGCCATCACGGCGCTCATACACGTGCGTCCTCAGCTATCTAGTCCATTGACGTTGTCGTTGGCTTACTCATCGAGATAGGCCATCGTCGTCACGAACGCTCGCAAGAAAAGCCGGGCTGTCGACGATTTGTACGATTCGGACGATTTGGAGGATGGCCCCAGAGCCAAGTTCGATCCTGATCAAGTCCACATACGTAACTTTTCGAGAGTAAAAAGTCAGCGCGGTCCTGATCCCTACACAACCAAACTGACGGTATGTGATGAGTCATATGTTCAATATTCATTGTTTACCACACCGATATCACGGCTTTTCACAGCGGTTCCGTCTGATCAACGAGGATGATCTGAAGCCAACACATAGTTCTGGCAAGAGTATCGAGCAGCCCATGCCGCAAATTATCGTCAAGCGGGAGAAGTCGCCCAGCATGCCATTGCCTCGGACACCATTGCCAGTGGATTTCCGGGAAGCCAGCATCATCTGCTTGAGTAGCCCACCGAGACGGCCTGATGAACTTCCGTTCAAACTAATATCTCGTTCTACAGCCCTGATCACCGGTAAGTGCGCCCATAGTCGAAGCGAAGCATCACCGCCACGCATACATGATACTTATATATACTTTCTTTGCGTTCCAAACACGACTGTCCAATTCGTAGGTGAGCATACATATATTGCCATCATTTGGCGTAGCTCACACATTTTCCCTGTTGTAGCAGATGCTGACCTGGGGCTGGGTGAGTATTTGACCGATGAGTACTTCTAGATGATTGCCAATAACATATTGTTTTCCAGCACAAAGCGAGCAATTCGATTCCCTTATCGACATGGGAACAGTGCGTGCAGCACTGTTGTCGACTCAGTCCCCAGGTCACCTAACCGGTTCAGGTATGTGTGCCCATTTGTCTGTAATAATAGTTGCCATTCACCGATTGACTTCGACTTGCCAGAGCCTGCTCCTACTCACCTACCTTTGAAGAGGCCACTGGAGTCACCAACTTCCCGTACGTCATCCATGAATATATAAATATGTAGTCCGTCATCCATCATCATTGCAGCGGTCATCAAGCGGAGCCGAACTCTGCCGCCGCACGCGGTCCGCACCAAGAGCGGTTACCTGCGTGGTCCGGTGGAAAGTCGGAACCTAGCAGGATCGTCCCGCTCGTCCGGCTAGCAGTAACGCCTTTGTTCACAGTCGACTGCACTGAACTGTGTAACACGCTGTGTTGTGAACAAGTGTATGTTGATTAAAGCCACAACTGGTGGAAGAGACAGCGTCTACTTCTTCTTGCACATATGACGGATTTCCAGCTCGAGTTCATTCAAGAAACGACGTTCACACAAAGATCACGACTGGATTCGAATGCAGAGTGCTATACTGATTGCAGTCCGATCATCTTAGTTTAAGTATGTACTGGCAGATCGCGAAGTACGCCATGACATCGCACTCTCCATGTCGACTCAAAGAAAAAAGAACAGCAACGTTAAGGAAGAATATAGGGATTAGCCTTGGATCTGAGAGGGAGGTTCCTACGATGGCTGTGTTCCCATAGGCTCACCGCGCGGTGCCGTCATCGACGTAAACGAGTGTGGGTCCAATGCAAACTCAACTCTGAGTTGGAAATATTCATCGTCAGTAGACTATATAGACATGCAATGCCGCAAGCATCAGTTCTATCTCGAAATGGGATGTCCTGTTCGAACACTTTGATGACCGGTAGAATCTCGAATATAGAAGGACGAGAAGTGATCACCTATGGCTTCGAGCCAGAGCAGCGAGCCGAAAGATAGAAGGAGGTTCAGGACAAAACGCACATATGGGGGAAAAGACGAAGGAGCTGACTGAGGCCTGCGATCGAGGGCGATCGGGAGCGAATAAAGCGCGATCGCGCGGCCCGCTTACGGACTGGCCTGTAAGCGCTTAAGCGTTCCTTACCGTGGACATGTAGAGACCGTCGCGATAAAGATTCAAAGTTGAGAAGTAATACTTCCACGAGCAGTCAGTGTTACAGCTATGCTCGCGCTTAGCATCAAAGAGGCCGGACATAAGCCGCATCGTGCCATTTCACGCTAGTAATTCGCAGCAAGCCGTTGCCTGATATAATCACCGGCCTGGGGACTCATTAGCTTGATGGACACGAAGAGCATCTCAGGCGGACACTCACCGAGATAGGTTCATACTTCTTTGGATTTTCGAGGGAGAAGGTCCCCGGTAGACAGTCAACGACCTGATCGTGGTCCTGCGGCGAGTTGTCACTGAGCACTGTTTCGGGTGTACGGATCAAGTGAACTTATTACGCTGCAGAACTGCAAGCGGCGAGTTTGCTTTAGTGAAGCCTCTACAAATTGGCAAGGATACTGCGAGACTCACATAGGGAATCGAATAACGTTCCGGGGTCATGCCGTCCTTTGTGATCATGTTAGGAGGGGCACGAACGCGATGGATTGTGCTTTTGATCGTGTCGTTTGACCCTATCGGAACAACGTTTTGGTCAATCAGCAGACGATAGCCAATGCGCTGAAACCTCATAGGCAAACAAGAGGCATACATCGCATGAGGAAATCGCCGGCATTGACTACAATGGCACCCTCCACGGGCGTTGCACTCTTCGTATCATCCCATGTCATTATCTGTCGTGCGTTTTCGATGGTAAGAGAGCAGCCTCACGATGAATTCTCCCGGCTTGTGCAGATTTTCCACCTCTAATCCTCCGGCGTTATCTTGCATCAACAGGGTGATGCTATCGAAGTCAGAATGGGCACCGATTCTAGCAACTTTATCGTTTCGCAACTTATCCATCGGAACGCTAAATTCCGAAGGACCATGAATGAGATATGGAGTAGATTTGTGCTAAAGTGAATTTAGACTATCGCATATCGTCTCACCTTGGATAGTGCAACAACCGCAGCTGGTTGTCGGGCGTTGCATGGTACTTCACAAGATAATCTTCAGGCAGGTGAAGGCCTACAGCGAGTGCCCTTAAGATTGTCAATTCGACCTCGTAACACGCCTATCAGAGCATGTGAGAGCCGATATCGGTGCCAGCGATAGAGCGATCTACCCAGAAAAAGTCGAGACAGGCCTCTTTGAAGCCGGGTAGTATTCCATCAGGAAGCCATATGTTGGCCATAGTCTCGTCGCCTTCTCGGCCACACTCGAAGCTTTCTTTGACATCCGGTGCTTTGGCGCGAGTTTTGGCCAGTTCTTCGGTATCATGGACGTCGTGGACAACCTTCTCTACGCCGGGCGCAGAATAGCCTACGCTCATAACGTCAGCCACCTAGCTTCCTGATAAAGTGAATCAGATTAAGCAACCTCTATGATGGGCGCCAGAGGGTGGATGGGGAGCGAGAAGTTTAGTCTCCAAAGGCTGGGCAAAGAATTTCTTGGACTGCAACAAAGGTGAGATTGACAATTCCTGCTACATCAATGCTGCGTCAACACACACCCAGTCAAACATTTTGTCGATCCTCTCCTTTGACAGTCCATGGTTGACGAGATACACAAATCCGATAGTCTTGAACGAGTTAAGCATGGCATCCGCGACGTCCTGCTTCCTGGATCCGTCCGAGAAGGCACTGAAGTCTATGATAGGAATGCCGTGCACGTCTCCAAGCTTGACGTCAGACATGTTGGAGTGCAGAAAAGCTGCGCGCTTTGTTGCTGATTCAGGACAACTGCGGTAATATATATACCATCGGTGCTGGCTACATATCACAGATAACACGCCATGAAATTACTCCCAGGCTAGAAGCTTGCTATGCACGTGGTTCCTCAAATTGATAAGTTGGCTGGGCAGCGACGAGAGATAGCAGGGCGAACTCGGCACGGACAGATCAAAGATGCGGACGACCACCAATTTAGAAGCGGGCAGGCCGTCATGAGATCGAGAGGGACGCGTAGTGTCACACGGTGACAATGGTCATGTGACCGTGGTGGGACGCAGGCTGGAATGCATTATGCGACGCAGGTTCCTTCTGCTGTCCATTATTCGCAGTGACAAAGTTCTTCTGGCAGTTCGCCTCATCAACATACGCATTCTTGGATCAGTGCGAAGACAATGGACGAAGAGTACACAGAAGCTCGGCTATTCGTGACTTTCGAGAAACACCAAGAGTTTTTGGATAAGCAGCAATCGCTATTGTCTCTTGATTTGTTCCAAGAGCCTGAGCCAGAGGAGAACAGACGGGAAGAACAAATATTGAAGAATTTGTGTGACATTGTGAGCGGTGTTTCGAGGCCATTTCTCAATCGGTCGATCACACGTTTGAATATAGCTCGACGAGTATCAGGAGCAGTCTTACTTGTTGGATCCATTTCTGGAACAACTTGTGACACCGGTAGCAGAAGCTCTCAAAGCTCATGCACGGAATATGTCTGGCGTGCAACGATCTACAGCACCTACAATCCGTGTTGCTCGTATTGCCCTTCTCCTGTACAGCTACATCAAGTTTCGCGGTTACAAGACAATTAGTCAGTGATAATGGCACCATCTTCCGGCCTCATCTGATATCGTCTGTGTCAGTCAGATTCTTCCCCCACGAAATCGCAGATCTGACTATCGCGCTGGAATACATCCTCTCGCCATACAGTCCCGTCCAGGATCCGGCGCAATGGCCTTTGAGATATGCGGTGTTACTGTGGTTATCTCTCATCTGCATGATACCATTTGACCTGGACCAATTTGACAAGCTCGATCACCTCGGCGAAACTGCTGCGAAGATTGAAGCTGTAGGTAAATCGTACCTGGGCAATGCTGGTCTAGAGCGAGAGGGCGCCGCTATTCTACTTTCAAGGCTCTATACGAGGTGCGTCTTCCATGCTTAAGTGTAGATTGAAGTACCAATCGTCGCAGGAAGGATACAAGTGTCAGATTCCCAGCATTTCTAGAATGGTCGCTTACGACAGTCAAAGCCCAGAACGACCACTTCATAGTAAGCATAGAGCTGTTTGGAGTGTCGTAACATGAATAACGATACGTTCAGGCGATTGGATTGATGCATGTGCTTTGCGAGGTCGCAAAATCGGGGTTCATCGAGCAAGTGCAATCGCACCTCTCCGCGTTCTTGGACATAAGCAATACTGTGCAAGATAGTCAGGTCCTTATGAGCAACACATTGACCAGGAAGCTTAGAACTAAGCTCCTCTCACGTACGGTTCTTCGCCTCCTCCCGGCTCGAAATCGTGCAATCCGGAGAAGAGGTACGGTCTGTGACACTCCACCCAACCAACAACCATTCTAAAGGCAAAATAGGTCGCGCGCTGGATTCCAATACAGTTTCCGATGCCGTCGAAGAGGTTCAAGCAATTGACGATGAGGAAGCGGATGTCCCCGAAGAAGTCGAGTCGATCCTAGAGGAACTCTTCAAAACAGTGCAAGACAAGGTAAGATAAGCCAGCCGTATCTAATGTCCTGGACGCTGAAGGGGACTCTGAAGGATACAGTCGTCCGATGGTCGGCTGCAAAGGGAATTGCACGAATATCAGAGCGACTTCCAACTGAGTTTGCTGAACAAGTGCTGGATAACGTTATTTCTCTCTTCGCTATACACTCCATGGCAGCCGCCACCCTCTATGACATGCCGTCTATCGCTGAAGGTACTTGGCATGGCGCCTGTCTTGCCTGCGCCGAGATGGCGCGGAGGGGCTTGATACCTGAACACAAGCTCTCAGAACTCGTCGACTGGCTGTGCAAGGTCACCCACGTTGATAGACTGTGAAACGTCGCTGGCTAATTGAGGACAATTTTTATAGGCGCTCTACTTCGACATTCGCAAGGGTTCACACTCCATCGGCTCGAACGTCCGTGATGCTGCGTGTTACGTTCTGTGGTCCCTCGCTCGCATTCAGGATGTCAGTGCACTGGCACCATACGCAGGGACGTTGTCTGAGCGATTGGTGGCAGTCTCAGTGTTTGATCGAGAAATTAACATCCGCCGAGCCGCGAGTGCTACATTCCAAGAATACGTAGGACGTACGGTGAGTGATATGCTTCTCACGATTCCTAGCGTCATTGAACAAACTCAATCTCCATGTAGGGTCTATTTGCTCACGGTATAAACGTGCTGCGCAAGACGGATTTCTACTCTGTTGGCATACGTCGAAATGCATTCTTGGTCGCTGCGCCGGAGGTCGCGGAGTAGGTTAAGGTTCTCTCACGATATGGCATGAAATGACCCCTACAGACACACAGAATACCGTTCGTACCTGATGGATCATTTGCTCACGACTACATTACGACACTGGGATCCAGCCATGAGGCAGCTGGGAGCGCAAGCTCTTCGTGCTATCTGCCAGCTTGATCTGCCAAGTTTCGGCCCAAACGCTGCAAGAAGAGCGGTTCGTGGCATTCGTTTCGAAGGTCGAGTCTCGTTGAACTGGTGTATGTAGGCACTATTCCTGAAGGGCCCAGATATCGGTGACATTCATGGGGCGCTCCTTACGTTAACGGAACTGGCTGCTGCCTATCGGGTCCTCGGCGAGGATATGGTAGAGGAACGGCGGAAGGTCAGCAATGCTAGACTATATGAGATAATTACCCACTGATATACTTTCAGATCTTTTCATGGCTGTCTGATGTCCCCTCTAAGATTATCGAATCTCCCCGACATGAACTGATTACAGCGGCAGCTTGTGATCTGATAGCGAACAGTATCACTCTGGTGGACACCCGGCAAGAAAATGCCTTGGCCACCCGCTGGAGCAAGATAGTCGATGTCGGCCTGAAGAGTAGAAGTCCCGCAGTCCAGGAGGCTGCAGCATCTGCCATGGCGGCTGTAAGCCAGCTTGTGGACTGTTCCGCCTTGGTAGACAGGTATCTTCACCATGTTGTTAGGTGACATTTCCATTGCTCATCCTGCATTCTCCTGGCAGGTTGATCCGAGAGTTCACGGTTAGGTCATCTGCGATGCAACAGAGCCTTTGCAGGGTGCTGGGCGTTCTCGATTACAACGCACATTCCCACAGGCTCACGGAAGCTGTCAGATGCTTACTGAGCTGCGTTGATAAATCCGTACGTCCAGTCTTTGCATTATCGGCAACATGCGATTTCATCAGGCATATTCAGGCGCTTGGGAGTAGTATGAACGTTGAAGCCCGGCGAAATGCCTATGCTTCTATGCCACAAATTTTGGCGAACGTTGTTCCAAGGTTGGCAGAACGTACGCATGCCTAGTTATACAGTGACTGGAGCCTGACTGGGTGTAGACTTGACGCCCTCGACAGTATGCAGGATGGTCGATGCTCTGCAAGAAGGCTTGGGCGACTACACCTCCGATGAGCGGGGTGACGTTGGCTCCTGGATTCGGGTCGCTTGCGTCCAAAGCCTCACTGCATTCGCGGAGATCCTCTTTTCACATTCTGAGGACCTTCCTGCTTTCGCCCAATACTTTCCTGCATCGAAGTATCACGATGCAGTGGGCGGCATTCTCAAACAAGGCGTCGAGCGACTCGATAACGTGCGCCAGCAAGCCGGAGAATGTTTCATACGGCTGATTCTGTTGCCACTGCCCAAAGTGGGGGACGCCGATGCGTGGAGAATACATAAAGATGCTTTTGTCAAGAGCGTCTTTTTAAGGTGAGCGAACCTTATGTCGGCAAGAGCGCTTCCATAGTTCCGGTCTTCGGTAGCGAGAGTGAGACCATCGGTTGGAATGATGGGGAACGGTTATTCCCTAAGGCAGTTCAATTGCTCAATGTCGAGAGATATCGAGAACGTGTCCTTGCTGGCCTAATAATGAGCGTCAGCACTCGGACTGACAGTACAGTGAGTGACTCGAAACGATCTAGTGATGACAGCTCACCCTGCTGGATTGCTGCAAGCAACGACCTGTCTCGGCCAGTCTGATCTCTTACGCGTTGCAACTGCCTGTGGTTGCTGCGGCCCCCCATGAATATGATCTTCGTGGACTGGTACGGGATCTCATCGCGCAGGCCAGCAGCAATCTAAGCGCCAACAACGTGGTCGTGCCAGTGCTGCAGACTGTAAACGTTTTGCTCGAGGCGGACGCCCTCGAGAGGTTATCGGAAGACCCCGAAGGATTAGCGAGGTACGAGTAATGGCACATCGACATCGTTGCTAATCTAGACAGAGTACATCCCCAGCTTGCGGAAATTGCTTTCGATAGCCTCAAGAAACGTTCCTCGCCTCAAGAATCATCAGCGTATCATAATGTCTATGCGAATGTACGCAGTCAGTTTCCCTTGCAGGACAAAACTATACGCAGCCCACAGTGTTGCAAATTTGCTGCCCGTCGCATCATTGCGTCAAGAATGCATTGATAGACTCCCAGATTTCCTGACGCACCAATATCCGAAGGTTGAATCTGCTTGAGCCGTCTCACAGAAAGCGACTGACCATGATCTACACAGGTTCGAGCAGAGACGGCAGAACATCTATATGTTGTCCTGCAAAGCAAAGACCTGGGCTATGAAACTGATGAAGTGGAGAACGTCTTGCTGGAGGCGGAGTGGTATGAATCATGGTCCCTATGCTGTCCTGCAATTTACGAACTGAATCGTCCTGCTGTAGGATGTCAAGCGATCTGTCTGCGGTGCAGGATGCAGCCCGGGAATGTGTCGATCTACTTGCGGGGCGGGCATAGCTGATACCAGTGGGAAATACGATACTACGTAGCGTTACGTTCACGCCGAGTAACTACGAGATGTAGGCGTGGGAAAATATACATCGCCTTGCGTCAGTGTGTACTATGTTCGAGACAGTTGCTGGGACCATTACTTGTCGCACCCTTTACCGGTCACCAACATGGCTGCGGACCCTAGAATAAGTGACAAAGAACTCGCAGCTATCAACGCGGCTGCAGTGACGCGAGAATACACGGTCAAGCCGCATCTGGGTATGTAGTGCACTGCAGAGAGTGCGCGATCATGTTCTGAGGCTCCTCCAGATTACCGGACAGTCTCTGCAATCAACGGGTGTGTGGAGCATTCGTGCAGCATCTAAACTCGATTGACTGACGAACATTCAGTCCGCTCGTGGTGCTGGACAACGTCAAGGTATAAGGTCAGGCATTTCATCTGGATGGCGCTGATCACCGTCCATTAGTTCCCTTCATACAATGAGATCGTACAGCTCACACTGCCGGATGGCACAAAACGTGGTGGACAGGTGCTGGAGGTACAGGGAAAGAAGGCCATTGTGCAGGTGTTCGAGGGGACTTCCGGAGTTGACGTGAAGGCCACACACGTCGAATTCACAGGGAGTAGCATGAAACTCCCTGTCGCTGAGGACATGCTAGGCCGGATATTCAACGGCTCAGGTCTGCCTATTGATCAGGGCCCGAAGGTGTTTGCAGAGGACTACCTGGACATCAATGGTCGGTTCCTCCTTGCTGTTGTATGTTACACGCCTGATGATCATAGTATAGGTTCTCCAATCAACCCTTACTCTCGCATATACCCGGAAGAGATGATCCAGACTGGGATTTCTACTATTGACGTTATGAACTCTATTGCGCGTGGCCAGAAGATTCCTATCTTCTCAGCTGCCGGTCTCCCTCATAATGAAGTTAGTGAGGCCGTACACGAGCATCTCTCGTGTTGCTGACCATCAGGGCACCATGTAGATTGCTGCTCAAATCGTGCGACAAGCTGGCCTCGTCAAGCGACCAACGAAGGACGTACATGACGGGCACGAGGACAACTTTTCCGTCGTGTTTGCTGCGATGGGTGTCAACATGGAGACCGCGCGGTTCTTCAAGCAAGACTTCGAGGAGAATGGCAGTCTAGATAGGGTGACGCTGTTCTTGAACCTGGCGAACGATCCCACAATCGAGCGTATCATCACACCTCGTCTCGCGCTCACAACGGCAGAGTACTATGCATACCAACTCGAGAAGCACGTCCTAGTTATCTTGACTGATATGTCGTCATATGCGGACGCACTGCGCGAGGCAAGCATCTCTCGATCCTATGAGCGTGAGCCTATGAAAACTTCATTCCTTCGAACAGGTGTCGGCTGCGCGAGAGGAGGTTCCAGGCCGTCGTGGATACCCGGGTTACATGTATACTGACTTGTCCACGATATATGAGCGCGCTGGTCGTGTGCAGGGTCGTAACGGTTCTATTACACAAATTCCTATCCTCACGATGCCGAATGATGGTGAGTGTGCATGGACTAAATGCACGCCTCTGACGTTAAACTCCTGGTGCCGCTGCAGACATTACACATCCGATTCCTGACTTGACAGGCTACATCACGGAAGGCCAAATTTTCGTCGATCGTCAACTACACAACAGGCAAATCTACCCACCAATTAATGTGCTACCCTCGTTGTCCCGTCTGATGAAAAGTGCCATCGGCGAGAAACTGACCAGGAAAGATCACGCCGATGTCTCGAATCAATTGGTCCGTGCTGAGTTCGCTTTGTTCCGGCCGATTGCCCTGGCTGACCCATCTATCGCAGTATGCCAAGTATGCTATTGGCCGCGATGCCGCCGCGATGAAGGCCGTAGTCGGTGAGGAGGCGCTGTCCCCTGAAGACAAACTAGCATTGGAGTTCCTCGACAAGTTTGAGCGCCAGTTCGTTGGCCAAGGTGAGCATCTTGCACGTGTGGAGCGCCAGACCAGTTCATCTAATAAGCTTGCAGGTCCGTACGAGGCACGAACCATCTTCGAATCTCTTGACCTCGCTTGGAGCCTGCTCCGTATTTTCCCCAAGGAACAGCTCAATCGAATCAGTCCCAAGATCATCGCTGAGTTCTATGGTCGCAAAGCAAAGAAGGCGACGGAGGACCTGCAGCCAACCGGCCAGGTGGGTGAGAAGCTCATTGACGACGCATGAAGGACAATATTAGTAGCACAACCCAGAGACGTGTATATCCCACAGCTTTCACGAAAGTCATCTTCTGACCATACATGATGACACAACGTGGTCGCATTCTTGTCCATATGAAGGCGACAATGGCGGATATCGTGTAGACGACAAGAATCCGTGACGTCAAGCACTGCATTGTCATTGTTGAAGGGTTCACTGTGGAACCCCGGCATTGCTGAGCTTCCCATTCTTACTGACAACAGGCTGGATGACTAGAACGCAGAGGGCGGCTGCGGGTGGGGGAAAGACTCCTCGTGTTCGCCGAGCGCGCGGGATCCTCGGGTCCCTTTATGGTTTCCGAGACGGGAAAGCTCCAGCGACGGTGCTGCTCGGAGGCGGTAAAGGCAGCTTGCGGGGAACATGTGGCCGAGATATCTGGACGTATTCATGACGTGATAGAACTAAGTGCAAATGCCTCCATTTCATGGCGCCTGAGTCCGCGTGAGTCGGAATGTTCCCTTCGTGCATGAGGCAGTCCTGCCATGGCAAGAGCGTCCCAGCACCGCCGCCATGTCGCTCGTCTCGTCTTCGTTGCTGAGATAAGCCTCCGGAGGATAGGACAGCGAGGCAAGGAATTTGCACTCGAGGCGTTATCTGTGCCGCACTGGAATCGACCGATAGAGAGCGCTGCAGCTCGGTGGTATGGGGCCAGAGACATGAGGCGGCCCATTGCAGCTGCTTGTTGTGAACAGATAGTGCTATGCTAACAATGGCTTCTCGATGTCGTGCTCGCGAAAGGATTGACTCTGACACGAGAGCAATTGATGTATTGGCGCAATGGACTCTGATGCAAAGGTGGCCGAAGAGAGCTCCAATCTCGCCATGTAAGCGATGGTCAGGCTGGCATCAATGATAGAACTATACTGAATGATGCAGATTTTGGCAGATTCAGATGGTTGCCCCTTCATGGCTGTTGATCTTTGAAGTGAAGAGGCAGTTTTACAGACCGGGGAAGATAGCACCTGATGCACAGCAAAATGAATCTTGCTAAATACCCATCAACATCCGAGGCGGTGGACACGGGCACTACGCTGGAATCAATTGCGGCTGCGGCCCCTCGGGGTAAGAACGAGACTCCGCAGTGGCACATGCGCCTTCAGCACCTACAGTGTATGCGGCCGATGGCGCATACACCAACCTTTCTAGAAAGACGCAGGCGGCATGCCTGATGCCTTGCGTAGCCCCAAGCGAGAAGGTGGCAAGACACGAAGTAGAGCAGCGGTAGCCTCATGTTCGGCCTTGTGGGTTTACCTGAGGCAGGAATGGCCATTTGCAAGGATGTCCCGTCTTGCGGTACCCGCCGCAGCAAGCAATGCAGAGTTGCGCCTGAATCTGTCGAAACGACCGGCTATGACTCTTGCTGTTGGTTGTGATCGAAACAGCCGGAAAACCGGCGGCCACGCCCTGGCCCGTTGCAACCGTTCGGACCCAAGCAACTTTGGTTAAACTGAGTGGTCTAACAGGACCGGAAGCTGATCAGATAAAGGGGCTATGTTACGTACGCCGGAAACGAACCGCTCTCGGACAGGCCAAAACGCCCGCAGAGTGAGAACGTGGCGAAAATGCAGCCATGGCGTGCGAACCGTCCTGACGGAGATTGGTGGGAGGTGATCCGCTGACTCGAAACTGGCTTGCAGCTCGCCAGCAGCCAGCGCTCTCGCCCATTCTTCACGGTGAAGTCCGCATTGAGAGCGACCGATACGCGAGTTGCTGATGGTGTGCGCCCCGAGCTCGCTCGTGGAGGGCGCGTTGAAAGAGCGGGTGCTGGCCAATTGTGGCACAACGCTGGTGTCCGGTTACTGGATGCCTGCACGAGACGGCCACGCTGGCCATGCGGCAGATGACGGTGCAAACAAGGCGAAAAGAATAAGAGAAAATGCGTTGAGCGCCTGGTGGAGGAGAGAGCGGTAGGCAGCGTGTGGAAGTCAAGCGGCCTGCTACCATGTGTTCGCAAGCTTCCTCCCTAAATATGGTGGCTCATATCCTCCTTCCTCCCTATCACCTTCTCCCCCTTCCCGACCATCCATGGACGACCTTGCCCATGAAGCTCTCCCTTTCCACTCCCTGAGCCGCAAGCGCAAGGCCGACCGTGACGACCACCAGACCAAGCTGCAAGACGCGTCCTCATCGTCGGACCCATCGGCTGCGTGCGAACCCATGCTCGTCGACTCCTCCGCTACTCCCCGATGCCCCGCAAAGAGTGCCGACCATCCTTCTGCGTCCTGGCTTCTCGTCGACACTGACCAACCGATGGTGCAGTCGTGGCAGACGCCCTCGCCACCGTCTTCTTCGGCAATGGCGCTCGTGTCGCAGGCCCCGGCGGAGAGCCCATCACGACCAAAGCGACCCCGCGTCGAGATTCCTCAGTCTCCATCTTCATCCTCTCGGCGTTACCGCAGGGCACATGGGCTGTACAATCACTGCTTGCCATCACCACAGAGGTACGCACGACGCATCCATTCTGGCGATACTCGCGATACGGGCATCGTCTCGGCGACCGAGCCAGGGCCCAGCAGAGGATCCTTGTTGCGCACTAGCAGTGTTCCCTCCACCCCTCGTGCCGTCTCTTCCGTACCCGTCTCGCCTGTGGGCCATATCTCGGCGCATATACCGTCACATCAACCGCCCATCAACCGGGAGACGTTGAAAGAGCTCGACCTGGAAGCCATCCTCCGGAATCCTCAGCTCCGTTCGTCTCTTTTTTTTGTCTCCCCCTATATCAGAGTGCGCCTCATCATGTACATATGCTTAGGTCACGACTTGTTGTTCGATTCGGGGCTGCAGTTTCGTCCGACATCCAGTCGTAGGAAGCGCGATCTCGCTGACAACTACTGGCTCGCGATCGTGCGAGAGCTGGAGTGCGGATGTACGTGTTTCACCATGGACCTGCACGGAAGGCCGTGCGAACGCATATGTGTTTGCCGCTCGCTGCCACTGCCAGTTGGAAGATCTGTTTACGCATATACCGCCGAGAACCGCATAACCGTGCGGGCGCCATCGCGCATCCGTCCACTACTGCAGGAGCTCCTCGAGGTGCTTATATCCATCATTCAGCCCGTCGTCTCCAAGAGCACCGGGGTGTGTGTTCAGCCCTCGTCGCTGCAGCTACAGGTGCAGCAGAATGTGGCTCATGTGACAATGTTGAGGTCGGTATTGGACGCAGACCTTATACAGCAGGAGATCGATCATCGCCTCTTTGACCCGTCAGGCGTCTTCCTGACCATCGGCGACATCATCCGGTGCCACTGTGCGCCCATGCGCGACCATGCTGTCGACCAGATGGTTGCGCTGGCAAAGTCCTGCGCGCCAGGTGGAACCGGCACCAAGGTCGACGCTGTCCGTGCCATCCGATTGTGCTTCGAGATAATGGAGCTCATGAAGCTGGTCAGTGTCACTTTCCAGCGATTAGAATATGCATATCTGATCATTGTACCTATTCATCAGGATGTTGCAAACCACCAGTTGCAAACTCTGCGTCCGTATCTCATACAGACGTCGGCGCAGTATGAGCTGAAGACGTTCCAGGAGAACAGGCAGGGCGATCAGCTCTCCCTCGATCTTACGCGTCAGTGGCTCCAATCTGCATATCAGGAAGTCGCTCGTCGCGTGGAGAGGTCGACCCTGCGTGCATATCAGGATTTCACAAAACTTCCTCAGCGGACGCAGGTTCAGATAGCTGTGACGACTGCTATTGTGGACCTCGTGTTCAACCCCCCACCGCCCTCTTCCGCCATTTCACATTCAACCCTTTCGCCCTCCACGCCCCGCCCAGCTTCGACTTCTGCACATTGTGCGCGATACCCAGAAACCCTTTATCTCGATCACAACCGCTTAACGACATTCACAAATGATGCAGCCGACTACGTCGCGCTGTATATGCTCCTCATGCTCTACCGCCAGCTCGTGTTTTCCGGCACGTGCGGACCACACGACTCCGCGAAGGGTGGTGTGAAGGTGGACGAGCTGCTCAAGCTCAAGAAGGAGATCTGGGAGATAGGCCCGCCACATCTCGGAACGTGTTTCCAGGGTGCGCGGCGCGCGAGCCGTGAGTCTTCCCAAGCGAAGGCAGAAGCGGAAGCGGCCAAGTGGCGACAGGAGATGAGCAATGTTGTCCTGCAGGTAACGATGCGTGCTACCAATGCCCGCCGAACGCCGAGCACGGAACGGCATGCTCTCACATGCGCGCCAGACGAACAGGCGGTGAAGCTGGCATCAAGCTGGGCAGAGTCGAATCTGCGTCAGGACTCGCCGCTGAGTACTCTCATGCGCTCGCGAGTACGGGATCAGGTGCTGGAGGCTACCATGCAGCTGGTGGTTCCCTCTCTCAAGAAGAGCGAGCCTCAGCTGGAAGAGGAGCCTACCACGACAACCAATGGTCTCGAACCCCTCATGCCGGAGATCAACCACCTTGCGGAGAGGGTGGCAAAACTTGCGTCTATCCATTTGAACGTCTACGGCGCGCTCTACGCCCAGCCGATCTTCGTGCCGGATTGGTGCGGCAATGCGCCTTCACCGTGTGATTAGGCCCATGCCACAGACAGGGCTCGCGCTCTCGCGTGCCAGATACCCACTCTCGTTTCTGTCATTTGATTGTTTCCTTGCCGTACCGTTCTGCATACCGAGTTAATGAAACGAGGACGGCCGTTTGTAATTAGTCGTACGATCATTGGTAATGAAGAAGAATTCGACAACGTTTCAAGGGGATCATGGGCGATGAAAGATTAGGCGACCATGTAGCGAGCGCTGTTGAACAGAAAGGTGTTCTCACACAGCCTGCACAGATTTATTTTTCCACGGGAAACCTGATGAAAAACTGGTGAAAATATCTTAAGTCTGGATATGGAAATAGTTTGGAAATCGGGCGGAGACAATTGAATTATGTTACGATTGCTTCACCGAAACATATCGGTATCACATATTTTTGGACTGAAATATCTTCCTTTGGGAAATAGTTTCACTATTGCTGATACATTTCGGTAAAACAATCGTAACATAATTTAATTGTCTCCGCCCAATTTCCAAACTGTTTCCATATCCAGACATAAGATATTTTCACCATTTTTGCATCAGGTTTCCCGTGGAAAAATAAATCTATGCAGGCTGTGTCAGTTATGCCGATGCAACGAGGCTTGGTGTTGTACAAGTACTGGGAGAACGATCTCAACCATCGTCACAACCTCGCTGGTAGATTCTCGGAGACTTGCCTTATCGGGATTGTTTCATCACAACCCACGTGGCCAAAGCCCACCGTCCCCGCAGAATTCACGGGCAACCCTCTCATGCTCCTCATGACCGTCCGCCATGTCCAGCGTGCTGCAGTCGTCCTTGTCATCGAGCTCCACGTCGGCTTCTCCATCGAGCACGTCGAGTGATTCATCCAATTCTAGTGGCGGATCCTCCGGTGATCCTTCATCGTTATATTTGTACGTTAGAGTTCACATCGCCCGGCTATCTGTGCCGCCGCCTTTGGCGTCCTCTCTTACAACCAATTGAGCGACTCATGTACTCATCTAGGTTCACCTTCCTTGCGACTCTGTTTCTCCTATTATTCGTCTCAGGTGCTATTGTGCTGCGGTCGTTCATCGTGCGCAGGCGCTTCCGCCGGAGAATAGAGGAGGCACTCGCAGCCGGTGTCCTCTTGACGCCACCTTTTGAGCCGTCGTTCCTGCAGAGGAGACTAGAGAAGCCCATCCTTTGGGATGCAGCACTGACACCGGCGTCGGACGAGGAGTGGAGAGATTTATTGGTCCGTCTTCGTCTCCCACGGATATCACGCTACGAACTAACGAAATATCATTGATCAGCCCATTGGAGCAAAGATCACGAATGTGCAGCCCAGTATCACAGAGGGCGGCACCCCCTCCGCTAGGGAACAAGAGGATGCTCAGTCGCAGTGGTCCAGCCTCGGCATCCTACGACGTCCCTTCGCACGCAGGCGTGTGACCTCGTCTTCCCTCCTCATACCCCCAGATCCACCGCCGCCGCAATTGCTCAGCGGACCGTCCATGACCTCCATTTCCTCCACCGAAGATATGCTGGCCCGTGCCACAGAGCTGCAGGTCTCCCTCCTCGTTGCGATGCCCAATCCCCATCGGCCTACGTATATACCAGAAGCAAAGGACCAGTCCATATCAGCGAAGGGCAAGAAGCGGAGCATATCATCGTATTGGGATGAGGATGAGGAAGGAGTGCCGGACGTCGCCCTTGGGATTAGTCGCGTCCCATGCAGAGGGTCGGGATGACACTGATGCTGGTAGTGGTCCGCAGGTATCATACCACATATTGTATTTACCACACCCCGGCCCGCTTAGAGTGTTGTATTCATTTGTACGCTGCGGAGGCTTCTATGTACATTATTTTGTCACCGTACGTTATTTGCATAGATGATATGCGAGTTCTAAGGGAATTATTGTCACCTCCCGTCCTCCCGTCCCCATTCGAGAGTGTGTCATGATCTGGGTAGGACAAGTATGTTTGCCAGAAAGCGTCCAAGAAACCTCGCCCATAAGCTGGCTCCGTTCATATGCATCCAAGCCTTATTCTCAATCGCGGAGTAAATCATACGAATGTGCCGACTTGAATGTTTTATTATTCCATATTTCAGCTGAGCCGCTACAGGTTCACGAGAACCACATCCACTTCGGTGCGGCGAATATACCGAGGGTTGCGATCGCACATGAGACAAGGAGACAGGCTGCGGTCCCGCTCAGTTCTCCACAAGAGTTCGAATGCCTGATAGGGCGAAGCCGGTCACGAGCAATTTTTGACCTCACTGAACCGACGGACTATGCGACGCGGTGATCCTGGTGGCAGCTTGGTGGCAGGCGAAACCGGGCAGTGGCGCAAGACCAGGTTCTTATGCGTTCGAGTCTGCAGAAAAAGGTTTTACTGGAAACAGCTCAATGCCACAGTGGCCCCATCCTATATATCTTGGCCAGACATCGCATTCGTGCATACAATCAAGGGCCTAGCTTGTGTGATCGATCCGATGCCGTCAGCAAGAAGCCACAAATGTGCCACCGATGAGCTATATAAACTGTTAAGTCGAATGCATGATCCGTCTCTTCAACCGAGCTCCAGGCGATCTGCGTCTCGGAGGTACATAGCGCATCTCTCCCTCCTTCGGTAGGGAAAACCCGTTCACAATATATCTTTTATTGTATTGGTATGTTCCTTCTCCGAGTCCAGCGTCAGCACATCGCAAAATGCGGTTCATTTACGATCAACCTTTTGGCACCCAAGGCGCTTCGTCGACCTTCTGCCCTCAAGGCTGTAGCGTCCAGCAAACCCGTGCCCATCCAAAGCCAAAGCTCTGTGGACCGATTGCCCTTTGAGATTCTGTCCTACATTTTCTCTTGAATAAGTCCAAGTGCTTTATCCCAGATGTCGAACGCGACGAGTACAGCGACCTGGTCGATGACAAGAATAGCGCGACCACGACGTCGACGGCCAAGACTGGGGACATCCACGGGCGCGAGAAATCTGCCCGCAATCACGAAATCGGAGCCTCCGGCATAGAGCATGTGCCGGACGACACATGCACCTGCGTAAAGCGTGGCAGCATCTTCGAGGTGGTCGCCAGCCACGTTTGTCAGCGCTGGCGCGACGTTGCCCTCCACAGCCCGGGGTTGTAGACGTACGTCAAGTTCACTCCCGTGAGGCCCCACAATTATGGCCAGCTGTGTCTCGAGCGGTCGAAGAACGCAACGCATCTGTTAACATACACATCGCCTTTGATGGTGCCCCCCCTACCAGCTGCGAAGATTGAGGAGGTTTTGGACATCGTCACGCCCCACGTCGGTCACTGGCGCGCATTCCATATCAACGTGGCAGATTATTCTCTCATCCATCCGGCACTGGTCCGCATGAGCCACTGCACTTCTGCACCCATGCTCGAGGTCCTGAAGCTGTATGCCGACGAGGACCTCCGCGAGGACAGTGTTCCATCCTATGCAGCTGATAAGTTTACGCTCTTCCATGGAAATACCCCGCAGCTGAAGGACGTCGTATTCCCCTCTATCCACGTTGACTGGCCTAAAGTGCATATGACCGTCTCCAGGAACTTGTCTTAGGTTGCCTTTCAAACTGTATGCGCCTGAGCTTCAGCGATTTCGGGCGCTTACTGCTCAATGCACCTGCTCTTTTCCACCTCAGCCTTCTGTCTGCCGGTCCTGGTGGATGTATCGAAGAATGGACATCGAGTGTCGTTAAGGTGGAGAGGGAGAATACGCCAGACTCACCCACAGATCAGATTACGCTTCCGCTGATAGTCCCATCCATCCGTTACCTCGAGTTCTCAATCAGAAACGACTGTTACATAGAGGAATTTACACAGAGGAACTGGCCGAGTGCCTTGTCTTACCAAACCTGAAAATCCTCGACCTCTACACGCCCTGCAGCGACTACTTCCTGCAGACCATAGCGCGCCCGTCCTTCGCGACCGGCACTCCTGGCTCACCGGACTGGAGAAACTCAGGCTCTACCACATAGGAGACTTCTATGAACCGGGCGTCATTTCGACTGTCTATGCTGCTATGCCGCGTCTCAAGGTGCTGAAGATCGACTTCACACGTGTTCCGCAGGACTGGTTCGACGAGCTGATCAATGTTGATCATGGAGCAGTGCCAGCCGGAAGGCGATATGTCGCTCTGCCCGCCCTCGAGACCTTCGAATCTGCCGGAATCGATGGCAGACTCCTCTGCAAACTCGTTCGGTATAGGATGGAGGTGGGCCTGCCGCTCCGACGGGTTGTGATGCGAAAGGACGACAGGCTGTATAAGGAGGAACGCGAGTGGCTGCAGAACAAAGTGGAGCACTTCGTACGCTCGGGATTGTCGATCCGATCTGACACGCGGATAAGCGGCGACGGGGGGCACATCAAGGTCAGCACTTCACAGTACGACTCGGGCGAGGATGACGACGATGAAAGGTCCGATAATGAGGAAGGAGGTTATTGAGATAATGAGGAAGACGGATTGGACGGGCATGGGCCATCGCTGGACCTCGACTGATGGAGAGGTTTGGAATGATGATCAGCGTCTGAGCTTGGCTCCAGGAAGAAACTCGAATGTCAATAGGTAAGTCCAAGAATCTATCCGTTTGTAACTATACAGAAGTGAATTGTTCCGTACGTCACCTGTTGCAAAAGCAAGTCGATGATGTGTCTTCTTTAGCTTCCGCTTCAACCATAATCTGCTATCGTCTTCAGCAGGGGAAAAATGAGATATACAATGCAGGCAGCATCTGACGTTACTTCAACAGCGAATTCATCACTCATGGTGAACGAAATTAAAGTAGCAATTCACCGTGAAACTTTTATATGCTTCAATCCACATCATTCCACAAATCTTCAGCGTCTTCGTGCCCGAACTCGTCCTCGAAATCTTCTCCTTCTATACCAACGTCTATTATCTCCTCCTCCTCCATCTCCTCTTCGTCTGAGCCCTCGAAGTATTCGAATTCCTGCACATTCTGTATGAACCAATGTTCATCTTCCTCGTCTAGCTGATCCTCCTCGTTCACGTAAAGCTGCTTGATAGGAAGGCCCAACGCTTTCCGGAACTCCACCAGAGCCCGCAGATCCGGGCCTGCGAGGCCGGTTGCGGAGAATGCCTGCAGACGCGGTAGAAAAGGCGTCTGGTTAGAGTCCGCCGCTGCATCCCACTGGTCTGCAAGTTCGTGATACCAACGCATTGAGATGAAATCGAAATTGAGATTCAACAGATTGAGATTCGGCATCGCTGCGTATACATCTCGTATGACTTGTGAATCTTCGCATTCCATTCCGGAAAGCTTGAGAGCTTGCAGTCCAGAGAGGATCGACTTGCCAGTGAGACTTGATGGGCGCGTGATTGCTCTGAGAAATTCGCTACTGTCGATTTCGTCAAACTCGAGCGCCAGCGACGAGAGATTCGGCATCGCAAGCCGCTTGAGAAGTTCTATGGAGTAGTCCGTTTCCAGAAATGCAAGTACAAGCTCCTTGAGCGAAGAGAGCATGATTGTCGTAGTTGCGGAGGGTTCTGGAGACGTTCGCATCTCGTCATAAGCGAGCACATCAGGAGGCTGATCGAGAATGCTTGCAAGCCAGTCCACCGGACCACCTGCGGGTCCTGATTGACACAGCGAGAGTTTACTGAGTTCGGGAGAATCGCGCAAGATGCGCGCGAAATCCTTGAAAGATGGGCGGACATCCTTCGCGTGATATGCGAGCTCCAGATCCACCAACCCGCACAAAAACAGTGACCTGGACCAATTAAGGTGCACCCCCCAAAGCGCGACCTTCGTAAGTCTTGGTACGTTGCCATTAAAAAGCACGAATGGTTGCTCTTTGAGGTGTGCCGGTGAGAACGCCTCCGGGTTGTCATCGTCTTCGTAATGGTAGAGCTGAAGGATCTCCAGCGAAGGAGCAACAGGACAACGGCTCATCCCCAGCAAAGCATCATGCATGAGGTGATAATCTGAAACTGATACATCCAAGGATCGCCAGTGATGAACATGTGGAAGGATGAGCTGAAGAATCCTTTGCATGTCGCACATGTTCTTAATCGCCTGCTCCCCTTCTTCGTCGAGTCCATCCTCTGTAAAGTCGATGCATAAATCGAGCGGTGCATTCTCCGATCGCTCCAAGTACACCGCAGATCGCGCGTAAGGATGACCTTCTGAGAAGTCAATGCTCGTCCACAGAGCGGGTGTATTGATTGCGACCTCGCGCCAATGCCTGCAAACGTGAGAAACGAGGATCACAAAGTCTGGCTCATCCTCCTCCCAATCCTCCTCGCTCTCTTCGTCGTATTCATTCCAATCTGGCCCGAGTGCAAATATGTGAGCAAGTAGCTCAGTCGGAAGCGTATTAATGATGCATCGCCCATCTTTTGGAGGGCGATATGGGCCGCCTTTTTGGCGACTGATTTTATGATCGGCTACCATTATTGTGTGGGGACAGTTTGTGTTGACAGTGGCGGTAGATTCGGAGCTTTCCTAGCGTCCCATAATCCAAGTTTGAGGGGAATGAATTCCCGAATGACAGCCACATCAGCAGGGTATCGCTAACGATGGATAAGAAATCCACTCACTTGCAGTATGCCTTGATTTTATGAGCGTATGACGCGGTGGAACAGGACTGACCACGTTCAACAGGGTTGTGGCTGTAGGTACGGAAGAGATTTCTTCGACCACGTGGCCCACGTGTGTTTCTGCCACGCCACCCCGGCAACTGGTCTCCGAACCAGGCTCACATTTATGACCTTTAAATGAGTGAGCAATATCAGCAATGCCCCGCACTCAAAGGCGAAAGCAGGTTAGCGTTGGCTATAAATGAAATCTTGTGGCCAGTCATATAAATGCAGAGGCTGAGAAGAGCAATGAAAAGCTAGCTGTACATGCATGTGGGATATTGAGAACCTGAGCATTAGGACCTTAGATACCCTCCGGACCTGAATATAATAAATTACATCTGGTCAGGCCTGTCGTCATCTCCTCTGCATTGTCATCTCTTCACACCGTACCTCGAATCACTTCGAACCACAATGTATCGAATTCTGCCGAACATATATTTGCTACCATCAAGATATATGTACGAGTGTGTATTTCAACAGTTTGAAGATAAAGGCGTGCACCAGCTAATGAAATTTGGAATATGAACGTCGGTCGCCATTATGCCGTATGCTAATCCGCACGATTACGCACCACCTTAGGACATATATGCGCACCGCCAATGATGGTGGTTCGAGAAATGTGTCAGTGTAGATGCTGGTCCTTCAGAGCTTCAGATACAATGTGTATAGCGAGACCTGTCTCACCCACACAATCATCATAGACGTGAGCGCTTCATATACGAATAAAATATTCAGTATTGGGGCACGCGTTTCGGAAAGCATGACCTCCCCCCCCTCCCCCCCCCAGAGGTTCAGCGTACACCAGCACAAGGGCTTTGTTTGATCCCTCCAATGAAGACAGCGAAACACGCTCTCACCGTACAGCCCATTCACTCCAAGCCCGAGCGGGCGACAGCGCGCACGGCAGACCTGAAAAGGGCAAATCCTGCGGAGAGCAAGCTTAACTCGCGTGCGACGGCTGATGAGCTTCCTCGGAGTGCCTATTTGTCCGCGCGACGATCTTCTTCCATGCCCAGGATTGTGCCTTCCGATTCATGCCCTCTGGTGACGTATCGCTTGAATTAGGGCGCTGGTGTACAGCTGCTGAAGGATCCAATGGTATGGCTGAGCCAGGCCGCAGGAGGAACCGTGGCGTCGGATACCACGCACTTTACGCGACGGATGTGCTTCTAACGAGTAGCTTTGGCCTTGTCACCGGCAATCATTAATGCATTGTCCGGATGTATCGGAGGCTGAGGGAAGCCATAAGTGCCGCTGAGCTTGTGATTTCAGCTTTGAAGTGGACGGCTCGGGGCTCGCATACCACCGGATTGCTTGGTTGACCCACGTACAATGAGAATCACGTCGACGCTGCAAGCTCATGCGCTCATGTTCCGAAGTGCGCACCTATAATACCACCGTCCCGAGGGCCTTTGTTCGCGGCGTTCACCTGTTCGTTTCAGAGGGCTGAGAGTAGGCGGTCATGACACGCTGTAAAGGGATATGTGAAGAGCTGCTCTAACCTGTGAGTCAACCTCGTTGTGAATCAGGGGGTGGCGACGCTGTCGCCGGCTACCAAAGGACTATCGCGACTCATGGAGGTGCGATATTGACAGACGTTTTCTGCAACTCAGCTTAGCAAAGCGAATTATGCGCACGGCCAGAGAATCGCTGCCGGGCCACCTCAGTCATGATATGCGGCTATTGGCGGCCTGGGGAATTGCGGCGTCGGGATGTGCGCATCGTACTTCGAAGTACTGCTGAAGGAGTTCATTGTCCTCTTCACCGGTGATCAGTTTGGAGATGCTCCGGAGAGTGATGTCGAGCTAACTCATGAGATGCCGAAAGCGCGACAGCTAATAAATCCGGACAACAGTTGCGGACAGGATACGTTCTATATTCTTATGAGCCCTCTGCCAGTGGATTTCACGATGCATCAAAGTTGTAGACGGTCATGAGCACCGCGCGATCGAGAAAGTGGAACGTGGTGAGCTTCAACATGACACTTTTTTGAGTCTGTAATATTCCAGAAGCAGCGTGCATTAACAAGTTAGCTGAAGCCGGAAGTTACCCAGCGAACAAGTGGAGCTACGCACCTATTAGCTCGCAGAGCCGGCAAAATCACCGGAACGACTTGCGACGGACAAGCTTTCTGTGGCCCCCGGCACCGCAGATCATCCCTAATTGACAGTGACATTTAATTATCACCGATGCATGTAGGGACACTATAACAGATCACTGCAGGCGGAGCCGCCAGGAGTGCAGAGAACGTCGATGGGATCTAAGCATTTAGACACCGGATGATAGCTCCCGATGGCATCTCGCGTAGTCGAGTAGTGGCTGCAAGGATGCCCAAGATGGTCAGACGAACTTGCATAGATAGCGTATGTAAGATAGACGTCGGGTCGGACTGCGAGCGAGCTAGTCGATCTCGAACGCCACGAAGGCTGCAGGTGCATCTCGGATGGAGAAGCGGATAGCCAGAGCAAGCGAGGCAAGTGTCATATATCAGGTGGAGGGCACCGTGCCCCGCCGAGGCACCGGAACGCGATTTGTCACAATTTTGTGGCGAACTGGGCGGTGTTGCACATTGGCAGGCTGCATCGGACGTGATACGAACGAAGGTGGATACCTGTCGCGTGAGTTGGATTGGTGTCTGCGTGCTTTTCAAGGCCACAACGCAAGCTGGTGCCAGAAGACGTATATACCTGGCTTGCTGCACCCGCAGGCAGCGAGGGCGACATTGAATGCGGGATAGCCAACACGGGCAAACAAGAATGCAACGCGGAAGCCGAAATCCTGATAAGTATGGAAATCCCGGCGTGCGATCAGCAAGGTGCGTGCTCTCTGCGCGGCCGCTGTCAAGCCCCCCTGCGAGCCAAGTCCTCTGGACGTCGCTTGCCGCGCCCTCGTGGCAGGTCAGATCGCTATCGCCGCGTCTAACACGCACGGACCCAATCTCTGCTTCGACATCAAGTCCAGGTGAGTGTGCCTCGGCTTCGTATTCACTGCCGATTGCACCTGCATGGAAGTAGAACTCGGAACGCCCGCGTGCTGCTCAGTGGTGAGAGCGTAGCCACCGCCCAAAATGCGCAGATACCACGCGGAACTCCACAGAGGATCCTCGGGTGAGTCAGTGTGTGCTAGCCGCTCATCACACGCTCGGCGCTGTCGGGGACACGGCGTACGTGCGATGTGACGCATCGCAGGCGAGGATCCGTCGAACCAGCGCAGGATATCTGAGTTGTGGCGATTGACAGCAGCGCGGCACGGCGCACCGAGAAAGGGCATTGTGCAGCGTTCCCTGCCCAGGCCGCGCTTCTCTGCCAGAAGTAACCCGAATTAATCGTCACGCTCCTCACGCAGAGATTCTTCCTAATGCGATTGCCGCCAGGTGCGCCTTCATTTACCGCACGTCCTCCCTCCATTCAAATTCCCCAGCCTCCATGCCCGGCCGCTCTTCTTCTCCTCGTTGACTCTGCCCGCTCGGCCAGCTAGTCTGTCGTCGCGTACGATGCCGGCCATCCCGCCCCTGACGCAGCCAAAGCCCGTCCTCGTCTCCACTCCACCAGCTCCAGGCGTGGCCCCTCCTCTTCCGGCGCCCGTCCAAGCGCGCCCGAAGACGGTGGGTCTCAGGGCTAAGGCTCTTTGTTCACTACCAGTGAGTACTTCTCGCACTTCCACGATCGCCTCCTAATGCACTCCCGCCGCAGCACCGTCTCCTGCATCCACCGCCCGCGCGCGGCAAGGTCAACACATGGGGTGTGGTTCCCCGCTTCGAGGTCAAACTTGACGATGTACTCGATCGCAAGCACTTGCCCCCTCTAGGGTTGAAGGACTTTGAAGAATGGCTAGTCTACGTCGAACACTCTGTTGAGAACCTGTATGTCGCGTGTTCGCGCCGCCAACCGTGCTTCCATTTCTCACATGCGTCACAACAGATACTTTATTCTCTGGCTCCGCCAATACACAGAGAAATACTCCCATTGGGTGCGCTCCACGAAGCTGCAGCGCACGTCCTCCTACGGCTCCGGCCGGCGCCGCGGGTACCGCACGCCGTCCGACATTCCGCCACCCAAGCCCGAACTCATGTTCGACTACATCCGCGCAAAGCGGACGTTTCTCACGCCGAGCGCTCAGTACGAGCTCGACATCCCTAGCGATGTACTCGCACCGTTCCACACGCCATCGAGCCACAAGACCGCAGCTTCCCCGACTTCGGACGGGAGAGGTGGGGAGGACGCCTTTAGCGACCACGTCCATAGATCATGGAGTGCGACGACTTGTGCTGTGTACCAACCGTATGAGTTTGGCGGTTGGGAAGGAGGTATGTCTCAGGGTTGTATGTCTTCTTGGCTGTCGTGTTTGACTATATGCGCTTCGTTTGGTAGCTATCGGTCCTCCGCCGCCGGATCCTGCTGTGTTCGGCGAGATCACCGAGCTTGTCCGCGAGATGCTCAATGAGAGCCTTCAACGCTTTGTGACTGCAACTTTCAACAACGTTGGCACGCCTCGCGCGGTCTGTGGTAGTGCGGGTGGGATTGTCATTGGACTCGCGGGCAGGTACGAACCCGTTGTCATCCTTTTCGAATTGCTTTGCCAACGCATACATCCACTTCCTTTTCCTTATAGCGTGCCGCTTGTCGTCAACTTCGCCACCGGTGGTTCTCGCTGGTGGCGGCTGGCTGCCCTACCCGGTATGTGGCTTGGATTAACGATTTTCATCTCTGCGATGTACGGGGTACGTGAAATATTTCTCCTTCAAGGACGCTCTTACCGATACATTTACTGTGCAGGTCTGCATGATGATATACGTTTTCGGCGATCTCCGCCAGTTGCGCTCGTTTGAGCTCGTGCGCCCGCCTATCTCGGATCCTCAGCCGCACCCGTCACCTAGCGCGTCCGTTACTTCTCTTTTCGCGTCTAGGCCTGCGCCCGCCGCTCCTGGTATTTCCCAGCTAAATCCATTCCGCCGACCACAACGCCGTTCGATTCCAGATATCAGTGCCCCGCGGCCGGTCATCTGTCCTCCTGCGGTCGATGAAGTTCTAAAGAACGGTCTCCATACCGAAACTGCTCCGCCGCGACTGCAAATCATCACTACTTCCCGCTGGTCCGAGGAAAGCTCTATCAGGCCTCCGCAGCGTGCCATGACCCATACATCGCGCCGCTCCGGCGCTGAAGAGCGGCATGTTTCTCGTGTATCTTCCCTGGTGTCGATCTCGGATGCACTTGAGCCCTCTGATGAGGAAGATGCGCATGGCAGAGGATACGAAGACAACGACGCCTCTGAGCCGTGCATCGAGATCTCTGACGCTTTCTACGATTCGCACCCATGTCCCGAAGGTCCTGCGATGGCGTCCTTTCCTGGTCCTGGGTACGGTATGCGCGGCGTGCCGATGTGGCCTGACTACGTCGGAAGCGAGGAGGAGGAGCTAAACGCAACAGCAGCGTTTATTCACCCGTTCTCGTTCGAGGAGGCGACAAAGAAGAAGGACGGCGAGCTGGATCTTGAGGCGCAGAACCCGCGTGGGATCGCGGCGCGCCAGCCGATGGACCCTTTCGACTTCGACGCGTTGCCACAGCACCGCCCTAGATTTGCTTCGGGCAAATACCGAGGGGAGCGTAGGGCGCCGCCAGCATACTCGAGGCATTTGCCTGACGGTGAGAGGCGCGTACGCTTTGCGCAGCCGCAAGAGTCCAGCTTCGGCCCGCGCGCGGTGTTGGCTAGGTGGCAGACGAAGTGCAGCCCGGAGAATGTCGTGCGAGTGCACATCGAGCGGGAGATCGAGCATGATCGGGATGGCGAGAAGGAGAAGGAGGGATGGGGTATTGGGTGGGGCGTCGCAAGCAGCCCGCTTGCGCCGTCGCCGACGGTGACGGTGGCGGGTTCGCCGGTAGCGGCGTCTGCGTTCACATTCCCTGCGGCGACCACGTCTACCGCTGTTGACGCTTCGCAGGTAGCCTCTATCCCGACAGCCGAGGAACCTGATGAGTTTGAGAAGGAGAATGTGGAGGTGGATACTGACGAAACAGCTTCACGGAACAAGCAGTTCCGCAAGATGCCCTCGGTCCCTGCCTTCGCGGTGCCGCTCACCCCGGTGCTCAGCCCGGTGGTAACGCGTGCGCAGTGGGAAATTGTGGTTCGGAGCGCGTTGATTGCATTCGCTGTCTGTGCGGTGGTCGTCGGCGGGCTGACTGGCGCGCCGGTGCCGCACTATCACTGAACGGCAAAAGTCTGTGCTGCGTCTATGTCGGGTGTGGGGAGATGAGGAAGGACTAGACCGTGCTGTGCTGGTGTGCCTTCTTGCCGCTCGTTATGCTGACTTTTGCGATCCATACCTTACGCTAACGCTTCCACGTCCTGCCGTCCAACGTTCCTTCCTGTGGTTTTGCCTCCTAAGTCCCTGTCCGACATCGTGACGGATATTAAACTGCTGTCTACATCCCTTCACCTTCATCGATCGTTGTGCGTCCCATTTGCTGGTTACCCACCCATTGCTGCTTCAGATATACACTTTCGATTGAATGTTGTAGCTTTTACTTGTTCATGCTTTTTCCGTTCTCCGCCTTCCGGCCTTACTAGTAGTAGTTACACGATGACGTGCTATATGTATTTGTGCGATGTACCTTTTACGCTAGCAGATGTCGTCTTGAGCTGTCATCGATTCGTCAGTAGGGGGAGGAATAAATTTGTTGTGCTACGTAGTGTCAACGCTGCTTGTGGCGAACCTAGCACTTGTTTGCACAGGAAACGCGACGGTTGCGTTTCTCGTGCGCGTTCAACACGCGTTACATCGGCAGGAACAGCGCGCAACAAAGTCCGGAACGCAGGTTTCCTACCGCGTATTGCTGGGCTATCTTATCTATCCGCCCACAGACTTCTCCATACGATGTACAGTCGTACAGCCGAGGATCAGCTGCTGGGTCTCCAGGCCACAGTGCAAGTCGCCTCCTGGAATGCATGAACTCACAAGGTATGACTAGTATCTGTGCTCAGGATATGTTCAAGTAAGCCACTGCTCGGTTGCATGTAGATTGATGAGTGATACAGAGCTGCCTCTTCCTTGTGCAGAGTCAGTCCTTTCGTCGAGAAACCTACATGGTGTGCTAATTCGAATATCCTAGGACACAGTACTTGCTGGTGCCGTGCGTAGGTGTGCTTGCGAAGGGTTGGTTCGTTACGTGCAATCCGCTTAGATGCGCCGGTGTAATCTCTTAAGCGGTCGTAGCTGAGGATTCGCTTGCTGCAGTGCACGGGCCCCTAGCTAGAGATGAGGCCTGAGGACCGGATTGCGGGAGCTTCGCGTCCCCTGTAAGGCAGGCGGCGGGAAATGTTCGGCGAATGGCGGAGTCATGACTTTTGATCGGGTAATTACAGATAAATGTTCCGTCGCCGATCTCGGCAATCGGCGATGCCTGCTGGCATCCCTCTTCACCTGCTCGCCGCCTGCTCCCCCTCATCGGCGTCCCTGAACAAAGGTCCACCCTGATTTATTGCATCGATGCGCTTGACGCCGAGCAGGCGTCCCCGGAGACGCCCATAAAGCGCACAGTCGACGCCATGTAATAGAAAGCTTGTCTTGAATCTTGATACCTCCCCGACCACTCCTCCCGTGTCTCAGATCCCGACGTCCCTATTCCATTCTCGCCGTTGTCGAAATTGAACTTGTCCCTTCCCCTGGAATGCCACAAACGCAAGGTCACACTCATCTCTGGTGAATTGCTCGTGTGTCCGAGGGCAGGATTGACGGTGCTGATGATTGCTGCTCATATAGGTATCACCGGGCAAGATGTTGAGCTTATAAGCACTTCAGGACCGCGCTGCTCCTCTCGAAAGGCTACGAGGTACACAGCATCATCTGTCGCTCTTCAAGCTTCAACGCGAGCCGTCTGTGTCATCTCCGCGAGGACCAGCGCGAACGTACGTCCTAGCCCGTGCTAATTTCGCTCGCCGCTCACCTCCCGCAGGAGCCAACAAGTTCCAGCTACACTACGGCGACCTGAGCGACAGCACGAACCTCGTACACTCATCGCGCAGGTGCAGCCGACCGGGTATATAATATCGGCGCGCAGTCGCACGTCAAGGTCTCGTTCGAGATGGCCGAGTACACGGGCGATATCGACGGACTGGACGCGATCTGGACCTGCGGGCTCGACAACGACGTGTGCTTCCACCAGACGTCGAAGGCCTTTGGCCTGCTGGGCATGGATATCAAGTAGTGGCCATGTCGTATTCACCGCGATGTTCGCTGACAACCATGTGGCAGATGGTGTGGGTTCTGGGACGTTTCAGGACGGCGTCGACGTGAGACGGGCAAGGTGCTCGTCAACTTTCAGGTTGACATGACCTCCCTTCCATTAGCCCTCTGCTCGGAAACGCTGCAAATGTCGAATGCCTGCTTGGCTGGAAGCGCAAGGTCGGCTTCGACTCACTGATGAAGGAGATGGTCGAGGCCGACTTGAAGGCAGCGAAGTCGCTCGTTGAAGATCAGAACCGAGGAAGTGTGATGGGAGCTTAGCGAAAGGCTGGGCGCAGTCCTTGCTTGAATACAGACTTGAACGGAACAAGCATCTCGATACCAAGGAAATGGTGTCATACGTGGTGAATATCCGTACTAGTATCTACGTTTATCACCGATCGCTATAGGACAGCAACGTTTCCGCTGGTTAGACCTTGCATTCGTCCGTGATCGCATGAAAGCCACTTAGCAGCGTCTTCGGCTTCATGCGCTGAGGATACACAGAGCATACGACTCTCCGTCGACGGGTCGAGTAGCGGCAAAACTTGTTGACTTAGGAGGCTTCATCTGTGCATCTTAGGCTCATGAACTATTCGGCAACAGTGCTGCGAGTTAATTCATCAAAAATTACAGATAACGTGCGAAGTTATACAGAAGACCAAGACGACATGACGGAACCACAAAAGACATAAGTTACAGGTGGAGAGGAGGATTGTGCGATCGGAAGAGCCTCATGCACTATATAGGACCCGCCGAAGGCCACAATCACACAACTGTCTCGCCGCAACCCAGATAGTCGGCTATCAGCTGACGCTTCCGCACGACATCTGCTCCTTGCGGCACCTCCATACCCAAGGCAAGGAGCACATGATTAGCATCATTGGCTGAAAGATAAATGAAGACTAATGAGAGAATAATATACAACTGCACGGAAATCCTTCATACCAGTCAATTCTGTGAGCTGTAGTTCAGTCTTGGGGAATCTATCATCAACTTCTGATGGATATTGCAGAGGGCCATTCATGCGCAGGGGTGCATTGTGGAGCATGGTCGGCAGCATTCTGACACTGAACAAGAATCATGAGTAAGAAGATATCGCTTGAGATAAATCGTAAGCCATACATATTGTCAACCTTGCCAGCCAATTGGTCGAATCTCCCCCCGATTTGGTTGAACCTCTCCTCAACTTGGTTGAACCGCCCCTCAACCTGCACTTTGAACTGGTTCAGGGTGTTCTCAAGGTTAGTTATTCTGCCATTCATCTGCTCTATCGTGCCATTCATCTGCTGTATCGTGGCATGGATCTGTTGCATCACTACCATGATGTCATTGTGTTGAGGTATATTTGCAAACAGAGCTAGTTGCTCTGCTGCTGTCGTCAGACTTTGTTGCAAAAGAGGGTAGTCAGGCTGTGGAGTTGGAGCTTGCATGTTGAGAACAAGAGCGGTATGATTCAAACCGCACATCAAACCGTACCGCACCGTACGACGCTGTCGGAGTTCATTATTCGAGACTCAGATATGTAAGAACCTTAATTCCCGATCCGGGACGGTGCACCTCCTTTGTGTTGAGTGATATCACATAATGGCTCTGATGTGCTCCCGATCTTCATTTCCATTCAGTTGTGCTTTCCCTTAAGTCTCATAACCAGACGGTATAGGTGAAGCCGTGCAGGGGTACAGGCAGGGAGATAGTGCCACCACAATCACAGCGGAGTACTATCGGAGAGCGAAAAAACCCCTGTGTCTGCTGTAATGCACGTAGCTAGTACCTTCCTCAGCTATTCCTATGTGAAATAAACTGATTTGACTACGAACTACATGCCTATCATTGCCATCAATGCCAGCCGAAGGCTGAAATGGATCGTGTCGAGCCTCAACAGTCTTCTTATAGCGCCATGCACAGTTGAATGGACTGATGGCGCAATCCCCCAGTCCACTCCCATAAATTACAAGAATTATATGAAGCATCAATACGTGTCGCCAGATGCTGGGTCAACACCAGGTTCGCAAAAGAGAGAGAGCCCTCCTGGCCAGGCTCATGCTCGCGTCGCGTCCCTAATATATATGCGCACGGGACCGCGTCACGGATGCTCATGCGCGCACCGCGTGGTCCCAATCTCATCTCGGACACATGCGTAGTCTCTCCATCCACCACTGCACACGTTCTATCCGTCCTGGGACACACGCAGGAGCATCTCTCGCCCACGCATCCCGTTCCGGCATCACCAGCATCGCCTCTGCACCGAAGCAAGGGACTCTGCTTGTCACGAGAACACTTCCGCGCGGCCGCCATCAGCTATATCAGTCGCGCTGCACGCTGCCGCTTTCTAGACCATTTGCCTCTCTACTGTCGACCACCAACGCTGTCATGGCATCTCTGACACCGCCCCAGCCACCTCCGTCCTGGACGCACTCTGCGGAACAGGTCCTCGAGCTCACGAAAGATGCAATCGCGAAGGATCGCGAGCTGAAGGACAGCGTTGCAGCGCTGCCTTCTGCTGATTGTAACTTTCCATCCGTATGTGCGCATCACCTGCTCAACGCGTGCATCTCGTTGACTCGTCTCAGGTGTTCGTAAGTCGGGCTTCGTCTGATCTTGTCATCGAAGATGTCTTACGTTCATGCAGGTTGTACTTGCAGAGGCAGAAGCAAGGTTCGACAGCATCATCGAGCCGCTGTCGTTCTACCAGAACGTCTCGTCGTCAAAGGAGCTACGGGATGCATCGAACGCCGGGGAGGTCCTAGTGCGCGACTACGGTGTGGAGTCGTCCATGAGGCTGGACGTCTTCCAGGCGAAGGTCGCCGCGGAGAAAAACATCAAAACTAGCGGCGAGACGTTAGGCCCTGAGGAACAACGCCTCATTGAAAAGATGCTGCTCGATGGGAGGCGGGCGGGTCTAGCGCTACCCGAGAAGGAAAGGGAGGAGCTGATGAAACTCAAGAAGGAACTATCCCAGGCATCCCTGGAGTTTAGCGTGAGCTGTCGCATGATTTCAGTTGATCATGTATGATTCTTAAAGCGCTACGACTTGCAGAAAAACTTCAACGAGGAGAACGTAAGCGCATTGCTCATTTTCGCATACGTTCGGAAGTTGACAATTGGACCAGAATAAAGTCTCATTTACGTTGGAGGAGCTCAAGGGTGTTCCTGCCGACGTAATCTCCGGCTATTCGAAGCGCACGGAAGGAGACAAAGAATTGTATGACATTACTATGAAGACGCCTGATATTTTCCCTGTGGTAAGTACTTCACTTTCTGTGATGCGGGCTGTGCTGGACTTCGTTACAGTTCAAGAACTGTCAAAATCCAGAAACACGACGGAAAGCATACGCACGTTATGACGCGCGACTCGAGGTCAACGCGCCCATACTTGCGAAGATGTTGGACTTGCGACGAAGGATCGCTGCGATCCTCGGATATCCGACCTGGGCAGACTACATAACAGAAGTGAAGATGGTGAAGAACTCGAAGAACGTGATCGATGTGCGTGTGCGGCTACCAGCGATTTAATCGCATGCTGACGTCTGCACCGACAGTTCCTAGCGGACCTGGAACAAAAACTGACGCCCATCGGAGAAAAGGAGCGTGTTGTGCTCCTGAAGCTCAAGGAGGAAGAACATGCAGCGAATGGCCACCCGTTCGACGGCAACTTCTACACATGGGACTACTGGTACTACCACCGCGTGCTGCTCGAGATCTCGCTTAAGCTGGATGACCAGAAGGTCAAGGAGCATTTTCCCGTCAGCACGGTGGTGCCTGCGATCCTCGACATCTACCAGAACCTGCTTGGCGTGCGGTTCGTGGAAATCAAGGGCGAGACGTGGCATCCTGGTTAGTGGTGCATAGACGATCTGTGGAAGCTCGGTTCTGACGTGTGTGTGCGGGGGCAGATGTCCAGCAATTTGCAGTATGGGAGAACGATGCGAAGGACGAGTCGGGCTTTGTCGGGTATTGCTATTTGGACCTCTTTCCTCGTGGTGCGTGTCGACTTTGGACTCTTACATCACCATATCCTGACGGCTTTGTCTCGCTCGAATCCACAGAATCGAAATATTCCCACGCGGCAGTATGGCCCTTGCTCCCAGGATACATCCGTCCTGATGGCACGCGGAGCTACCCGCTAGCAGCGATGGTCGCAAACTTGGCAAAGCCCACACCGACCACTCCGGCGCTGATGCCGCACAATGATGTCGTGACGTTTTTCCACGAGATGGGGCACGTCTTCCATGGGCTGTTGAGCAGGACGCGGTTCTCTAGGTTCCATGGGACGTCGTAAGTTGTCTTCGATCAGGCCTCATACTTGTGATGTAAACTGGCAATGTGCAGTGTGGCAGGTGACTTTGTGGAGGCGCCCTCGCAGATGCTCGAGAATTGGTACGCTTCATCTCGTGGTGGTGACGGGGAGGAACATCGTTCATGTTGATTTTTTTGAATTAGGTGCTTCGAGCCAGTGGTGCTCGAACGCATGTCAAGCCATTACGAGACGAAGCAGCCGCTCTCGAGAGATCTCATCGACAAGATCATCAAGAGGTAAGTTCGACGAGTCTCCGCCCATTCGTCGCATGATGCATTGATTGCAATCCGTATGTCGTCTCCCGCAGCCGGTACGTCGACGTCGGGCTGTTCTACCTCCGTCAAGTCTTCTTTGCCAAATTTGACATCAAGGTGCATACTGACAAGGGTGAGTAGTGGACGGCTATCGCACGTTCGTGCTGCTCTTTGTATGTTGCGAGCCTCACGATGCATTGCGATAGAACCGACTGACTACACGGCACTATGGAACGATCTGCGCGCGTCGACTACTAAGATCAGCTCCGATCTCCGCTCTGCAGGCCAGGGTTCATTCAACCACATCGCAAGCGGTTACGATGCTGGATACTACGGGCACGTGTTCCACAGAAATTTGGACACGTTTCTTATGCCTGCGGTGCTAACACGCTTTCTTCGGGATTTAGGTACACGTATTCGTTGGTCTTCGCCGCTGATATGTACGAGACAGTATTCAAGCAAGATCCCCTCGATCCAGTGCGAGGCGCACGCTACAGGAAATCGATACTGCTCCCAGGTGGCAGCAGAGAGGAGCTCGACTCACTCAAGGTGAGGTACTTTCAAAGCTCTTGTGCGCCGTCATTGACGCCATGGTGGTGGTGCAGGAATTCTTGGGCCGTCCGCCCAATTCGGAGGCGTTCGTCAAGGAGCTCTTCGGCCAGACCACGACGACTGGCTCGAATCTCTGATTCAAATGGGGATCCTCGATTGGACTTTACAAGCAGTTACAGATTGAAAGAGAGTGGCGAGCGAGGTCTTCGCGATCGTGAAGCACCGAGAGTAGTGCAGGACGGACGGACGTGTGATCGATCGCGAAGCGGGGTTTTCTGGCTCTCCGACCTCATCAATGCTGTGGCTGTGATGTCGCCGTCCCTGCACAGTACTCGCACCCTCCCTTCTACACCGTCTGGTTATGAGACTACTGAAGCATCACTGTGTCTGCGTGTCTGCATGTAAATACAAGAAACTGGAGCTGGGATCCTTCCGGTACGAGTCCCATCAATACTAAACTCGTCGTTACTCCACTGGAAAGAAAGCACCTCGATCATTGTGTGAGAAAGGTCAGAATTCTCTACGACTTCAGATATCTGTTACACCCTATCATTCTTCAAGTCAATAAAGCAGCTTTCTGCCAATCAACGCGAAGAAAAGTGCGAGTCAATTGTTTGGCCCTTTCCCAAGCTGCAATTCAGTCTGTCAGTGGGAAGGGACTGGAATCTTTACTTTATTTTTGGAGTGCTTCACTGTGCGATGGTTCGTAGGGCAGCGTTGGCTGCCAGAGGTTGAGGTTTTTTAATGGCGTCCTGTGGCTTGGACCCGTGACCGCGATTGCCATCAATTTGCCGATCAAATTCAAGGCGTGCTGCGCTAGAGTCGTTCCTGCCTCTCACTGCGCCGTGATTTTCGTCTGTCGGCGAACCGCACACTTCTCTGGTCTCTCTACGATTTTTTGAATGACATGGACAGAAGGCAGAGGTATAATGCCAAAGCACGTCAATCTACTGTTGGCTCACATAAGAAGGGGAAGCGCAAGGCGAAGGATGAGGCACCGATCCTTTGTGGAAAGCTAGAGAATCCCAATGCCGAGATTATTATACCAAAGCCAATGGAGCAAAAGGAGCTGGAGAGGAAGGAGAGAATGAAGCAGGAGGTACTGTAGCTGAGGTCCTTGTTTCGAATGCCCATCCGTGCTCACTTGCTGTACAGCTGCTTGCGCAGTCTAACTCCAAAGCGAATAGCAAGAAGAGAAAAAGGTTAGAGAAGTACATTGTGAGTTATTTGATTCACGTTTGATAGGGTTGAGTTGCTTAATCTCTCTCGTCTTACAGGAGAAGAAGCTGAAGCAGGAAGAGCGTGTACTCCTCTTCGAGAAACTATCGTGCGTTGTTCTTGCAGGGTTTCTGAGATGGTGTTGCTCAATCGTTGTATAAGGAAGAGTCAGGCTGAAGTGTCTACTGCCCTCCAGCTCCAGTCTTCTTCGACCCTTGGCACCGGCAAAGTCATCACGCACAAGGATCTCATGGACAAGCAAGAGGACAAGGAAGTTCGACGGGCGATGGACGGCCTCGGCATGAGTGGCAAGCGCAGGCATGAACAGCGATTGCTACCTCCTGCTGAGGACAGCGAAGATGGCGGAGACGAGGATGATGACATGAATGTCGACGAAGAGCAGACGGCGGAACAGGTCATGCCTGAGGGCACATCACGCTCCAATCCGGTGGTTGTCGTGGATTCGGGTTTCACCACTGCGATTCTACCACCTGAGTCCTCCCATTCCGCTGGCCCGACAGTGACTGTCATTGGTTCTGCCCTCAAGCATAATGCCGATGGCTCCGTTGTCGCACCAAGGGTTGTCAAGCGAAATGCGAAAAGGACTAAGGTATGTATATGTAGCTGTCGCGTGAATGCGCTTACAATTGACTTGTATTGCCCAAGCGAACTCTGACATGGAAAAGCAGAGGCCCCGTCGTCCAGACAAACGTACAAGACGTCGATCACGTCTCCGACACATCCTTTGACAGTTCAGACTCTGCATGTGATTCTCGTAGTGAGCAGGAAGATGAAGAAGGTCAAGCGGATGATGGGAAGCAAAAAGCGAGCGTGGAGAACACGTCCAGTCACGAAGACGAGATCAGTGAGGGAGGACACGCAGATCTCAACAGCGGTAACTCAAATAGGGAGACTGTAGAGACCTCGGCCGTTGGGGAGCAGGCTGGTGTTAAGCGGAAGAGCTTCGGCTTCAAGGAGTGGGCCTCGAAGCAGCTCAGTAATGCCAAGAGTTATGTGGTCCCAATCGAATCTGAATCTTTCCCAACTTCCGCGATCCCTACAGAGCCAGGTCAACATATGCCGCCGCCGAAGAAGAAGCAGAAGATGGAGGCATCTTCCGGGGAGATGCGTGGTCCACTTGGCGAGGAGTTGAAGCTTCCAGCAACCTTGTTTGCAGAATACGTGCGGGAGAGTGGTCCCGAATCTCGGGATGCTGTTGACGCCGTAAAGAGGAAGACCATTATTGTTACACGTCAGCCGGAGGTAGAGGATGCTAGATTGCTGCTGCCTATTGTTGCAGAAGAGCAGCCGATCATGGAGGCGATCCTTTTTAACCGCATCGTAATAATATGCGGTGAAACTGGCAGTGGAAAGACTACACAAGTGCCCCAATTCCTTTACGAGGCTGGATTCGGATCGCCAGATAGCGGTACGTTTCGTGACCCGCTGACGTGATCTTAACGGTATTTGCTCATGCAACTGAATGGTCGCAGACAATCCGGGCATGATAGGCGTTACTCAGCCGCGTCGAGTTGCAGCAATTTCAATGGCGAATCGTGTCGCTCAGGAGCTTTCTCTTACTTCGTCGCATGTCTCATACCAAATTCGGTATGATGCGACCGTCTCTCCATCAACTTCTATCAAGTTCATGACAGACGGTGTTCTTCTGCGCGAGTTGGCAGCTGATTTCCTCTTGACGAAGTATTCTGTGATAATCATCGACGAGGCACACGAGAGGAGCATGAACACCGATATTCTCATCGGCGTGCTAAGCCGTATCGTGAAACTGCGTGAAGATATGTGGCGCAATGGCAAGGACAACACCAAGGTACAACTTTACACTTACTGTCCGGGAATCATACGACTGACAATCCGTTCTACAGCCTTTGCGGTTGATCATCATGTCCGCAACTCTACGCGTGTCCGACTTCGCGGAGAACAAGACTTTGTTCTCCACTCCACCTCCTGTCATCAATGTCCCTGCCCGCCAGCATCCTGTAACTGTCCACTTCAGCCGTCGCACCTCGCCCGACTACGTCACCGACGCCATCCGCAAAGCGAGCAAAATACATGCACGGTTGCCCCCGGGCGGAATCCTCATATTTCTCACCGGACAGAACGAGATCACCGGCGTCTGCCGCAAGCTAGAAGCAAGATATGGGAAGAAGGCTTTGGACGAGAGGCAAGGGCTGAGGCGGTCGGTGCGAGAGCGCTCCGAGAGGCTTCATCGCACAGGCGAGGAAGCTGAGCCTCAGAGCAACGTGATTCCTTCCCAAGGTTATGTCCTGTAATTGTACGGTGGGCAGGGCGACTGACCTGTCTTTTCTATAGCGGACATCGAGGCTGAAGACATTGATCTAAGCAACTCTCAAACGGATCGCGAGAACCTCGCTTTGGACGTAGACGATGACAATAGCGGCGAGCCTGACGATCCAGATGCTTTTGATAGTGACGGTGATGGCGATGAAGCATTAGGCATAGATGTTGAAGAGTCCGACGGTAGGTCGTTTGAATTGAGCAGTCTTCGCTATAATTAAACGTCTTTGAAACCAGTACCGATGCACATTGTTCCTCTATATGCGTTATTACCAAGCGAGAAACAGTTGGAGGTCTTCCGTCCACCTCCACCTGGTTCTCGCCTCGTAGTCGTTGCGACGAACGTTGCGGAGACCTCTTTGACGATACCTAACATCAGATATGTTATCGACTGTGGGCGGGTCAAAGAGGTACGCTGGCTTTTTGTCATATGTCTTCGAAGCTCATTCTCTGCGCAGCGTCGCTATGAGATGGCCAATGGGGTACAAGCTTTCCAAGTCAGCTGGGTATCCAAAGCATCCGCTGCACAGCGTGCCGGACGTGCAGGTCGTACGGGACCTGGCCATTGCTACCGATTATATTCGTCCGCGTTGTATGAACGCTACTTCGAGCCGTTCTCGCAACCGGAAATCTTGCGGGTCCCCATCGACGGTGTCGTGCTGCAGATGAAGAGCATGAATATTGATGCAGTCGTCAATTTTCCGTTCCCCACACCACCCGATCGGACTAGTTTGCGCAAGGCAGAAAAGATGCTAACTCATTTAGGTGCACTCAAGCCGCAGTCGAGTGGTTCATCCGTCCTCAGCAGTGCCATCACCGAGATAGGCAAATCGATGTCTCTCTTCCCGCTGTCTCCGCGGTATTCCAGAATGCTCGTCAGCGGTCGTCAGCATGGTTGCCTGCCTTATATCGTCACCATAGTATCTGCGCTATCCGTTGGTGATCCGTTCGTAAGAGAGGAGGCACTCGTAAATGACGCCCAAGATGATGAGGATGGAGATGAAGAGTTATCACATTTGTCTAGCGAGGCAACGAGGGCGAAAGAAGCCCGGAGACTTCGTCGGCGAGCGTTTTTCCAATCGCAGCAGGTGCGTTATTTGATATAATGCTTGTATCAGTAGGCTCAGGCATTGTAGATCCATGCATCGCTCGGAAATGCTACTAGTGATGTTTTGAGGATGCTGTCAATAGTAGGCGCTTATGAGTACGCAGGAGGTGGGCATCAGTTCTGCACGGAGCACTTCGTGCGTCCAAAGGTATGTAGTGACTATGCCATCTGGCTGCTCCCCGTTCTCAACTGAATCTCTTCGCCAAGGCTATGGAAGAAATACACAAACTAAGGGCTCAAATCAGTAGCATTGTGCAGACAAATTTTCCTGAGTTGGAAACAGGGTTTGTAGCGAACCTCCCTCCACCGAATAACCTGCAGGCATGTCAATCATCCGCGTCTCGATCCACACAGACAGGACTGACTATGGGCACTAGCTGAAGATCCTGAGGCAACTCATTGCTGCAGGGTTCATTGATCAAGTAGCTGCCCGGAAGGATCTCGTCCAACGAGATACTTCCTCGGGTAACAAATACACTACTTCGAAAGGTGTTCCATATCAAGCAATAGGGGTTGAGGAAGACGTCTTCATCCACCCGTCTTCAGTACTAGCCAATCGCCCGCCTCCTGATTTTGTAGTCTACTTAGAAGTTGTCCGGACGTCTCGCATTTGGATTAAAGGTGGATGATGAGTCTACGTTTGCGATTATTCCCACTCACCTTTGTATCGTAGGTCTCACCGTTGTGAATGCTGCATGGCTACCCAGTCTTGGCAAGTCTCTTTGCACGTATTCGAAAGCAGGCAAGACAAAGGACGGCCGATCTATGATGATCCCACATTTTGGACCAGGAGGATGGGAGTTACCCCCTGTTGAAGCTGATAGATGATGTACTATATGAACCCATACATTGTCGATTTGGTAGTACGCTACCGATAGCAGACATAAAAGCAATTGCAGTAATAAGTTAATGGGATTGCTCAAGGGTGTGCAAATTTGATGGAAAAACGAGATTGTGCGAGATGTCCCTGTCATTACTCGTGAAATGCCCATTATTTGTTCCTGTCGATCATTGCGGAGGACGCTGGCGATGACGTGAGAATTCAGACCAATCAGATTCAGCGGAATTGACATCCACCTTATTTTTTGGGATAAAAAGGCTAGGACCTGGCTTAGGACGCTTCTTAGGAGGTATTTTAAGTCGTGCTGGGTCACCCTCATCGGATACGGGCCGTTCAAACTTTTCAGATACATCGCTCGGTGCCGGTCGTTTATGTCCTGCTGAAGAATCCTTCAATTTGGACTTGCCAGCTTTCATTGTGGTGGTGAAGGTGCTCCGGGTGGACGGTTCGACTGCATTAGGTGCGCAAGATTGGGCATCATTTGCGAGTGACTTGAATTCTCGTGGAGTTGTGAGCTGCGGAGGAAGAGGCGATTCCTTTGTGGGAGACTTCTTGGATGTCTTTATAGAAGGAGCAGGCTTCGTGACTGCCGCAGGCGATGTAAAATATGCAACATCGACCTATGTGCCGTCAATTATCGAAAACCAATTCCTGGTTATATCGTCTCATGACTCACATCAACCAAACAGCCTCTCGTCTTCGCATCTTGTACGATGCCCCGCCAGATATCATTGCTTCGTTCCAAAGTCGGTGCATGCCCAAGGACGAAGAGAGAAGACTTCGCCCTAGTCAACGCGACATTCATTCGTCGGAAATCTGAATGATTCAGCTTACTTAGTAGTCCAGGATTCCTATGGCTGCACTTGATCTTACCTCTTAAGAAGCCTACGCTTTGAACGCCTGGCCCGGCACGCACGCATGACAGTATGATGATATCCTTCTCTTGACCCTGAAATCCGTCTACTGTATTGAAATCGATAGTTCTAGATATCTCCGCTCCAAACTGCTGTTCAAATGTCCGACGAAGCTGCATGATTTGACCACGATACATGGATATCACCCCGACCTTGAAGTCGGAATCGAAGTCGGAAAACTCCCTACGTAAACGGCGGTAGAGGGAGACCGCTACTTGGCATTCTGCGCGATTTACATAGGAATGAATATTCCCAGTTTCTTCTCGACCAGCAGTAACGTTGAAAAAACGATAAGTCCCAAACTTCTCATGAGTATGCCAGGGTCTTCTCGTTTTCACAGCCATATCCGGTCCGTCTCGCAGGCGTCCATCGTAGAACAGACGACTCGGCACTTGACTGATATCAGGATGCATGCGATACTGAATGCTGCATGACCGTGAACCAAAAAAATCACTGTACAGATCGCTAGAGCATACCTTAGTAGATGGACGGCATCAGGGCGTTGTCGCTGCAAGCGTACGAAGAGCGACTGGTTGTATCCGAGGTTGCACGCCTGTATGCGCAAGTTGTTTCAGCACCTCTCATGAAGAACGATTGGATGTACGGACCTCCTGGGACTTCACAGTAGGAGGCAGCTGCTGAGGATCTGTTGACATTTGTAAAAAAAAACGATCAGGATAGATTAGTAATGCTTACCGCCAACCATCACACAACGCGGAGAACGATACTTGAGAGGGATCAACGAACTCAATTCTATGGCTTGCGCAGCCTCGTCGATAACGATGAGTTCAAATTCGAGTTGTTCGAGGTATTCATATCCAGCTCCAGATAATGTGCTGCATATGACGTCGGCCTCTAGTAAGACTTCGGTTCGGAAACGCCTTTTCGTTGCATCCAGCGTCCGCGAGTCAGATTTCTGCTTGTCCTTCAATTTGTCGATCCGGTGAGTGAGCAGTGCTTTCTGCTTATTCAGTTTCCTGATATCCTCCTCTAGAGAAAGCGTCTTGACAGTGTTATCGCGTATCGTCGAAATCTCTTCGAACTTCTGTTGTCTTTGATGCTTTACGGACTCTAATTCTCCTCTGAGGCGCGTGACTTCGCCTCCCGCGTCTCTCGAGCGGTCGAGTTCCGGATTCGCCTTGAGTTTCTGTTCTATCAAGTATTCCAGTGAAATATCCCTAACATTGATATTCATACTGTTGACTGCACCGACGCGAACGACGTTGGGAATAGTCGCTTGCCGGCCTGCTCCTGATACGCCTTTCTTCAGCCTTGACGCAATCTCATCAATAGCTGCATTACTCGGTGCGCAAAGGAGAACCTTCTTCACAGGTTCCCTATCTGCAGGGCCTGTTGACCTGCCTGCATGGATAACGGTGACAGGTTTCGGCCGACGCGAAAGGAAAGCATGGACTAATCCACAAATAGTCGAAGTTTTTCCCGTCCCAGGTGGTCTATGATCTCGTTCAGGTTGACAGCTGACGTTAATGCTGCATTATGCTTACCCCTGAATCAAAGCAAAGCCCTCAGCTTTTAGGGCGTACAATATCGCTTTGGCCTGCGGCTCGTTGACGCTATACGTAAACATCGTTTTCCGAATCTCCTCCTCGTCTGCCAAGGTCGTTTTGCTCAACCGGGCCTTGAGGACCATCTCTTGGAAATCAAAGTAAGGCAACGCCATCAATGCCGCGTATTCGCGGTGCAGGGTCGCGAGGCTACAATGAGTCCGTTAACCAACGTTGAGCCGAAACAAAACTCGCATTCTCACCTCAAGACTTTGCTCAACAACCAGGTCGTGCTTACTTGCAATCCAGGGTCAGCACATCCAGCAAGACACCTGATGGTAGCATGAATTCCAAAGGGCCTCGCTCTATATACTTGTGCCCTCCCCAAAACGCTCTTCTTGCTCCCAGGCTGCCGCAGAAGAACCACGTCCACTTCCGACAGACTCCAATCCTTGTTGGCGCCCTCAGAGATTGATACATCGAGGTCCAGCCAATCGTCAACAAATCGGCGACTGACTATGCGACAGTCGCGAGTCTCTGCAGCCTCCTCCTTTGACTCAGCGAGTTGGCTCCAGCATTCCAGTAATAGCATCGGTTCGAACACGCGACGGAAGTGCTGGTAATCTGAGAACTTATCTGGCACTGGCGTGAGATTAACCGGAAGTCCGGGTGGGTTGGGTCCTTGATGATCATAGTTCCACGACAGGATTGTGCGATGAAGGCCCGAGATATCTGGCTTCAACCGAAGTTGGGTCCTACGGGCGTCTTCACGTCTATTCATCCGATCCTGTGCTGAAGTTCGTGCATTGGTCGGTATATCGAGCATCATCACCTGCCTCCGTTCTGCCGGCTTCTTGATCGTAGGAGTTCGCTGGAGTTTGGACAGCAAGGCCAGCCCGGCATTACCCTCCTCCTCATCACTGCCTTCTCGTTCACTTTCGGAAGAAGGAACAGGAGTCGTTGGTCCTGCCGATGTACCCTCATGCTTGATCTCACCGTGAGGGGTCTTCGGTCTTGCTACAGGTTCTCGAGGTTGAGCCTGTCTAGTGAACTGCGGGAAAGGCGCCCCTGCGTCAAGTTTCTTCTTGTCATCTGTACTGAAGTAGCTGGCGATGGTCGCTTTGGCGTGAGGTCTACCGCGTTGCAAATCCTTCGGCTTGAATTGTTCCGCGCTGGAGATTCTGCGCGCCATGCTGGCAGTTTCACGAGCTCCCGCCTTGTTTTTGATACTGATCTTGCTCTGGTTCATTGAGACCTTCTGAGGGGGGATGATTTGTACTTCAACCTCATCATCAAATCCGCTTATTGAATCTTGTAACTGAGCCAGCCGGGAGGAATCGAGCCTCGTCTGCGGCCGCTTCGGATCACTTTTGCGGGCATCGTCAATATGTTTCTGTATTTTCTGTAGTGTCTCGGTTTTCGGACGGATCTGTGTCTCTCTGAAACATGCCAAAAGTGATTCTAATAACGCAAAGGACTGATGAAGTAATTCCTCGTCTGTGAGCCGCAGCCAGCGCGTGAGCTCGTACAGGACTTGCTGCAAATCGTCTACCATCCGTCTTCCTGCACGCGATAATGTCCGCTTCGTTTCATTAGCCGACTGCGGGGATCCTGCAGCGATCGCAGATTCTATGACTCTTCGTTGAGCCAACATGTCCCGTCCGAATATCAGAGCATCGCGCATCCATAGAACCATATCCGCACTGTCGAAGAATACAGCCCACTTCGGCGTCTTTAGAAAGATCACCGATAGCGCCTTCGTCATGGAGGTCCACCACTTTGAAAGCTCGGGTGAGATCACTGCTCCTATATTGCCCTTCAGATAAGCTTCGTTGAGCAGACTCCCATCCGGACTTGAGCACAACACGTCTATGACATCAGTCAAGCAACGCGCCAAAGCTTTCGAAAAGCTGCATGCTTCGGGGACTATATGCGCATAGTAAACATATGTATCCAGGGAGTGGAGAATGCCGCTTATTGTAGCGGCGGGGAACCTCTCCAACAAGGCGCGAAAACAATCGATGCGCACTTCCACGTCGAACGCGAACCCAGCGAGAGCTTGCGCGGTCTCTTGGATAGTCTCAACTGGCGACAACATGAGGATGGTGGTGTTCTTGACAACATCTGCTTTACCCAACAGGCCGATAACAACAGAGGGGGGACTTAGGTCCAAGTACCTGGTCACCGCATCCTCAAATCCGGTGCGGATAGCAATGAGGGCACGATTGACGTCCTTGAGTAGGTTCCTGCGTGCATCGTTCTGTGCAGATTTGGCGATGGTATCGGCAAACGCAACCTCCTTGAGGTCATCCACGTGAGCGATAGCTGCGAGCGTGGCTACCAGAAGGGCGATGCCGTCGGAGTCCCCAGGTAGGATACTCTCGTAGATATGTCTCCACATTTGCTCGCGTACTGTGAGCGGCACGACTTCTGAAGTTGTCGTGTTGGCACCAGAAAGAATTGAAATCGCAGATGAGATATTCTTGACATCCTGCACCAACGCATATCTGATGAGCCGCCTCACGATTGTCCGCGCGCCCGCCCAACGTTCTTCGGCATACGGTCGAGCAAATGCGACCGAGACGAAGATGCCGATGTGCACGTCCATGATCTTCCAAAAGAGCTCCTGCTGAATTACTGCGCTTTTTTTCTCGAATTGACTGAGAACAGCAATGAGGATCTGACAGTAGAGTCAACGATGCAACGAAAATACGTTTTCACATATAATCTCCCACCTTCGCAGACAAGGTTATCGCAGTCGGCCGTAGCCTGCCGAACCGTTCGTGTTGCAATTCTTCGCACAGAAACTGGATTATGATAGGCAGTATGTCTTTGAAGATGGGCTTGTTTCCAACTGTCTTCAGGTATGTCTCAATCCAGTTGAGTAACCAAGGTTCCCCGCCTTCATCACCGAGTCTCCGCAGCGCCTCTAGATACGTCATATTATCCTTGATTGAGTCCAGGACGACCTGAGGATACTCGCAGCTTTCGCCCTCCCACACGTCTGGACCTATCCTGGTGAGAATCAAAACGAAACTTCTCAGCACGTCGACGAAGTCTTCAAGCGGACGACATTCAACACGCATGTCGCCGAATGAAATGACACCAGATGTGCAACAAAATACGGTATCACTTAGTCAGCAGCGGGATCGCGATAGCGTAAAGATAATGGCTTGAACTCACGATCGCCAGTGTCATGTAAGTGTCCTAGGACGAGATGTCGGACATCCGGACTGGAGGAATGACCAGGTCGCAGATATTCCACAGGAATAAGTCTCAGGATCAAGGCGAAGCTTGTCCACAAGATGGACGTATCCTGACTGAATGCCATGGGCACGTGGTGACCCTTATATTGGACTGTTTGCCCAGATATTGTCCGGGCGACATCCTCTAACGCAGAAAGGTAGGGAGTGGAGAAGCTCTCTTTCAGCATAGGTGTTGTTGTACAGCGTTGGACCTGCTGAAGCGCCCATTCTCGCAAGCATGCGTCATCAGCTAGTAGCGCGTAGAACAAGCCTGGCGGAGGGTAGTCGTCCGGCCAACTTCGGAAACATTCCGTCGGACATGCCGTGTGTAGCAACTTCAGAATACGTTCGTCCCGCATAATCTGCAGATTGGAGAGAAGGTGGTATACTACGGGAGGTGGCGCTTGGGAGAGCGTGTGTCGTGATTCGCTCTCTATCTCTGAAGAGAAGCCCGATTGCCTGAGAGCATCTAACAGTCGATGGCACTCCCATTTGTCGAGGTTCTCGTAAAATCCTTGTAGGACGTCATCTTTGAAGGCACCAAAGTAGCTGTATCGAATGATCAACCAGATGGGTGTAGATACAAAGCGGCTATACTCACGTGTGCCTCGAGGTCAGTTTCGCCGCCCCGTATTCCCTCACACATAAGCAGCACCCAGAAAGACATTTCATGAGCTGCTTCCTCCATAGATCCACCCGCGGACTGTTGTACGCATGCAGGCGTATAAGGAACGTAGCGGCTTCGACCGTCAGCTTGTTCGCGTTGCGACAGAACCAATGCTCGAATCGCTGGGGAACATGTGGGTTGTTTGAAGGAGGGCCGATGAGGAAGTTCGTGATCAACGTGAGCACGCCTTCGGACGGGACGATAACCGGTGCGTCGCGGAGCGTTTGCAGTTCAGCCACGATCTCGTCATCCTTGCTGAAAGACGGCGCCATATATCGCAGGGAACTCTCGACGAGTCCGCGGAGAGGAGAGAAGCGGTTGCCAAACCACTCGAAAACACGGAAGCGAGCTTCAAAAATCGACAGACTGATGAAGCAGAAACTTGAAGGGTATATAAGGAGAATTACCTGGGCTCCTCTGATGTCCACGATCTCCTAGAGTCCGACAATGCTCAGAACGACGAGTAGAGAGAGGAGAACAGCAGGAAAAAGGATCAATCGAGTGCACGAGTGGCCGTTTGAGAGAACATGCAGTGGTTCACTGGATGAGCTAATCGTCGCGTCTGTGACAGACGCGACGCGTACCTCGTGACTTTCGTCACATCACTCCTCTCCTCCGCACCTCCATGGACCCACAAAACCTCGAATACATCAACAAGCTCCTCGATAGGGATGCGAAACTCAGAGAAGTACCTACACATCGGGTTTTTGCAATAGGGATGCCTCAGACAGTCGCTCGACCCATCAGAAAATCAAAGACCAAGTAACAGAGTTTGACAAAAAGACGCGAACGCTCAGTGGAATGCTCAATAAAATACACTCAACTCCGACTGATCAGCGTAGGTCACAGGCCATGCTTGTGCGAAAGATATCAACATCGGCTTTCACTCTTGTAGTTCCAGGTCTCCTTGAATCCGTACAGCCTACTCTGGACAGCTGCAGGGAGACGACCGCAGCTCTAGCTGCGCTGATCCCTCCCGATCAGTTCTGGCGATGGAAGGATATGTGGTCGACGTCGTTACGCAACGCTGTCTTTGCTGCAGCCTTAATTGATTTCCTGCGGACTGGAAAGTTGCTTACGCTACCTCAAGCGAGCGAGGTGCTCGGAAGTGAGATGCTACTGTTTGATGAGGGCATGGCTCATGAATGACATCAACGTCTCCAGTCCAGCAGGAATGGCAAGATCGATTCGCTCTAAGCACAGAAGACTATCTGCATGCACTAATTTCTCTCGTCAATGAGTTGGTAAGTCACACATCATCGTCGGATCCATGCAAAAACTCACGGAGAGGCCATAGTCTCGTTTGGCAGTAAATGCGGTGACAATGGGCGACTACGAGCAGCCTATCAGAATCTCCATATTTGTGAAAGATCTATTTGCTGGTTTTTCCATGGTACGTTCCTTGCTGGGCTATCCAAATTCTTGTTTAACACCTATATGTAGCTCAATCTGAGAAATGATACTTTGCGCCGTCGATACGACAGCTTGAAGTACGATATCAAGAAGATTGAAGAAGGTCGTTCGCTATATATGTGGACTTAGAGCCGAATACTGACTCCTCTTGGCGATTGACAGTTGTATACGACGTTTCGCTCCGTAAGCTGGCGCCGTCTACGTCCGACAAGGACCTGGGGGCAAACTGAGATCCAAATTATGGGTACCACGCTTTCGAGCGGACAATTGCATGTCGTTACGCTTTGCTCATGCTTTGCCGTGTGTACATCTGTACTACTAGTATCATATACGTCCGTGTCATCAGTACGTGCACGAAATTTGACTGTGGAAAGCACCATAATCTGCCTGGCATCTATTAGCGCCGTTAGGGTTAGAGATCACTTCTCCACGTGCACGCGGCACGATCGAGATCCTGTGCATATGATCGCGGACTTCGGGCTCAGTGCAGTGACTTGCTTCCTCCTGCCATTGTGGACCACATAAAATACTCAATGTCAAACAGACGAGGCGCTTCAAAACGACTCGCTTCGTCCGAAGGTTAGCATATCGGTTTTCTCTTTATCGTCGCAGCCTTCAAGTTCTCTGATTGTGATCATTTCACAGAAGTAGATTGTTGGTCACGCGCGGCTTCCTCGTTGTCCAGGTTATCGAACACATACACAAATCCCACAGCCATCGAAACGATTGGTCGAGTGAATAGACTGCTCTCCGCTTGGCCTGCGGATGACACATTACCGGCCGAAGGCTATGATGGCGTGAAGAGTGTATATAAGAAACTCACTTCAGGCCTCACCGATATCAAGGCCACTGCGGAACGAGATGCGCAGTACGATATTTATACGAGGGCTTACAAAGCACTTGACGTTTACTGGTTTCTAGGACCATAGATGAGGTATTAGAGCAACTTCAGATCCTGATAGCTTTGCGTCAAGCATCAGAAGCAACGCCTCCAGGTGAGAAGAGCTTCAAGCACCCTGTGTTCACCGTGTCACGACTTGAATCAGAGAAACGGCAAAAGCGCTCAAGAGCGCATTCTCCCGCCATCCTTGCCGCATCAACGCCTGCGACCGTCAACCCACCCACACGCTCAGCATCCATCACCGTGCCACCGCGTGGCTCTGTCGGTCCGCCGCAGCCAATACCTTTCTCCCGTGAGCCAAGAGCACGTAGAGAGGCATTGGCTCCACAGCTGCCTCTGCAAGAAGGCCGAAAGGTTGCATTTCATCCTCCGCAAAATGCGAACAAGCCTGCGGATGGCAGTGCTGGCGGTAAAGACGAGGAGTGGATTTTAGCCGTCGTCACCAAATGCATCAATCAGGACAAGAATCGGTTGGCGCCTCGGGCTGCATCCTCCTGTTTCCGATGACTGATCTCTCTTCCGATAGATACGAAGTACAGGATGCGGAACCACAAGATGATGGCCAACCAGGGCTGTTCGTACCTTTCTCCAACGGATCATGCCGGTCGCTCATGTTTGCATCTGTAGATTCTACAACACGACATTGCGTGCTATCATACCTCTTCCAGACCCAACAGCACCACCAGACAGCGCTGCACACCTAAATGCCTACCCAGAATTCACCGCTGGCTCGACAGTTATGGCGCTGTATCCTGATACGAGTTGTTTCTACAGAGCAGAAGTCGTTGCAAGCCCACGGGATCTGCAGCCTGCCGGGCGAGTACGTTCCACGCTGAAGTTATTCAGGTGTAATGTCAGTGCTGACATTGGTCGATAGGCTGGTTCCTCGTCAAAACATCTAGCACTGCCGATGTACAGGCTGAAGTTTGAGGATGATGATGATCAGGTTCACAGCGTCAGTGCACAGTGGGTGGTTGAATGGCCTGGTGGTACTTGAGTGCAATTATTCTATTTGCTGATCGCCATCATTATTTTTCGCTTAATTGTGAACTCACCGCAATGTTCATCTAATATGGTTTAATGGCTAACACACGTGTACTCGCCCGGTGTACAATTCCGAGTGTCCAAATTAATAGTTCCAACCATCCAGCTATGCGTTGATTTGATGACTTGCAACTTTTCAGTTTCCATACAGGGAAATGTAGTCTGTTTCAAAATCCCACCCTCACACCGTAGTACGCAATTTCGGAGTTACGTAAGCATTTTCATCTCCGAAACGCGTCGATCGGATCTCGTAGGACACGTCGGTGGCTGAGGCTCACTGCAGCATATACCCACTGAACGTGCCCTTCGTTCTCTCATAGTCTACTTGTACTTCTGTTTCTGATTCTGCTCATATGGCCGAACCAAATGCAAGCACTTCTCCCCAACCATCCACTTTCAATTCACCCCAAGGTCATGCTTTGCTACGGGATATACTGGCATGTAGTCTACCCTACGACCCACACGACTACCAGCTTGAAGGCGTAGCAAAAGCTCTCGAAGGAACAGATGTTGTTGCAATTACTCCTACAGGCTCTGGAAGACAGGATTCTTTATCATGTACTTGCTGGTTGCTAGCGCATTTGCTCAAGACCCATCTCGTTGTCCCATCGAAGCGTTGCGTCACACATTCAAGGCATCACCATGTATACTCGTTGTCTGCCCCACAAAGTCTCTCGAAGATGATATGGTCAATAGTAATCAAACTGACAGTGATATAAAGCACTGACATCATAGCATACAGGCACCCAAATTCATGGCCGTTGGATTATCGGTGCTGGTGATCAATTCTGACACAACACAGCAAGCTAGCCGTAGAGGCGAGAACCTCTGGAAGACAGCTTTGTCCGGAGTGGAGGTCATTCTGCTGGCGCCGGAGCAACTGACGAGCAAGGGCTTCGAGTGCTTGCTTGCAGACAAGTCATTCAGCACACACGTAATGGCGCTCGGAGTGGACGAAATTCACCTTCTCCAGCACTGGGGGATGCGATTCCGTGCCGCTTTCAAACAAATAGGCTCTGCTCGCATGCAATTTCCAGGATCACCGGTGATCATAGCCCTAACAGCGACGCTACATCCAGGCTTGCCTACAGAGTCTGTCTGTGGATTTCTTGGACTCAAAGTGGGTCAGTACCATCAGATCCATCACTCGAATGCTCGTTACGACATCCAATGGATCTTCCGTCCCCAAATATCTGGTGCAAATGCGTACCAATTCCCAGAGCTCGACTGGGTTCTAGAAGAGCAGCACCGTGTCATCATCTTCTGCAAGACTATCAGCCATGGTCATCGAGTAGCGACCTATCTATGGAACAAAGTTGGTGATGTAGAAGACCGCAACAAGTGCATTCGTGTCTTCAACTCGCTCAATTGGGACACGTACAATCAAGAAACACTTCACTTGATGCATCATCATCCGCGCTGGCAAATCACTATCGGTACAGACAGCATGGCTCATGGCATCGGAGGCAGCAATGAGCTATGGTCGAGAGATCTCGTAGACATGTCTCAAAATCGCAGGGTCATTGCAGGTCGTTGTACAGATTCATGCATTGGACTTGGGAGTTTCAGGCATGCCCGATGAGATCCGGGAGAAGCCAGCCGCCGTCAGCGGCACGTCAACGGCGTCCTTCGGCATGTCTCGGCATTTCCAAAATGGGGTGACACGTCATCGACAGTGCGTACTACGGGTTGAAGGGCACATTTTGAAGCAGACCTTAATACAGTACACCTGCTCATAATGCATTCCCTCATAGTGCATAACACCTCATAACGCATAGCTCCATGTGGGCACGAGTTGGTGCCTGCCAAATTATGCATGAGATCTCATACCGCATAATGCATACCTAAAACGCGGCATTATGCATTATGATATCGTGAGAATAATGCCTAACTAAAAAATTTCACGTGCATTGAAGGTTATACAGGACGCATAACACCATTTTTGTCCCGTAATTATGTTTATAAATTATGTTTATGTCCAAATTTGGGGGTACTAAACCAGGTTTGTCGCAAAAAAAGTAGTAATAATCTGGTGAAATGTGAGGCCTATTTTGTGTGCGTGACAGCCCTACCTTGAAAAGTCACGCATAGTCACTCAACGTCACACTATGTGACAGCCTGGTAATGCATACTACCTCATAATGCATAGCCAAACCTGACGTTATGCGTTATGAGCAGGTGTACTGTATCGTCTGTCGTCGCTCCCCTTAGAAAAGACGATTTTATAGGTCTGCCTAGGGGAGACAAAGGGAAATGTGGCCTGGTGCATTCCTGTCCCTTCCAGGCGCTCCTTGCTTCCGGACGTGAGCCCTGACGCAACGTTGGACAACGATGACTAATGCTAAGGCTCAACTTTCCGCTATTGGGTGCGCAAGGCATCATGAGATCTCCGAGTCTGTTCCAGACGATTCCCGCTCTCCTATGCACTGGAGCATATAAACCCACAGGTGCTGTCGGATGTCCAAGTGCCATTCCCCTATTCTTTCATTTCACACGTTCTGCAGATCATTGATCTCCTACGCTAGCTATGTCTATTTCGCGCAGCTTCTTCCGCGAGCTTCGTCCTCTTTTCCGTATGCTGGAGGAACCGTTCGGTCGCCCAGCAGCAGTTGGGCCAAGCCTCCAACGGTCTCTTCTTGATGACCCCTTCTTCCGCTCGCCCGCCCTATTGCAGCCCGCCGTCGATGTTACAGAAGAGGGCAACAAATATGTCATTGAGGCGGAGTTGCCGGGAGTGAAGAAGGAGAACATCCAAGTCCGCGTCGGTGACGGAGGTCGGAGCCTCACAATCGAGGGCAAGGTGGTCAGCAGGAGGAGCGAACCTGAGGAGGCTTCTCAGCCGGTGGGCGCAGCTACAGGCTCGCAGTCTGCGACGGACGGCGAAGGTATGTGACATCATTTTACATCGTCGTAGAACGTTGTACTGACTCCATTGAACAGAAGCAACCGCGGTGGCGACGAAAGCGCAATCGACGCAGCTCTCTACAGAGCGCTACTTCTCCGGGACATCGTCCTTCTCCCGAACCGTGTTTCTGCCCCGCCCGATAGACAGCTCTAACGTCTCGGCAAAACTCAACGACGGTGTACTTACGGTCACGGTTCCACAGGCAGAGGACAAGGGAAGCGTGCAGATTCCCGTCGAATGAAGTCCATGATGGATGGATCTGGATTGCAATGTATCGTTTCATGGACTCAGCCGGTGTATCATTGTAGCCGTTAGTTTCCTTGCACGAATGTAACTATTATTGCATTTTCACCGCTCACATAAATCGATCGCCTACGTCTTAACCGCGGACTGCGCGTAAGTAGATCCCTCGCGAGCTTGACGAGTTGAACTACTGTCACGTTCACTGCAACAAAGCATTAACGGTGGCATCATGGGCGTCTCCTGCAGCTTGACCGCGTGGGCGTCAACATCACTTGCAAGAGTCCTTCCACCGCAGGGCCTTATAGCGGTGACAACCCTCATGTGCCCATTGCACGTATTCAAAGGGCTATTATCCAAACACATTTTCTACAACACATCCCCTTCGACGTAACCTATAATTCGATGGCACTCAATGCAGCATCAATATCCGGGTCACATCCTCCTCGAATGGATGTGGATATAGATGATGAAGATGAGGTAGATCAGCTGGACTCCGACCTGGATGGAGAGGACGAACTCGATGAAGAGGGACGTGCATCTTCGAGCAAGTCACGTCCTCGTCGAACTGGAGAACGCACGCCTGGGCACACGCTCATTCCCGCCACACGGATTGAGAACATCCTGCACGCAGACGGTACGCCACGAGCACCATCGGTTCTCACTGCCGAGGTTTTCGTCTTCATACATATTCTTTTGCGTTCGTGTGTAGGAGCAGGAGCTCACATGTCAAAAGAAGCTCTATTCATGTTGTCCGTGGCCGCTGTGAGTATCGCCACTATTCCTATGGTGCCCGAGTTGAACGACGTGCTCATCGTGCAGGAAGAGTTTGTCAAGCGTCTTGCACAAGCCGGTCAGCACATAGCTGAGACACAGAACCATTCTGTTGTCAGCTATCGTGATGTCGGTGCGTTCATCAACTAATATTGCTATATGTATTTATGATGAATCTGCTTGTAGCATATGCCGCACAAGCACGTCAGGACTTCCAATTTATACGAGGTGAGCATACAGGTTTTAAGCCAAAGTGATTCTTACAATCCCGTCGCGATAGATATGATACCCCCTCCTATCCCGCTCACATATGCATTGCAACTCAAGGCGGCGAGAGAGAAAGCATTGGCAGAAGAAGATCCAGCCATAGCACCTCCGATACCTCAAGAGGCTATCCCTATCCCTACTACCCCTCAAACCCCTCCTGAGGAACCTAGATTCAGGTTAAGAACAAATCACGCGAATAGCAGGGAAAGACTCAACAGCACTTCCAATGCGAGTGCGAGTGCGAGCAGGCGGCACAGAGACAGCAGAGGGAGATGGACCCATAGTAGTGGGCGGACTGACGAAGGAGGATCAAGCGCAGTGAGTAGCGCGGTCAGTACGCCTCCTGCTGCAACTGCCAGTGCCGGTGGAAACTCCAGACCGAGCAGCGCACGCATCAGGAACAGGACCTCGAGGGCTTCAGAGGGGCGACCGCTATCCGTACCAGGCAACGGTGCTCATTTACTCAATGGTGCGAGTGCTCCGATGCATGTGGGAATGCCGCCCCCCGCTCTTCCTTCGGGCTACCATGTTCCGCCAAGCGTGCGCGCAGAGGATGCATGGCCGCCACCAGGACATTACACGGGACCTGCCAGTGGGTACCTCGACGAGCCGCGCATGATGTTCAATGCGCCTAGCAGAGGCAACGGGATGACGGATGCTCCGGGGCGGACAATATACTCACACCAGCGTCCTCCACAAATGAATAGGTAGTTTACCTTCCATCCCATGCGGTCTTCCTTGCGGGTCCACATTCTTGTCAATTCAGTTCTGCTCTGCATGTCGGTCTCTGGCTTTCGAAGTATCGTGGCGCTCGTTTGTATTGCTTGTAGCATCAATTTATCCGATCTATAATGCGTTCGTTGCAAAGAGTCCAAGCAAGGATTGAGCAAGGATTGAGACCGGCGCTCGTGGCCGCACGTGGGAGCCATCGAGGATAGAATGTCCTTCTTGACTCGACCAATACTGCACGGATTGTATCTGTTCCGTCCATCTCATCTGATATTCCGTAGAACAATGGCATCTCTAACCACCATCACCAAACTGCCCGTGTCGCTCCGAAATCTGGTCGAACAGTCCGTCTCGGATGGCAGCAAAGACTTCGGCAAGGACGAGAAAGACAAGACTCTTGTCGCAGAGTGGATCGAGAAAATCGTAGAAGGAGAGATCGTTAAGCCGCAAACCCTGAAGGTAAGTAAGTGCGATAGCTGCTCAGTTGCGCTAGATCTCATGGCGTGCGCAGGACCTCGATAGGCAACTCACACCCCGGACATATCTCGTGAGCAACTACTACACGGTGGCCGACACCGCGCTTTACGGCGCTCTGCATCCGGTATATGTGAGTTTAGTGGATCTCCTATGACGTGGACTTTGTCGGAATCGGCGCGTTTCAGTCGCAATTTCAGCCCGCCCAGTACTACTCCTTCCCTTCCCTCACTCGCTACTTTGATCATATTCAATCACGACCGCAAGTTCGCCACGCTGCCTCCACCCTCGCTCCTGCATTCTCGGTCGTGACATTCGACCTTGAGAACGCACCTCACCTCGAGCGGAAGCCCGATGCGCCCAAGAAGAAGGACAAGGCGCCTGCTCCCTCGTCGGACGCCACCCCTACTGCCGTCGCTGGGAAGAGCACAAAGACCAAGGACGCGCCTGTGGCAGCAGAGAAGAACGCGGAAGCCGCTGCTACTGAAGCTAAGGTGCCAAAAAAGGAGAAGAAGGAGAAGAAGCCTACGGAGGCTGCTGAGGGAGGAAAGAAGAAGGCGGCCGGTGGTGGCAACAAGGCTGATGAGGGATCTGGCGAGCCCGTTCCCTCTATGATCGACTTGCGTGTTGGGCACATCGTCGACAGTATGTCCCGATGCACGTTGAGCGGTCGCTTTCATGCTCACAGTTGTTCCGACAGTCAAGAAACATCCTGATGCAGATGGTCTCTATGTCGAGGTGCGAACTATGTCATGTGTGCTTTCTACGTTGTGATCGATCGTCCATCTCACAGCAAATCGACTTTGGTGAGGAGGAGGGCCCACGAACAGTGGTTTCCGGGCTCGTACACTACATCCCCATCGAGCAGATGCGAGACAAGTACCTTGTCGGCGTGGTACGATGACTCATGTCGCATCCTGGCTCACTGGGTATTCACAGCTTCCTTAATAGTGCAACCTCAAGCCTGCGAACATGCGAGGTGTGAAGAGCTTCGCCATGGTTCTATGTGTGAGGCGTACGTTTGAGAGGCATTGATCATTCCTGATCACCGTTCTGCAGGCAACGTCGAAAGATGGCAAAGAGGGTGGTATCGAGCTTATCCAACCTCCACCGAACTCAAAACCTGGTGAACGCGTCTATTTCGAAGGTCCAGACTTCGAGAGTAGGCGTTTATACCACTGCCACTCAGCTGTCTCTCATGCACAGCTATTCAGACGCGACGCCGCTTCCGCAACTCAACCCGAAGAAGAAGATTTTCGAGACCGTCCAGCCAGGTACGCTGTTCACTTTTCGGCTTTGACCAAGTCACGATAGATGCATTGTAGGTTTCGTCACTTTGGAGACCAGGGAGGCAGCATGGGTAAACCCCGTCACGAAGAGCGTCCACAGAGTACGCACAAAAGATGGTTTGTGCGTTGCACCAACTTTGGTTGGCGCATCTCTATCATAGACTATGATGAGATGCATGATAGGAACTAGTAAGTGAACGCGCGAGGAGTCGCGCCATGTGTGTATTGCTGCCCTGTGCTGGGAGGACTGCAGTATCCTAACTCTACATCCTGCCACCTCTATCTTCCGGTGCTACTAATAGGATGCCTGATGGACGCTGGTCGCACTTGAACTTTCAGCTTAAAGTTCCCTTACATCACAGCCAGTACCATGTTACATGGTCTACAGAGCTGATGTCGTCGAACTCAAGTCTGTAGTCATCAAAGGACCATACACATGTGTGTACAATGCTGGCGTACTACACACTGTCATGGCGCGGATACGATTAGCCGTGGCAGTTCCCACTCCGGACTCCACGCCGATGGAACAACCAGCCTAGTGGGAGCCACCCTTCGCACGCAGTGAGAACCTCCTCCGACCGGTCCATGTTTCATGTTACCGCAATGCATCTCCATAGCATCGGACACTCCAACGCAATCGTGTGTCGTTGAGAACGGATATCCACCACTCTGATCCATTTGCAGAGCTCGGTGAGGAGCAATTTATTTTTGCCAATGCTTGTACGGCGAGTATGAGAGAATATAGCTTGCATGAAAACTGGTGGCATCATAAATATGGGGATGCCTAGTGTGTACTTTCCAATCGTACGTTGAGTGATGAATGTGCTGCGTCTGGAAGAAGAGGAGGGCATATTTTGATCAATCGCCACTGAATACTGCCGCATAGTATCACTCATGCTTTTGCGGGACAGGTCTGCAGCTGCATTTGCGTTCTGCTGCAACAGACCAAGGACGCGAGCATCACGGTCACGTTGCTCTGTGACAACACAGTTAGCGCTGGCACACCGACCTGAACCTGAACGCTGCAGCCATGGTCCTCCGGCAGGGCATCCGACATTTCTTCCCATCCCTTAGGTCTTTCAGTTCATCAGCAGTGACCTGTGATGCTCACATCTCCAACATTGGGAAGGTCCCGATAAAAATCCCACCTGGTGTGACGTTGACACCCTCTCCCACCGCGCTGTCCGTGCAAGGACCGCTCGGCACGACAACAGTTCACCTTCATCCCTTCGTCCAACTCACATTTCAAGATCCAAACACTGTTGCTGTGACCGTGGATGACTCCTCTGAGAAGAAACAGCGATCCATGTGGGGCACCACCCGCACGTTCATCTCCAATGCCATAGTGGGCACATCGGAGGGATTCAAGGTGCCTCTGAATTTGGTCGGCGTCGGCTATCGTGCCGCTCTGGAGGAAGATCCGCGCGGAAAGGGCGACGGCCGTAGTGGTCAAAGACTCAGCATGAAGCTTGGTTACTCGCACGTCGTGTATATAGCGGTGCCGGAGAATATCAAGGCGGAAGTGCCGCAGCCGACGAAAATCATTCTCAGCTGTATCGACAAATACCAGGTGGGGCAGTTTGCGGCCGACATCAGGAGGTGGAGAAAACCAGAACCGTATAAGGGCAAGGTATGTACTTGCATTTCTGTACAAGCTGTGTTTCAAAAAAATGACGGTGTGTCCGCCTCAGGGGATCTTCGTTGGTGACGAGGTGATCAGGATCAAAACGGTCAAGAAGAAGTAGTGTCGTCGTTCTTTTTGCTCTCAATACGGCATGTCCTGCGTATCACGTCCATTCTTCCAATGCGCAAATTGGTATCCCAGACGGCCAGTACGTTATGCCGTACTATCAACGGTCAAAACTGGCTTCTACAAGAATTTCATGCTCTCCGCTCTGACTCGTGCGACAATGCCGGATGGCCACGTAAATATGTGTCTATCCGTACTGTGCGTGTCCAGCGATCCACAGTGACGTATCTTCCAGAGGTGCCGTGGAAAGCATACCAAAATGTCGCGTTGGTGCGGACCTCATCACGGTCTATGCCTGTCAACTGACTCTGCGACTATCCTGCGCATTCACGAATCATACGCCCGGAACAATTCTACAATCAACAGCCGTGCAGCTCGACGCTGCTCATTCGTCAACTGTAAGCGAGTTCTCCATGTAGCGTCGCCGCTTAGAGAAGCGACGCTCCGTGATGGCAATTTTTTAGAGAACCTCGCAGACGCCTCCCGCAATCTCTTTCCGCTGCATCCTTAACACTTCGCGCGCACATGAAGTGCAGCGCCCAATATGCTTTGGTGTCTCCGTTAGAGCCATCTGATATCCGGCAAGTGGTTGTTTTAGATCTCAGACCAGCGATCAAGCCGGATCTCATGCTGCATTGATATGCATCACATGGCTCACGTAAAGTAAAGAAGGGACGAGTAAGTGCGTGCACACATCGTCTATCAAACTGGTGCCCGTAGTCGGGCGGACACCCCTGAAACTCTATTGCCACTACTTTCCTTCCGAACTTCTTGACGATCAACGTCCAGCCGACACTGACCCTGTGATGCACAAATGCATCTTTGACGAATTACCACGTCGCATGCCATAAGGATATCTGCTTGAAAAGGGCATGAGTCTTCTTACCCAAGAGACGGGGAGCTCTTCTCGCATCCACAGTATGTCGGTTCCTACGGTGATGCCGTGCTTGGTTGTTGATAGCCCTTTAATCCAGGTCACGTCCCAGCGTTTTCGCTCTCAATGCCTAGTACTTCACTGTCTGTTGCTCATTTCGGCCACCCGCTCCTCAAAGGAGCAAAGCACTGGTCCATTCTCGTTCCCACAGCCGAAGGACGTGCGTTTGAGTATCAGATCTCGGGCTCTACGAAAACATATGAGTTCAAGGCGGAAGAAGTCGTACTTGAAGAGCTGCAGAGCTGCATGGGGCAGGTCACACTCGGGAGCGTCGACGCAGACAGGCATGCGGAGATCCTGGAGACCTTGCGGGCTGTGCCTATCCAGAGAGGTAATATCAGTTGGTGCTGTCATCAATGGGTGCTTGAAGGATTGGCTGCATTGCAGGAGGGTGGGTTTGCTGTGACCGTACCGACGCACAGCGATTTGGAAACGATGCTCGCGCAAGCCCAAAGTCATATCGTTTCTCAGTGACTTGGACTTGCGCAGGATAAGGCCTCTAATACGTTCCACATATTCGCATCAGACAATTGCCTGTTGTTTGATGTATTTTCGCGTAATGTTACCCGTTATGCAAAAGCTCGAAAACACTGTTGTGGCCGCACTAGTACTGTAGCTCCCCAGTGGCTAAGCACCTTCCTTTCTGAGTACTATACCCTAAGTCTAAGTCTAAGCGCTGGCACTGGCTCGAAGTTACCTCCACATCGCTGTTGTTCATCCACAATGTCGCTCTGTCCACCATATGCGCCATTCTTTGGTTTTGCAGGCGTCGGCGCAGCGGTGAGTACATTGAACCCCAGAGCCTGGGATCTCATTTGACATGAATGCATTCCTGCAGATGATATTCAGTAGTGAGTCTCGACTGCAGCGCACCGTTAGAAGAACAGTTCATTGATGCGTGTATGCCTTCATTGCTCGCTGTGCGGTGTAAGCTGTGGGCGCAGCGTTTGGGACGTCCAAGTCGGGAATTGGGATTGCAGGGCTGGGCACGTTCAAACCCGAATTAATCATGAAGGTTCGTTCTCCTCAGTTGCACAGTTCGTCTGCCAGCTGAGCGTCCAGTACAGTCTCTCATTCCGGTCGTCATGTCTGGAATCATCGCTGTGTATGGTCTGGTCGTATCCGTGCTCATAGCAGGTGGACGTGAGTTGCTCAACCTTGAATCTGTGGCCGCTGTTCTCAGTCATTCTACCTGGCAGTCAAGCCGACAGACTACTCTTTATATGCCGGATTCGTACACCTGGGTGCCGGTCTAGCGTGTGGATTCACGGGGTTAGCGGCAGGATATGCAATTGGTTTCGTGGGCGATGCGGTACGTTTGTTATGTATGTATGCATCGAAGAATTGGACATTGACTATTCCTTCCTGGTAGTGCGTGCGAGCCTACGTATACGAGTCAAAGGTTTTTGTGACGATGGTGCTGATCCTGATATTTGGAGAGGTGCTGGGATTATATGGGTGCGTCATTATCTCATTCCATCGCTCACGCGAGCTGACGGCTCCTCGTAGGCTCATTGTGGCTCTCATCATGAATTCACGAGCGTCGGAGGCACCGCGTTGTATATATTAGTTATTCAGTCAGACGAGATTCACTGCAATCTGATACCATTGCACACTACATCATACGTTCTCGCATGAAGTGCAATCCTAGTGATACATATCGTCAAGACAGAGCATTAGGTATCGGTGCTCAACGCGAACAGGCAAAGAACGTCCACTTTCATATCGGGGCAGTCGTCACTGATACCGTCTTCGACTTTTGCTCGGACTGCTGCTGCTGCTGCTTCCTGATCGATAGTTCCTGCCTCTTCCTCTGACCGAATCGGCGCTAGTCGGCGAGTTCGACCTCGAATCAGAGTCAGAACCGGAAGAGCTCCCCGACTCGGAGGAAGAGCTCGAGCTCGAACTCGAACCCGAATCCGAGTCTGAATCGCTACTAGAGCTTTCAGAACTCGATGATGCGCTGTTGTTATCAGTGGTCAATCACTTAAAAACAGCGTGAAAGAGTAGAAGCAGACACACCGGGTTCGTTTCTTGCCCTTGGTGGAAGCTGCTTGAGCATCAGTGGAAGGAGCACCCTTAGCACGCTCCTTCTCCTTAGCTTCCAAGATTCGGTCGGCAGTGCCGGTCCTGTAGCGATGTGCGTCGGTCATAGATACGTGGTGAAGGACTGCGATAGCACTCACTTGCTCCTAAACTCCTCGGGCACCTCAATGGATGGCTTGTCCTCAGTCTTCAATTTCGTAAGCAGGTTGGGATTCTCGAGTTGCTGTGTCCGCGAAGGACGCGCTACGTAAGGACGCGAAGACTTGCATTCGTACGTAAAATGGCCTGAAAACCAAAGCCTACTTGAGATCGCGGAGAGGCGTAGCTAGTGAACTGTCTGCTCACCTGTTTGAAGGCATTTCTGGCAGATAGTGGAGGACGTAGCACGTGGGGCATTAGCAGAGCGACGATGAGGGGCGAATTTGGACATGAGGAGGTATCAATGACGCTTCAACGTGGGTAGCAATAGACGATACAGAGGTTAAGGACGATGAGGACGGGAGGCTGTGGCAAGGCCCAGGTTGGAAGGCGGGAACGCTCGATCCATCCTTTGCTTCTCTCATCACTCATACATTCACATCATGCCCTCATTGCTGAGCTCCTGCAGCTGCGCTGTCTCTGTCTTCTCTCCACGGCACCGCATCAGTCATCGTCGCATACGTTCTGAAACAGCATGGGAGGGAACGCATTCCGCCAAATACTACCTGATACTTCCTTTCCGCGCATGACACCTCATCTCTACAAGTCTCTAAAAGCCAGCCTGATGCCTCGCATCGAGGACATGTATGAATTGGCCGCGGTTCCAGCTGAAGCCCCGGGAAAAGTGGACTACGGGGACCTCGACTTCGTCGTGTCGCGTCCACGAGCAGACGTGACTCTGGAGATGGTGAAGAGTGCACTCGGTGCAGTGCATAGCATACCGTTCGAGGGCAATCGTACGAGTCACTTTGCAGTCCCAGCCACTGCCGTCGATCGTGATGCCGAGAATGCACGACCTCATGAACTCGATGCGAGGAGCGAGGCTCGCATCGAGATCTTCCATCAAATAGACGTGAACGTGTGCGCGGATGAATATGAGTGGGAGCGCACGGTATTCTTGCATTCATACGGAGATATGGGCATGATCCTGAGCTTATTCGCCCGAGGAGTGGGTCTCACACTCAGCCCGCATGGGTTGAAGGTACGCATTCTACGTTATTCTCTGTGGTTTGCGTTGGCGTGGGCCTGCCAACCGTATTTTCTACGTCTAGCTTTTGCGCCCGTTGCCCACAAAACCTCCAACAACCTTCTTTCTCTCATTCTCTCTCAACGATATTCTTGCCTTCTATGGATTGTCGAGGGATAGGTGGGCTGAAGGATTCACTACCGAGCGAGAGGTCTTTGACTGGGCGGCGAGCTCTCGCCTGTTCGATGTGCAGAAGGCCGTGCGGGCGGAGCAAAACTATGTTGCTGGGGCAAAACAGCGCGCCGCTCGTTCGATGTACCAGCGCTTCCTCGAATACACCCTCGAGCGGGTCGAGTCAGAAACACAGATGCCGTCCCAGACGACTGTCTCGACGGACGATGTGTTACGCTTTTTCGGCAAGAAAGCGGAACACGACGCCCTTATCAATGCGTCCCTCATGAAGGCGCATGCAAGGAAGATTTTTGCAGGCAAGCTCGTGGAGGAATGGACGGGGCTGAAGGGGATGCCAGTGAAGTGGCTGATGGACACAGTGCGCGAGCGACTGGCGGCTGGATCTGCCCATCCTCAGGCGTCGAATAGCCTTCTGCATACCACCATCGCTTCCGAGGACGACGAAAATGGCACTGCAGGACCGCACGTCGTCTTACCCTGGGAGTCTGTACTCTTCACCATGTCTGCAGAGGAAGTGCACGCTCTCACCATCGCAGTCAAAGACGAGATGGATGTTGCCGGCACCTTTGACCGAAACTGGGAAAAGAGGAAGCGGGAGAAGAGAGATGCGTCGAATTAGCGTTCAACAGACCATCGATGGTGGCAAAGCAACAGCATCCCGCATCATGAATGTGGCGGCCAGAGGAAAAAAGGATTGACGTTCCTCATCATCCGCACGCCGATAATGTAGTGACATAAACTGCGAGTGTTATTCTCTCTACTTGGAAGCGATATAGGATTGGACATAGATAGGAAGATTGCCGGTGAGAGAGCTCTATGCCAATGGATGCCCCTCGTGCGCCTCAAAGTCACGAAAGCCAGCATATACGTAGTGGTCTCTGAAATCGTTCTATAATCCGCCGATGCGATCTGAGAGTTGCGCCACATAGATGCTTGCTCAGAAGGTATATGGACAACAGAACCTCATAGTTTCGGTTTCAACCCTGACGGCCAGATCCCAGTCTTGAGCTCGTTCCGGTCGAGCAGACTAACCCATTGGAGAATCGTCGCAGCCACATGGTCAGCCATCTGTCAGCGCAGTGCCCGATGGGTCAGAATTATCCTGCTCCAGGAGACTGATCGGAACGCACCCCGGTGAAGTTATGGTCTGCCTCGTCTACGATGTATAAGTTGTGCGTGCCTTCTGTCCGAGAAGAATATGCCTCCGCGTAGATAATGGCATCATATCTACCGAGAGGCATTGATCAGAATGCTCGGAGGCGTGAGTTGATTCCCAGGGCACTCACGGTGGGACTACGGTGTCCCTCAGACCATGCATGGTAAGGACGTGAATTTCCTTAGGGAAGCGATTCCATACAATCGTCGTGTCGATGCCGGCAAATTCGTGATGGTCCTGTTCGGTGATTCTACCCGTGAGCTATGAGCTATTGTATCTCAATCATATTCAACGAGGCCGTGCATGCACCTGTGGACGACTGGCTTGCGAGCAACGGTTGCTTTAAGCTCATAAAATCCCTGCGCTGCAAGCTGTTGCTGATTCTCCGGCTTACGCATTTGGTCTTCAATGGAAGCAGCGATATGATAAAGTGGCGCGTTCAGCACGAGAGACGCAACGTACCATACATTTTCTAGATGGCAGAAGGCATAGGATAAGTTCCGATAATATTGTGGCGGCGACTCTGCATTCACCTCCACCCTATATCGCCCACTGACGTTCACGTAGCCCCTCACGCTTCCGGTCTCCGACTTCGGGTACGTGCATAGCCATAGCATAGCAACGACGCTACCCTTCGAATGTCCTACGAGCAGATCAATGACGTATCCGTATTGCTTCATCAGGTAATCCGCGACGACGTGGAGGTCGATTACTTCAAGCTCGATTTTGCCAAACGAAAATGTCCCTGGTGATTCAAAATTGGCCCTATGCAATGAAGACATCAAGAGGCCGGCAGATAGTCGCATGCTATAGGTAACGAACCGGAAGTCGAAGCGGAACGAATCTACAGGGAACCGGAGCGCAAGCCGCTTCTGAAAGAGATAGTCTTTATGTCTGCATGTCTTGTTAGCACTAAATTTCACAAAATCTACTTGAATATTGACCCCATGGTACCGTGCATGATCTTGTTGTGGTCGTATCAACTATACGCGTACACGAGCGACAGCATTCCATGCGTACCAGAGCAATCCTCCGCCCGTGCGTGGACTCTCCGGGAGAGAGCTGCTCCAGCACGCCTGCTATGGAGCCGGTCTCCTCATGAGGATGGGGAATATATAACTTTGTCGACTTCTTCGATGTGATCGGAATGTTCGCCATCACATGAGGTGTTGCGAGATCGCGTAGTAAGAAAGCGACAGCTGCAAGGTCTACCCAGAATCTAGCAAGAAGAGATCCTGTGGTTCGACACTCGTCTCCCGCCGTGATGCGCGACTACGTTAACAGACGAAGGAATGGGAATGCGGAGTTGAAACATGATGGTAACGGCGCAGGCTCGGGCATGCTCCAGCCTCTTATTCGGAGTAAAGCGACACTAGCAGGTTTATAAGTGTGGGAATCTTGCATGTATTGATTTGACGCGCGCGCCTGATTGAGCTTGGAGACATTCGACAGTATCGCCTGTTAAACATCGACATGGAGGCCCTCTTCTTTAACGTGAGCTTGCAGCATCGTACGCGTTGCTAACGTACTCAACTTACGCAGGGGGATGGTTGCAGGTGAATGCCGGCTTCCTCGAAGGTATCGTCAGGGGATACAAGGCGGGACTCCTCACTCAGACGCAGTATAATAACCTGACACAGTGCGAGACGATTGAAGGTGCGTCTGCTAGTTTCAGTGGTATAGTATTGTCTCGATGACATGGTTATGTGTAGACTTCCGTACGCAGTTATCTGCGACTGACTACGGGACTTTCCTCGCGAATGAGCCGCTGCCTATCTCGACGTCAACCATTGCCGACAAAGCCACGCAACTCCTCGTTGACCAGTTCAACTTCCTCCGTAGCAATTCCGTCGAGCCTCTGTCCAAGTTCTTTGACTACATAACGTGCGTACATATGCTGGAGTACACCGAGGACTAGAATGACGCTCGATTGCCCTCAGGTATGCATACATGATTGACAATGTCATCTTGCTCATCACAGGCACGCTGCACGAACGAAACACCCAGGAACTCCTTGAGCGATGTCACCCGTTAGGAGTGTTTGAGACCCTTCCAGCACTCTGTGTTGCAACGAATGTGGAGGAGCTCTATCGAACCGCACTCGTCGAAACCCCACTTGGTAAGGTACATTTCGTCTCTATAACCTCTCAGTTGCTTATATGCATGCTCTAATCGACCAGCCCCCTACTTCCGCGACTGCCTCAGCGCGGCCGACCTCGACGACCTCAACATCGAGATCATCCGCAACACGCTCTATAAGGCTTACCTTGAGGACTTCTATGCCTTCTGCGAGAAGCTCGGCGGGCCCACTGCCGAAGTCATGCAGCGGACCCTTGCCTTCGAGGCCGACCGCCGCTCCATAAACATCACTATCAACTCCTTTGGCACCGGACTTTCCAAAGAGTCCCGCGCGAAGCTCTTCCCCGCCTTCGGCCGACTCTTCCCTGCGGGCAATAACGCGCTCGCTCGCGCGGATGACGTCGACCAGGTCCGCCAGGCATGCGACGGTGTCATGGAGTACCGTGCGTTCTTCGAGTCATCACCAGGAGGCTCCGGACGCGCACCAAATGGTGCCAATGGGAACGACAGCACTGCACACTTGCTCGGAGATTTTAGCGATAGCTTCGGGGACGCAGGAGCACCGGCGGAGATGGAGGATCGTTTCTTCGCATATGAGGTCCACCTGAATAAGTTGGCTTTCCTGCAGCAATTCCAATATGGCGTATTCTACGCGTATATCAAGCTGAAGGAGCAAGAGATCCGAAGCTTGACGTGGATTGCGGAATGTATTGCGCAGGATGCGCGGGACAGGATACATGACTACATTCCAACCTTCTGATGGCTTGTACTTGTTCTCTCCCACTGTAACTTCGCCTTATGGGTTTGTTCACGGACGCGAGTAATATATCCTTTGCTGGCCCTTGTATTTACATGAACACTATACATGAGTAAGACTGGCCGGTACAACTACTAGTGATACAAAGCGATTGAGTTGAATTCCGAATATCTAGACAGCACGATGATACCAAGATGAAGGTGGAAACAAACTCATGTACTCTTCCTTCTCCGGCGTGCTCTACTCAACGCTCATCGAAGTCGCCCATCTCTGCTTCCCTTGCCTCTGATGAATCTGATACATCCGCAACGGCTCGTGCTTGACCCTTGCTCAGGCTCCTGGGCGGCTCGCTGTTCTTCTCTGCCTTGTTCTCGTCCCTGCTCAGGCTTCTGCTCTTCTTCTTGCCCAGCAACGTCTTCGGGATCGACAGCCTGAGTTTCTTTGCAAGACTCTTACCCGTCGATGCCACTCCGGCTGACTTCCCAGAGCCACTAGCAACCTCACTTCCAAATGAGGAGCTAGCGCTGCGAAACGAGCGCGAGTCGTCCGTCTCGGGCGTGCCAGGCCCAAGTGTGCTATACGGTGAGGATTCCGGTGTTTCGACGACCTTCTCCGCGCCATCATGCGTGTTCACGACCTCGGTCTCCTGGCTATACGCGGCAGCAGGCGATGTCTTGGATGATACGGACGTAGACTGCTGCAGAGCTGCGTGATGCTGCTCTTGTCGAGCAGAAGATTCGGCTTCCACGCGTTTTGGTGCAGATGCTGCTTGAGGTAGCGTTGGCTGCGATTGCGTCCACGTGTTCTCCGACTGCTCCTGCGGCAACGCTGCTTGCACTCCCTGCACCGATGGTGATGTTGGAGCATGCTCCCTGGGCACTGGCTCTCCCTGCTCTGGCCGTGCTTCTACCTTTGGCAAAGAAAACGGCATTGATACATACTCGTTGGGTGCTTGTTCTTCCTGTTTCAACTCGTCTAAGGGCTCCTGCACCCGCTCTTGCACAAGCACAAGCACCTGTCCCTCTATAATTTCCAGTTCTGCCTCCTGGTCTTGCTCTGGCCTCTGCTCATCCTCCCGCATCCGATCGTCCTCGTCCTCGCCTTCCATCCCCAAGCCAATGCGTGTGCGCTCACCACGCAGCCACCGTTCACGCCGTTCCTTCCGATTTGCCATCCACGGGCCCGCATTACTCAGTTTGCACCCACCAAGCCCATCGCACGTGCATGTGCCTCCGAGGCCCGTCGGCAGGTTCTCCTCCGGAATCTGCTGCAGGAGCACATCCTTGTAGTCCGAGCCAAGAATCTCGATCTTCGCCAGTGTCTCCTTTGCCAGCCATGGCTTGATGAAACTCCAGATCGTTGTAAAGGACGATGGTGCATTGATGATTGCCAAATGTGCCATCCTGCAGCACAAGATGCTGAGCAAATATCGAAATGAACAGCACTCATAGCTCACGTTTCCGGGAAGTAGTCCTGGGAGATCTGAAATGAATCCCGCGCGAGGTTCTTCATCTGCCAGAATTGGCTTATGCCAAAGCCTTTGAGGTCGACAATCACAAACGTCCCGTCGATATGGTGCCCCGCAGCCCGTGACGAGGCGGGCAACACCTCACGCGTGAGCGATTCGGCGTTGACGACGATCGTCTGCCAGAATTTCTGCGGCGTGACATACTTGTACAACTCTGGCATATTGATACCTCCGAAATGATGGATATTTAGCGGCCGACCTTTTTTGTCCGTCTTGTGAAACCATAATGGCCAGCAGTCGAAGACGGCACTACGCTCGGGGTACTGTACATGTGTGCGCATTGGTCAGCGTGCTAGATCAAGAGAGTATGAAACTGTAAACGTTCCTGGGAGCATCTCATATCAAACTAAAAGTCGGAACATGAACATATTGTCCCAGCGGGATCTGATTTTGATGAGTATACTCATCAAACGTGTATGTTCACGAGGACACTGCATCTGCTGACATTTGGCATATGAGATGTCGCATATATGTGTCTATGCCTAACACGAAAAGAAGCATTGCGCGCATGATGCAACAGCTAGCGTCAAGACGTGCGGGCCATACTCGGCGGAGTTGTGGAATAGCAATCACGAGTATCCATCGGGGCACCAACTTGTCAGCGGTCGAGGCCACATGTGGCAGCCAAGCAGACCTCCACTATCGCTGAAGGCACAATGTACAGTGCCAGACAATGCCAGTTATCGCATTCCAGAATGCAGCCGAACGGCTTGTCGCAAGAGCTCCGCGGGACCGAGGTAAGGAAAACAACACGCACATCGTATGGGTCAAGCCGCCTATACAGCTCGTCGATGCCGACACCTTCGACAGTCTTTCGCCACTTCTGGCAGTTAGACCACATCGTTGTAGCCGCATTCAGGTCATACTGACGCGCTCGGAGGAACCGTCTAATCAGGACATAAATATTTGATACAAGACGAACGAAAGCGCAGTACATACAGGAGCGTAGCATCGTCGGTTCCGATGGTGTCTCCCTCGTGTATGAGATCACGTCTCTCGAGCTCCTGCCGGAACTGCTTCAAGGCTTTGTCCTGCTTATCCTTGCTCGGTGCCATCGCCCATCAGCTGACAGTCGTTGCTGTGAGCCTGAGACGAATAGGATGGATTAATCTGGTGGGTGAGGTTGAGTAAGGGGCGGAGGAAAGCGGCTTATAAGGGACGGGGTATGGGGCCGGCGAAGAGGATTCATCATGTCGGCACCAAGAGCTCCTCGTCTGGCAGCTGTGACCTCACGAACTGACCCGCGCGGGTCACATTGTCACGGGCGCGTTCAGTCACTCGGCCCATGTTCAAGTTGTCGGCCCTGTAGGCCAGCTTAAATTTTGAAGTAATGAACACCGTCGTCGTGCGGAGATGTGGGACGTGTACAGGTATCCGTATGGAATCTTTGTATCTTAAAACTCTACATGTATAGCATTTATACAAGAACAGCCTACACATCATCCTCGCGAAGCCCTCAGATGACCCATTACAACTTCGCAGACACCTTCTGCCGCTCTTCATGCTGACTTTGCAGTGCACGCCGGAGAACCTTGCCGGTAGGTAACTTCGGAATCTGCGATGTAGTAGTTAGCTTGACATGTAGCAGCCATCGCTGGACGAGAATACACATACCTCACCCACGACCTCAATCCCACCTCTAAGCCACTTATATCTGCTCAAATTCTTCCGGACCTGCTCATCCAGCTTCGCCACTACAGTACGCTCTCCTTGTGCTTTACCCTCGTCGCTTAGGACCACCCATGCCCGCGGAACCTTCTCGTCGGACGACCGCCCACTGGAGACGCCGGCTACGCACGCTTCTACTAGTAACTTCTCCGGGTGAGCCATGAGCACGTCCTCTATTTCCGTCGGAGAGACTTGGAAGCCAGACACTTTCAAAGTATCCTGTGGCAAATTGACAGTTAGATGCACGACACATTCCGACAATCAGGGCCGCACCTTCACTCTCTCCATGAAGCTTTGGACAGCCATGTTAGCAAGCCGAGACATGGATCAGACAGAAACACACACAACAGCCTCCCCAACTCGTCCACTCTAAATTGGTCTCCGGACCTTAACCAGCCATCTTTCAAGAACGTCCGCCGCGTCGCTTCCTCATCCTGCCAATATCCCAGGGCAACGTTGCCGCCGCGCATCCACAACTCTCCCGGCTCGTTCACATCTGCGTCAGACCCATCCTCCCGCACGATTCGCGCGTCTTGTCCGGGCAAGAGTACCCCGACGGAGTCTGCCATGGGCGGGATGCGCCCGCCGAACATGTTAGGCGTGGGCATGCGCGTAGATGATATCGTCTGCGGTCAGTCAGCATCCATAGATCAACCAATCACTAAAGCAGTAGGGGGAACTATTTACCATTTCTGACATGCCATATCCTGCAGAACATCTGAGCAATTGGACAGCAGCCGATCATGGAGGTGAACTAACCCTGCGTGACGTCCTTGTTCTCCCCGAGTCTCTCCTTCATATGCTTCGCCAGTGACAACGGGAGGTATGCAGCACCAGCTCCGACAGTAAGCACAGAAGCGAAGTCTTCTTTCCGCCAGTCTTTGCTATGTGCGAGCTGATGCACGGCAGAGGGTGTCATCCAAAGCACGTTGATACGGAGCCTGCATTGAGGATGTTGATCGCATACGGTCATGCGCATGAAGGGGCCGGTAGAATAGGCAACAACTCACTTTGGTATCAGCTTCACTACTGTAACCAAGTCCCACTTCGGGATAATAACGATGGTTGAGGGTACCCAGAATCCACGGAAGCAGAACAGATGTAGGCCGTACGTGTGATACATCGGCAGAAACCCCAGCCATATCAATGGGGACGGCTGTCGGTGTGCTCAGTCCGACTCTCAAGCAATGGGTACAAAGAGCGGACGCACTGGACGGGGGCTGCCATCCTCCTTGAAGGAAATATCATTCTGCACCAACGAGTAGCAGATGTTCCCATGCGATATCATTACCGCTGGCATCCCATTCAAAATTAAAACCATGAATTGACAGTTAATCACCGATCGAACTTACCCTTCGAGCGTCCCGTAGTACCGCTCGAAAACACCAAATAAGCCAGCGTGTCCTTCTTAACAGGCTTCACCTGGACCCTCAGTAGCCGCTGTTGCCTAGCATGTTGAATTAAGTCGTCGAGCGTCTCCTTCCCCTTGACATGCCCATGGAGAATGTAAATACGGTCCTCGGGGAGACCGACCTCCTTCGCAGCCTGTAAAGCGATCGACAGCAAGTCAGACTGCACGAACAGGCGTGTAGCCTTGGACGTGCGTAAGCTTTGGGCGAGCTCGAAGGGAGTGGAGTAGGCAGAAAGCAGCGCGAACGGGGTTGTAATGACAAGAAGCGCATTGACGAGGACCGGGAAATCCTGCAGAAACACATCTGCGTTGGACTACGATAGCATACCGGGGCACAAGAGTAAGGAGCATACCAGGGCGTTGTGGCTGAATATCCCAACAATCTCTCCATCCTTCTCTCCAATGCCCAATCCGCCCTCGATCGTCGGCGTACCCAGCGCAGTAGCCGCGTCGCGCACGCGCTCCACAAACTCGTGCCTCGAGACCTTCCGCCCGGTGAGCCCGTCAACGTGCACAGTGTAGTCTTTCGCAGGCTGGTTATCCGGGTGGTTGAAAAGAAAGTCATGCACGTTCTGCTCTGGGAGAGGAGGGACCGGCTTGAACGGCGAGCGGATAATGCGCGCCATCTCTGAATCGCCCTGTAGGTAGTGAGAAGGAGGGAACATGTGGGATGCAGCGCAGTCGCGGTCAGGCTGCCATAGTACTATATGGTATGTCCATCAGCCGCTTGCGCCCATGAATGTGATCAGTGGATTTCCCCAGCCCGGAATAACATGCCGGTTGGACTGCGTCTACCGGGGGAGGGCATCAGCTTCTTGGAACCGACACCCTTGGTCACAAGGGGCTATCGCGTGCGCACCGTCTACACATCCAATTAACAAAGACTGAGCATTGCCGCAGGTCGTAGGTAATGGGCAAACGGTGTCCAGTTATTCGAGTTGTGGCCAACATATTACACACTTCGGGGACACCCAGCCGTTGTGGCTTGATCGTTGAGTGTCGAGAAAGGCTGCTGAAGGTGTATGTATAAGCACAAGCAGAGAATCCGGCTATCAAGCAGCTCTATTAGTGCCGGGTGCCGCGGGGACTACACGTACTGGCGACGCCACCATCCTCATGTAAATCCACGGCAGAAGTTGAATCAAATGGAGTTGAAAGTAAATCGTTTCCACGCTTATGTTAGCACGTACAACGCGGCATAGACTCATGGATAGGACATATGGCGAGATAACATTGCATAACCTAACTAAAGCAACGACCATTAGAGAGCAACGACATGCGAGCAGCGATAAATAGCACAAAAGATAGTGTACAATCCAATCCTCAGAACAAAGCAAGACACAGAAGCATTCCTACACATTACCTCATCCCGTCTCGACCGAGTCTACTTCTCCTTGGGGTATTCATCGTTTAAGTGTGTCTCCGTATCTATTTGTATCTTCACCCCATGATCGCTCTTGCTCTCCTCTTGTATCCCAGCGGCGTCGATCGGGTAAATGCCACCCTTTTCACCGTCATTGACGCTGCTTTTGTCCTCGCCGCCTAGCGCCCACTCGCCCGTCTTGTTCTCCGCGCCGAGCGGCACGTTGAATGGCGTAGGCTGCACCTGCGAGATGGAGAGCACCGGGTTCGTGGGCGCGCCTGGCGCCATCCGCGATCGCACGGTGCCCCCGGAACGCGCCACCTTCGAACCGGCGTATCGACCGCCGTTCGTGAGCGGTCCGCGCACAGCCAGGATGATACGCATGGTCATCGACGATGACAGCACGGCAGCCATGCTGCCGAGATACACATCTCAGTGGAATTATGTGGTCAAAACTGAGATTGGGACGCACCTAGTTACGATCGTCCGGATGGGATCACTCACACCCGTGGGCTTGATGATAAACCAGAAGAACATGTTCACCATGTTCACGAGCCACACAGCCTGGGGGAAATCAGAACATTGACGGGTTACAGATACTCTCTATGCAACTCACGAAGTAAAGGTTCAGTCCATCGCGGAGCATGAGCTTCCAAAGATTGAGAGGCTTTGCCTTGTACGAGCGGATGGAGCGTTTGACAGCCAGGACCAGCTGACGCGCAAGAGACTGACTCAGACTGACGCGATCATGTCATAGGCAGATGGTTGCGTACCGAGGCTGTGTACACTAACGTCACAGAGACCCAGTAGATGCCGACCCAGTTGTGCTTTGGCTCTGCTATGCAGCCTTGGCCTTCCTCGAGCGGCGTAGCTGTGCACGTGTTTCAGGAATGGACGCAAGCGGGAACAGTGACAGATACGCACAGCGATAGAAGCCACAGCATATGGCGGTGATGACGATTTGCAGAGCAAACAGACCGCCCATGCCATGGAGTACAGACCGGTTTTTGTCATAGATTGCGTGGATGCGGTATACATGGACGAATGATATGACAGCGAGCAGGATAGCAGTGCAAATGGGTTCAAACAGGTAGAACCCGGAGCAACGCTGATATGAGGCAAAGTCAGGTGCGTCTGTCCTCGACACAATGCGCGAGGTCGGCTCACCTCTTGTGTCCAGGCGATATCAAAGAATGCAACGCCTACGATACTCGATAAGCTTATCGAACCGGCCCTGATAGGTGGCGAGACAGCGCACCGACAACAGTGAACTCAAAAGGGACCCATAGACGAAGGAAGTAGTAAATGATCTTCAACAAGGGCCATCCACGACTCCGCATAAGCCGCCATGTGCGAGGGGTCAAAACGAGCACGTCCCAAGCTGCCACCGTCAAAGTGCACACGAAGAAGTACTTTTGCGCCGATAGATGCGGGGGTAAGTCAAGCGAGGGCGGTAGCGTCAATGTGCCATTGCCTGACGAGTCGCCGGTCGAATTAGTGCTGTTCATGATCGCTGGCTGCCTGCAAACCGCGCCGCCGTCGTCTGGAAGGGTATGACCGACGGAGAAGATTGAAAGAGCGGGAGGGGTATATAAACGAGACGGGCGAGGCGCTGGTGCAGATGCTAAGCAGTGCTATAACAAGCGCTGCCATTGAGAGATCATCAGCATCGTGATCGGGAAGCATAGCCTGCAGGAGGATCATTGGCCCGTCCATTATTGTGTGTTCCTGGCTTTCTGCGCTCTGGCCGTTGTGAGATCGTCGTCTGAGGGACGCTGTCGGGGTTGCGCAGTAGACCAACAATGGCAGTGGACCATCGACGCGACGAAGGAGCATGTGGCGGAGACAGCGCGCTTGAGATGCAGGGAATACCCGACGAGGCCTCGGTTTCATACTTTGTTCGGAACTTTACTGCGCCGTCCAATTATAATCTCTGCCGCAAAGAGCGCATCCTTGGCGATGGTGTATGCGCTCTACAGGCAAGTCCAAGGGGGGTTAGCAAGCGAACGTCCATCAGACGCTGCCGGCGTCATGCACGCTGCAATCGATACGATCAGAGGTTCGTCCCGCTGCGAGACTTTTGCTCATGCCACCCATGTGGTCGATACATAAGCCACATTTGACCTGCTGCCGAGTCGGTTGAATGCTATCATCCATAGGAGGGTGATTGTCTCGCGGTGAGCTATCTGTGTGCTTCTTAGCCGCCAGATTGGATCGTAACCAATATCTTTCATCACCAACAGTTCGCGAACCCGACGAGCTCGATGAACTTTGCATAACGTCGGTCGCATAGCACCCTATTCAGCATACCTCCTCCCACTGGGGGCATCCTCCTTTGACACGGTTGTCATTGGCCACACGAACTGTTGGGTTCCCTCCAATGTCGACTCAACTTCCGACCTGTCAGTTTTCCTGTGTGGAACAAGGCATCCGCCACTTGCCACCGCCATCATTGCTATGTGTCTACAATGCATTGCTCATAACGCAACAGGCACCTGAGGTGCTGTGGCAATTGCCTGACGCATGCGAGTCTTCCTCGCAGTGCGGTACTCGGAGTCCCTTGCTCAAGCAACCATCTAAAGCTCTCTTTTGGTTCCCAAAGACCAGACCATTCGATGCTCCACCATCTCATCGCGCCACACAGCAAACCGAGCCCATCCACGTAACCATGTGGTTTGCTCACCGCCCATCGCCGCCTGGATATCCGTGGCTTTAAGCGCGTTAGCATCTCGGAGGCGGTGCTGCTTGTGGCCCAATCATGCGCATGGGATTTGACAGCATACAACGTGCCGACCTTCAGAACTGCCTCAGTTATCGCCACAGACATAGCCGTCGTCACGGTGACTTGCGATCAGTTGCGACCGGTGGCCACTACGCGATTACGTACGTTCCAACTTCTGCATCGGCTGCCTCCTTTACTGTGGCTTTCGAGTAGACCTTGAGCTTAGCTGAGACAATGTTGTTCTGCACAATAACGAGCTAGATTTCCGCCTCCACTGTTGCTTCACTGGGCATCGCCGCCAGCGCGGTCACATGATCGCGTAATTGCCCTGATCACAGTACTGCTCAACTTCCCCTCAGAGGCACCCGCAGAAATGGCCAACTCGTTGACAACTGTTCTCATCACTGGGTACACTCGCTCAAGTTGCTGCTTGAATCTATGAATCGCTCAATATCGCCGCAGATGTAGTCAGGGAGGAATAGGAGACGCGTTGGCGCGGAGGTTCCATGAACAAGGTGGACCCGTCGGTGCGCGTACTGTATCTTAGAAGCTTACCTTGTTTCTGCAGGATATGAGGTCTTCGCGACTGCTCGCGATTCTAGCAAAATGGAACATCTCACAGAAATGGGCATCAAGACCTTGCAATTGGATGTGACTGACTTGGACGCGGTTCGCCGGGTGAAGAGTCATATTGCAGAAGTAACTGGAGGCAAACTACATATTCTCGTCAACAATGCGTACGTTACGCCGTATTCAGCCATGATGGCAGTGCTCACGAATCACAACCCAGCGGTCAAGGTACGACAAGCCGCCAATTAACAGAAACTTGACTGATGCGTTTGGGCGGATATAAGCATGTCCTGTAGCCGCCACAGACCTCGACGTGAAGGAAGTTCGGGACCTCTTTGAGGTCAACGTCTTCGCTGTCATGACGATGGTTCAGGAGTTCATCCACATGCTTATCGCATCGGGAGACGCACGGATCGTGCAGATTGGCAGTATTGTCGGTATCTGCCCTCTGCCGTTCAGCGGAGCGTAAATGCTAACAAGGCTGCCATACACGCATACAGCAATACACTTCGTGTGGAGCTCGCACCTTTTGGGTGAGTTCCCGTGACGAGACAGTCGGACTCAACTCATACCTGCATACGACATCATTAGCGTCAAAGTCATCACTGTACGCAGCCACCTCCTCACTACACTTGTAGCTGCCGAATTTCGTGCGTAGGTTATCACAGGCAACGTGAAGAGCAACATCGCGAAGCCACGCAGTCTGCCTTCCGACTCCTTGTACAAACCCATCGAAGCCCAATATCAAGCGCGGCGCGTCAATCCGCAAGGTTTGCAGTTCGATGCTGTGGGTGCTCATCAAAGCGGCTCTGACGGTTGTTTGATACTCCAAGTTTCCGAGATGGATACCGACCAGTATGCAAGGAAGGTCGTCCAGGGAGTAATATCGCAGAATCCCCGCGCATGGTTTTGGGCAGGAAACCCAACGTGGCTCGTCTGGTTCATGGACACTTTCCTGGGACGACGCGCATTCGTAGGCAATAGTCATGATATCCCGAAGTCGAGGTTTCTGACCAGGTCACAGGATTCGCTTATGACGAGGATGTACGGCCTAGACGAAGTTGCTGCAGCGATCGCGAAGGAGAATTTGAAGGATGTCTGACACGATTCACTCAGCGTTTTGTGCTTCATGCGATGGAATGTTTTGGACGTCGATGTATATGCCGTTGGTTGCACGCTTCGATGGTCCCTTGACTGAGTCAGCTTTCCAGCATCCACTAGCGTGTGATGGCGACCTGAGATCATTCCATATTCTGTTCACAACTATGTACAACAGATTTCAGCGAGTCGTATGCTATTGTCACAGGGCTCACTTAACGATAAGCACATGCCAATGTGACTGCTTCGTATTTCAGGTCCAAAGAATTGTGCCACTGCGCGCATGCGCTATGCACTCGAAAGGCGAGGAATTGGTGCCGGCTCCTCCGCTCCAGGCTTTAATACCTCCACTGAGCAAGGAAATGGGACGTTCTGCCTCCTAGTCGACTCAGCCAACAATCGGCGTACATCCGCAATATTTCTGCGGTTGCCAGACCATGCGCCTTCCACATTCCCATCGCTTCGGTACTATCGATGGGCCTGCAATGCAATCGCGACAGCAATGCAATTTGCGCCTCCTATCATCGCTTCCCTCCTCCGAAAAAAAGTTGATAAAATCAGTGAAGGTACACGGAAGTATGATGAAGACGACTAGCTACTGACATTCTTTTGTGTTATGCGAGACGAACGTATAATACGACAGTGAAGGCCCATCGCGAGGCTGTGATCATACTCGCTTGCTCCTTCTGTTAGAACTTGCAGCACGATAATTTGCATCCAAACCGCATATCGGAGAGCAAAATCATTGTAACGACGGGTACCCCCTCTGGAACTCGTTACAGACACCTACGGAAGCACTGTACCAGGCATCGATACTACTCACCTGAGGTACCTCGACGATATCATAGAAGAGTTCCCATGTTAGTATTGACGGCAGAGCGTCCGTAAAGAGAGGGCACCGGAATGGACATTGATGAGTATGCGAGTGATGCGAATTAGAAGATTACATCGCAACTCACAGTCTTGACTCTCGGCTGTGTGTCAAATCTAGATTGTATAACTTATGAACGCAACCTTGAGGCGACAGATTTTCGTATGTCATGACATCTGGCTGAAAATCACCTTGCTGACGATAAACTGTTAATTTAAATGCAATTATCAGACGAGCTTGCCGCAATGACTCTCACAAGCAAAACAGGACGCACCCGGCAAATGGTATTTCATGTGTTCTGAAATCACAAACTGGGATCCACGATGAATCATACATCATGGCCAGCTCGCTGTTGCCAAGCGGCTATCAACTTGTTCGGATCTGCTTAAAGCAACATTTACAGGCGTACCTGTTTCCCCGCCGCAGACGTACATCTGACGATGAGCCTATACTCTTTGCTGTCGATAGCCTACGCTGTGGTCATGCTCTTCAGAAACTCGCCTGATCGGAGACGGGGACATTATGACTCGATGGACAATTTTTCAAGAGCTCCGTTTGAGGCGGCTTGTACCACTCGTCGTTGGCGTGTTACAAATTCGCACAGAAACAAGTTCGATACTTGTCGCCGTATTAAGTGACCTGTTTGCACTAGTAACTGGAACCTGATACTAAATAATTTGCTAGCGTGAGTCAAACGCCGAACAGTCCTGTCATCTTGTCCTTGCGTTTGAAAGGAGCATTTTGGAAATATCTTGCCACGCCGGTGCGCAGGAATCCTGTGCGCCCGTCCGATCATACATTCTGTGTTGTCGACCATCATTTGATAGTCTGAGTAGAGCGAGAGTCGTAATCGTATGATATCCAAGGGTGGTAGTTCGAGGCGCTTGATCAACGAGGGCAGCCCGACTTACAAACTCCTTCCATTTCTCTTCTCCTAAGCGAAAACAAGTGCGACTCAGTAAGATAATATCTCAGCGGTTTTTGATCACTCTGTATACACGAGCTCGCTGACCGATACACTAGAGACTACTGCACGACCGCTCGCGACGATAGAATGACTGTAGGGGTATAACAGGGTAGGAGCCAAAGCGAGTGTAGATCATACGACAAAACCTTGTGTTGGACATGTACAGTAGCTTCTGGTCTGCTCTTCACGTCAATCTGGCAAGGAGGTCTCAACGTATGTGTCCGTGGACACAGTGTGGTCCACACCGGGTGCGGCTTGGAAGGTCATAGTTTCTAATTCCGTGTCGCCCGTCCTCGGAATTCCCGATTCTACGACTTGCACCGTCATGACGCTTCTGATGTTAAGGAGAACACGGCTAGCAATGACAGAGTAGAGACTGCAAGGCAATTAGTATATGACTGAGAGAAGCTGCCGTGCACATACGCGCAGGAGAGTCTAAAACAGTCAGTCAACAGGTGCAGATGGCATATGACATATTAACAAAGGACGCACCCTATCATTAGCTCAGCCAGTGTGGCTCTTGCTAGAGACCAGATCAGAATATCGGTGACGAGGATGACTGGGACGAAATGAATGGGATTGCTTAATTCACATATGGAGAGAACTCACCGACCACCGCAAGGAACCATAAGACGCCATCACGCAAGAAGAGAGTGATCAGTGGCATGGTTGCGCCCCTATATCCCTTCAAGGACATCCCGCACTTATACACCGTCATAGCGAACATGATAGCTGACTAGTGAGTGGTGGACCAAGCATTATGTGGTAAGCACGTGACGCGAATCAGTCCAAGATGAGTACGTTCATACCACGATGAGAGATGGGACCACATAGACCTTGAAATACTTGGGAACAGCTGCGCAATTTGTGCATCACACTGAATCAGTCATTTAATGATCTATAATCTATGAACTCACTCAAGGAATAGCAGCCCGTGATGGTCGAGCTGTGGTCGGAAATGAGGAAAACACGGAGAGTATCCGATTAACGCGCTCACCCAAGATGAGCATATTCTAGCGCAACTCAATTGATGCTGATGCTCACCCGGAGATGGAACAGACTACTTACCTTTCAACGGCAGGTCGGAGTAGACCGAAATAATTTCCCTGGAAAATGTCACAATCTATGGTTCACTTAGGTAGCGTCTCGGACGTGCTCACATGGCGATAACCTCGGCTGCGCACAAGCGACATTCAGATACTAGATGTGACATGAAATATAGATGACTCACAGGCAAATAAGAAGACGAGCACGTATAGCATTGTGCGGTTCCTGTGATAGAGAATCCAGACTCTGCGGCCAAAACGGCAGCTCAATGCAGACTCCAGAATAGAACACAACATATGGACACCACCTCAGAACCAGTACGAAATCGACGGTTGCAGTGATGACGGTCGCAAGAGACCCTTGAACCTGATCAAAATTCGATGTGTTTATATAGCGTTATAATATGTGAGGACATGCAGACAGCGAACCTGGAGGTAGTCTTCACATCTATTCTTGCATTTGTCAACGCGTAAAGCCATTAAACTTTATGGTACAACTTACACCTAAGAATGAGCGCGGTACGTGAGCGATGCACTCGAAGCGCAGTATGTAGTAATTTCACTCACTGAATTGGAGGAAATGGCACTCATGTGGACTGGTTGATGTCAAGTCGAGCCGGATTTACGAATGCACTGGCAACTTACTTGCAACGTCGATACTGTAGAATGAAGCTGATCAGCAGACGATAGACATTTAGATCACCATTTGACCGTCACCTGAGGGCTATGAGACTGAAGTAACGATTCTGAGGCAGGATATATGGAACGTATCATTTGACACTGAATTGTTCCGCGTACCCATAGCTGAAGTGCAAGTACTCATAAGACAGATAAATCGGACATGAAGAACTATACACTACGCACATAAAGTATTTTGGTTAAACTCAGAGGCCCCTTCCAGAAGAGGTCCACCTTCGAGACGATTATCACAATGCCGTAACTGGCAAGCAGATCGACGAACCTCCTGCTGGAAAGTCAGAACATGATCAAAGCTGTCCAAACACGTTACTCGTGGTCAATTTTCATGCTTGCTTTGACAGAAGAAAACATAGGTGCCGACAGTAGAAGAGCAAGCCCGGACACTATAGACTCTTATTAGTGAATGATAGTTCCATATGCAGTACTTCTGTGTGCATACGAGTAGCATAGCTTGTAGAACGTGCGTCTCGAGCGAGTTGGAGCAGCTCTAGAACTTCCTGCGAACTTTCAGCCATCGAGTATGTTCTTGAAACCTAGACAAGAATTGCTTTCTGCAAAAGTAGGGTTGAGAGATAATTAAGGCAGAATGGGCCTCTTGGGGGGAGGGGGGGGTGTTATGGATATAACCATCAAGCAGACGAATCCATCGTGTGAACTAGAACGCGGCGATTGAAAGCTTGACATCTTAAAGGGAGCGCACGCCGACACAAGCCATTTGGCTTCGATATTAGGGTGGGGAAGCTGAAACAGTCAATTCGGACTGGTATCAGATTTTCACCAGGCGATGAATTGTTCGTAACAGATGGGAACAGCCTTGGCCGAAGGTCAAATGGAACGGCTGCGACCGTGTATTTTTTGATGATTAAGATAGGAGAAGTTGCATATGGTGTTATTGGCAGGTTCGATGACAGAGCATCATGGTTCTACGAGCAGGGGTATATCACCCCCCTAGACCACATCGCGATTGTCGCACAGCTCTGTATGTAAATGCCGGATCATTGATAGTATGATACAGGGGTGAGAACCCAGAAGCGGGTCCATGGGAGTATTTCGGGAAGATATCAGAGATGTGATGCAGCACGTACCGTAGGTGGGTTTGGATGCACGACCGTTTCGAACTTGCTCAGGCTTGGGCGGTAGACTGCGTGACCCACTGAACTCCTGCTCCGGAGAATTTGCTTCGAATTGCGTTTGTTTTTCGCATCCCCCCATTCTATACCCTGTTTAGGCAATTGATGGTCTCGACTTGCGATGGGGTGTCTACGGTGATGCGAACACACGACCGATAGTTCATCAGCAAAATCTCTCACTTACCCGGTTCGCTCGAAGGACCTACTTCAACGTGCTTGTACAAGCGAGTAAGAGGTAGTAAGAGCCAGGCCAGTAGTAGGTCACATTTCTTGTGTTTACCTTTATTCTCTGTCTACACTCTTATTCACTTTGATAAGCAAAACCAAGTACAATCGGTAAGTAAAGGTTTTCCTGATATTGGCGACTACAACACGGCACGAAATGCTTCAGATCCGAGTTCTCCGAGTCATGGGAGCAGATTAGAGCGCGATGTACTGTGTGTGACGGATTGGTGTTACGCTTTGTTCTCCACTGTCACAATCAAGGTCACCGGCGCATACCCGACAGTCTTGACTTGTAGTACTGGCAAACAGAATCATGGCAAAGAAAATACCGATTCCTGCTGTGAGACAAGGTGTGACTTTGACTTTCCCCCCTGCTGTGACCTCATATCGTTCTTTTCTAAGTCGGTAAAGGCAGTCTGGAATAACTAGAGACACTGAAACGGCGGGCCGATTCCAAGCCCTTTCTTTTTTCTTTTTTTTTTTTTTGGAAAAAACAGATTCACCTAGTGGGAAATTTCAAGTCTGGCTCGTTCTATTGCATTGTGATGCCTTTGCTGCAATGAAAAAGTAGTGCTTTCTTTGCTGTGAATGTGGCCCTGCTATAAATGTGCTTAAATATTCTTAAATCTGAGGGACAAGAGACAGCAAGAGACTGGCATGTGACAGACTTTACCGGTATTGACTCGGTCACAAGAACCAAGTAAATAGTACGTGATACCAATAAAACGCTTACCACTGATTGGGATGCATATGGAGATCTAGACAAAGCCATTTCACAAACGCAAAGCAGCAGTTGATGTTTGACACACATATCAAAGATTGCATCACGTCTGCGGTATTATTTCACGGCCATCAGCACCGGGTTGCGCTCATCACACAACCTGCACAGATTTATTTTTCCACGGGAAACCTGATGAAAAAATGGTGAAAATATCTTAAATCTGGATATGGAAATAGTTTGGAAATCGGGCGGAGACAATTGAATTATGTTACAATTGCTTCACCGAAACATATCGGCATCTCATATTTGTTCACTGAAATATCTTACATTGGGAAATAGTTTCACTATTGCTGATACGTTTCGGTAAAACAATCGTAACATAATTTAATTGTCTCCATCCAATTTCCAAACTATTTCCATATCCAGACATAAGATATTTTCACCATTTTTGCACCAGGTTTCCCGTGGAAAAATAAATCTATGCAGGCTGTGTCACAGGTGCCTGGCACAAGGTTAGGATGCTGCGCCGAACGTGAGCTACTTCAAGTAAGTTCCCACATACACGACGTCCTGGGCGCCGGAACTGCGGCAGTACAGCTTGCGCGGATCTATGCTGTTCGGCTTCCCTTCTGCGCTCCCCTGGCATGGTGTCTTCCATCTCCTTTCACACGGCGTGACGGTAGCTCGCCCATGATGTAGGTGTTAAGGGTTCTTGCCTCGCCCTCCTCTCTTCGTACACATCGCGCCTTTCCCGCATCTCGTCCTCAAGCCGTATTCCAATGTCGTCCTCACAGAAGACGGTCCTCATTACTGGGTATGCTGCTTCAGTACGGTTCACATGCGACTCACCATACTTTTGCAGGTGCAGCGAAGGTGGCATTGGCGATGCCCTTGCCCGCCGATTCCATGAGCAAGGTCAAGGAATTCTACACATATACAATAGTCGAATGCCCTAACGTCGATGATCGCACAGGGTACGAGGTCTTTGCGACTGCTCGCAATCTTAGCAGTATGGAACATCTCGTGTCACTCGGCATCAAGACGTTGGCTCTGGACGTGACCGACTTGGAAGCAATGCGCCGGGTTAAGGCTCACATCATGGATGCGACTGGCGGAAAGTTGCACATTCTTGTAAACAATGCGTATGTTGAATTCTCAACCTTGCTTGGCGACCTACTTATGCGACTCATACAGTGGCCAAGGTACCTTTATCTCAGTTGTCCGTCACTGCATGCTGACCTCCTGGCAACCGAATTTAAGCGTATCCTGTGGCCGCTACTGATTTCGATATGAAGGAAGTCCGGGATTTATTCGAAGTCAACCTGTTCGCTGTGATGACTACGGTTCAAGAGTTCGTCCACATGTTAATCGCATCGGGCGATGGTCGGATTGTGCAGACCGGGAGTGTCTCTGGCATCGTACCTGTACCATTTAGTGGGGCATACAATGCCTCGAAGGCCGGCCTTCATGCTTATGGGAATACTATTCGTGTCGAACTTGCGCCATTCAAGTAAGGACTCGTCCTTCATGCTATCTGCGCTCTTGACGATGCATACCTCTGCTTTGACAGCATCAAAGTCGTTACCGTATGCGAGTTTACAGAGTCTCCGACTTGCAATAACGTTGTTTTTGCAGGTGATCACCGGTGCTGTAAAGAGCAACATTGCCAAACCACGTACTCTCCCGGAGGACTCGTTGTACCGTCCTATGGAGGCCCAGTACCAAGCACTTCGCATCAATACTTCCCAACGTTAGCATTCGATTGTTATGGTGTCATCAATAGTATGAGAACTAACCGCATGCCGTTGTTTTCAGAGGGCGCTATGGACGCGGACAAGTATGCACAGGACGTGGTCACGGAGGTAACATCAAAGAACCCGCGAGCCTGGTTTTGGGCAGGAAATCGGACGTGGACTACTTGGATCATCGACACTTTCTTGGGTCGGCGCGGCTTTGTAAGTATTCCTCATGATGCGAGCTGCACTGTGGCTCACGTCTGTTAGGATGCTATAATGACGAAGATGTACGGGCTGGATGAATTCTCCGCGATGGTAACACGAAACAAGTTGAAAGATATCTGAACTGCTGTGAAACGTATACTTAATCGTCTCTGTTTCCACGTCACTTCATTGCTGTTAAATAGTGTTCGTCAGTATTCATCAGTTGGCATTCTCGCATGTGCAAACATCAAGATACCTTGGTCGAGATCATCACAAGGCGAATACAGCGTATCGCGGCGGTGAGCATACAGGATGTGTGCGACGGGATGCGATGAAGAAATCTACGGGCAAGCGGCTATGACATAGTTCATCTTTGGTCGCTTCACATGACCAACAATGGATACGTTTCCGTAGGCGTCTGCACCGCGTTGCAGACATTTTCGCCCCGGGGGAGCACGAGCCCATGAGCCCCATCTGACATTTTGAAAACATAGTGATAACAGTCCAAATGATGCTGAGATGTTACTTCAGATTTCGTTTTTCGGTTCTTTCAATATTATCAATTGGAGCTCACTGTGACAACTTTCAAAACGATACCATGCTCAGGCTAGATTTGAGATGTTTCAGCTGCCCAGTGCCAGCATTGTAGCAATGCCATGATAATATTCTAAACGATTCAAAAAGAGACTTCTGATTAATACCAACATGGAACCGTGATGATCACTGGATATTTCCTGCCGTTCACAGGTCGGTTTGATATAAGTGCAAAAAGTGCTAATCGTATGTTGCTGAGCATCCAGATGGCTGAGCTGGTCGCTGTGTGTGGGTAGAATTCTCAATAGCGGTGTCTGAGGCCTCTCGGGAGTCGGGTGGCCATGCCCTTACACTACTACTGAATGAGACTGCTACGGTCCTAGGTCGCTAATCATTTTGCAAACTTCTGCCTCGATAGCACGTACACAGTGTTGTTGCATATGCCGTCTAAGAGGATACGTTGATAAATCATCAGGTTGCACGTATCAATACAGAGTACCAAGCTCCGTCCGAATCTATAGCCGACATAGCTAATTTTTCATGACAGCACTAACTGTTCTTGATCTATATCCTCGCCACCTTCGCGTTCATCGCATCCGCCTCTTGTACACCCCAATGCTGATCCAAATCTGTGTGCAGCGGCAATCCTCGCATCAAGAAAGATACGACGAGGCCTAACACGCTCATCCCTACCAATACCAACCAAACAACTCGGAGACTGGATGCGAATGCGACCCGAACCTCATTCTTGAGCGGTTCCGGCAAGGAACGAATCTGCGTGATTGTAGTGTATGTCACTTGAGATATGTCGGGATAGCGTTCCAAAAAGGCAGCGGGCAGCTGATGTCTCAGCTCGTTCTGCAGTACAACCGCCCCAATTGCGACGCCCCACACCTATCGGGTTGTAGTTGTGAGGTCAGCATGCCAACGAATTATCATAAAACTCACTTGAGCAAAGGCGCGCAAGAATGCCCCAAGCGCGATGGCATGCGCATTCTCGCTGACTGGTAGCGGAGCAAGCACCGGAAAGAACGTGCCTGTGTAGGCGGTACCAATGCCGGCGCCCGATATAACTCCAAATCCGATGGATGTTGCTCTGGGACTATCGCTGCGAAGCGTGCTCAACAGGCCCATAGACAGGACAGTCAAGCACCACCCCAACCATAATTGCGGGCGGTATCTTTTCAGGACCGTGATGCTGATCCCCCCCACGATAGATATGGGAGAAAGGGTGAGGGCCAGACCAAAGAGATCAACACCTGACCCTGTCGGGGACGCGTCCTTGCAAGCCTGAAAATAGACGGGCATGTAATCTTATTATTGTCAGATTTGTCATGCCATAGGAATGCCAAACGAAAATCTCACATATGAATGCCACGAGAATTGCCTGGATGAGAAACATTTGCATGTAGCTGTCAAGACCGAGTTTTCATTCATCATATAGACAATAGAAAATATAGGCATCTCTCACCCGCTCAAGGTGGTTCTGTTCGAAAGAAGCTTTACCCGGATCTAAGGCGAGCGTCAAAGGGCATAAACATGCCGGGAAAGTCTGAACGCTTACGATAGGAACCGGGGCTAGAGACGCTTCATACAACAAGAAGACGACCAGTCCGACACATCCAGTGCAGAGTGGTATAAGCACGCGATATGATGACCAAGGGTATGCACCGCCACCCCATGCGAGAGCTATGATGATTGCACAGGAACCACTTGTCACCAAGAAATTGCCTCTATCAGGCCGGTATTCGGCGTCAGTACAGGTGCCGTAGCATATAAGCATGTCGACCTACAGCCAATCAAAGCTACTGAGCTTGTCCCGTATTTCTCCACGTGGTGTGCGTAATCGGAGAAACACTAAAACGAGCCCGATAGCGACGCCACAGATAGGCAGATTCATGTCTGTGAAACATGGATGTGTCAGAATGTCGATGATCTGCAACCTAATGGTACGGTACGGACAGAACAGCCAGCGCCAGACGCCATGTTGCGCTAGAGCTCCTCCGATCACAGGTCCTATGGCAGCTGCAATGCTCCATGTCCTAGACCAACGAAAGCGTTGTGTCAAAAGGTGCACTTTTCCCTTATGCGATGAAACGACATACATCCCAATGAACCCGTTGAATATTCCCCTCTCTCGTAGAGGGACTAGATCTGCAAGGATAATGTTTGTCAGTGATAGGATGCCACCTCCACCTAGTCCTTGCACGGCTGAGAGACTCGAACGTTAATGGATCTCTTGGGAAAAGTCACGGACATGCTTACTACGGCCGCTGATGAACAATCGCTGGGAAGGCGATACTGCACACATCAAGCTGCCAACGGCGAATGCTGAGATTGAGAACAGCATGATGGGTTTGCGACCGAAGATCTGCAACAAATATGAATGAGCACTCGACAAGCAGGGGGTTTAAATATACCTGAGCGAGATTCCCGCTCATCGGTATGAAAGCGGTGGATGACAGAGCGTATGCTGATCCCACCCATACGAAATTGTGTGCGTCAAATGGGATGGCATTTACAATGGTAGGCAATGCGGTGGACACGGCAGTCTGGACGTATACGTCAGTATGCGCAGGAGTCAACGAGGTGAAGACCTACTAGTTCCATCGCCCCGCAAAAGAGGGAAGTGCAAACCGCTGCAATCACGAGCCAGAAGGATATTCCTCTGGAGGCAGCAGGTTGCTCCATTGTGCAGCACTCAGTAAGACACGGTGAAGCCCTACGTCGTAGTCATCTGGGAGTTATACTGCGCGGAGATCGCGCTTCATGCCGCACCAAAGATGCGTGCAAGAGGAATAACCATCAAATCCTAATCATCAGAACAAGCTGTGCAATCAAGGAGAGATTCGTAACAGGTCAGCACATGATGAATGAGTCGGAACACGATGCGTTAGGACGTGTTACTCATATCATCTTCATAGACTTCTGAAACCGCATCTCCTACGGCTAGGAGTCCCACAGGTGTTGAAAGAAGCAGATTGGATCATAGCGTTTCCCAACCATCCAACACCCTAGGACGGAGATCGCAGAAGAAGTCTCAGAAGATGACTCTGAAGACGCATGGTAAGTCATCACTGCCGTAAGACACTCCCATAGATGTCTGGCCGTCTTTGTAGGTCAGATACGACCATCAAACACATTTCACATGAACGGTATGATCCTGAACAAGATGTATCATTCAACGTATTTCAGTAACTGTCACTCCAGGCGCCCATTTGTGGTCACGGTGGGAAGTTATGAGCCAGAGATTGTGTTCGTCGAGAGGTTCAGGACTGGAGGAAAATTCGGAAGAAGCGGAGCACGCACATGCATCTCCCAGTGTATCAATGGTGTCAAAGTAAATGATGGAATGTTGCCACTTCCTTTTGATCGAAGATGGATTCACGTAGAGCTGATTTGGTTGAGCGGCGTGATTGTCACAAAAGATGAATGACCGTCCATGACAGAGAATCATTCTGGAGATCTCGGCCATGCTGCTGACTTATCTCGCACCCTGCAGCGCTCTTCCTTGTCTGTTTTCGAAAACAATTGAAGTCACCCTCATTATGCGAAAATAGGCTGATGCCGTCGTACGTTGAAACCATGTCTTGCGAAATGGCACCTTAGCATGAAAGGAGGGACCGGAGAACCACTCGGAGGAACTCAGCTTCGTTAGCTCATCGTACCTTCAATTCCTGCGTACTAGTTCGCTATCACGCACTGCGGGTCTTGCGAAAGGCGGATGCACATGATGGATGCCCTTTCCTGTTCAATCGCTTCAGCTTTGATCTTTCCATAGTCGCCCTTGCCTCCATTCGAGTTGCGTTTACTTGTAACGTGGTGCTCTATACGCTTTAGGAGGTTAGGAATCAAGCTGATCGTTAGTCACGCGTCACGAAACCCCGGTCACGGGCCACAGAACGAGGCGGATTTTGCGTGCGTTACTTCCTGCGTAATTTTACGAATCCATATTTCGCATCACGGTCACAATGAGGTGACGAGAAGCTTGAAAACAGACAGTGTTTTTATAGTGTGATCCTCGGCTTGCATTGCAAAAGATGCAGCGACTGAACATGAACAAATGTAGAGAGCTGCGGGCCCTGTCATGGCGGAAGGTGCACGTCAGAGAAAGTGCTGTCAAAAAAATGATTCGGGTCATATATGATGTGGATTACCATGGATCTTGAACTGCAACCACCAACTGCATCGCCTAGCGCCCGGGGATCCTCCCCTGCACCCTCTGAATCTCTGTATGAAATCTCCTCTGCAACCCCTGACCTCACCCTGGCTATACGCCAGGCTCTCCGACCATGGCAGTCTCAGGGTCCCTCTGAGTTGTTATATGATCTGGACAGTGCCATCGATGCCGTCTTCGCGGTGAACAAGACCATGCTTCGTGTCCTGCAACTTGCAGGCCACAAGTACTGGGCAAGCATCCCCGTCCCCAACCTTCTCCTGAAACAGCGATTCAACTCAGCAATCGCACAATGCCGTGGCACTCCAGGGAAGGGGGCTCCTTCCCCCCCTGCGGCTGCCAACCAGCCCGCACCCACCTCCGCTCCATCTGGACCCGACCTCACGGCGGCCCTCCAGGACCTCCGCTCCGCCCTCGACGCCAGACTCGATGCTCTGGAGACTCGAATGGCGAATGCGACCCCCCCGTCGCAGGCGAAGGCTCCCCCTCCTCCCAAACCTCAGGTACGTGGCGTTCCCAAGAAGCGCTCGTACGCGGCGGCAGCCGCCACCTCTCATCCAGCTCCTCCCGGGATGACTCCGAACCCGCCCACTCCCTCGAAGGCTCCTAAGACCAAGAGTTCGCCAGAGCCTTTGAGGTATATAGTTCGCTTTGCTAGCTCCGCGCCGGCACATCTGCTTCAGACGCCCCCCGCCCAACTTGTCAGCGATGTGAATACAGCACTGGCTGCAATTCCGACTGCTGGAGGGCTG